TTTCTTTTCCAAGATCTTATCTGTGAAAAGGATATATTTTCACTATAAAAATAGTAATATTGTTTGTCAATTGAGGGTCACCAGCATTATTATTAAACTTCACAGATTTTTTTTGTAGCTATAAAGGTAGATCTCTGGGTATGTTGACGTCACTGATGAACTGTTTGGTTTAAACATGACATGGGGGACACAGGCACTAGGCACAACCTTGAAGGTGGAAGGGAGAGGATCAAGGAAGAGATGCCTTTGCTCATGCCATCTCCCCCATCTTCGTTGCCTCTCCCAGAATACTCTCTGGTGCTTCAGACCTGCTGGTCAGGGCCTCTGCATTCAGTGTGTTTGGTACTGTTCATAAAGGTCCATGATGAAAATCAAAGACATTTTATGTTACCTTTGGGAGTGGTGGAAAGGGATCAAGTTTCAGTCTAACTCCCGGTCTAACTCTGATCCAATTTTCTGAATTGGATCCGAAAATTCCTGGCTCTGGCTAATTCACAGATTTTCTCTACTACTATACTTATCATCAAAGTTTGCTAAGGGGAGGAAAAGCAGAAGCAAAAATATCAAAAGGGTCATAAAATATGGTAGAATCGTCTCCTAATTCCTTCTTTTCCTGCTACCATTGATCCTCTTGCTCCCCATCTAAAAAACATTACTGCGAAGAAACCTTTTATTCGCAAGACTGGAACAAAAATGAGAGGCCAGGGTAGAAAACTGAGTTGACTTCTTTGCTGGCACTTCAAATAGATTTCAATACTGTGAAATTATCTTGAGAGTTACCCCTCAAACTCCAGGTAGTTAGAAATGATTAAAAGACATGCTCTGTTGCTTAAGCATTAACTGACATCTCATTCCATTTTTTTCTTCAAACAAATGCAATAGTAACATTTCTGAGTTAATAAAGGATATGAGAAAGACACAGCCCCAAGCAATACTGTTATTAACATTACTTTTCCACATTCTAACTCCTCTGCCACGACCCTCCCACCCACATACAGCCTACCCCCTTCCTCACTGTTATTAATCTACCTTGAATCACTCTATTCTTCTCCAAGAGAACACACCCCAGTAATAGCAGTGAATCATAGGCACTGCTTCTCTGGTCTTTAAAGGACTTGGCAAAATGCCATACCTGAGAGAATAAAAGGAAAGGAACTTCAGGTGAAAGGAGCTCTTTAGGTTCTTGTTCAGTGTTACCCTCAATATTATTTACCAGGTGAATTTTCTAGTTGCCTGGTGGTGGACAGCTTTTGATTTAAAAAAAATAATAATACAGTTGACCATCCCTATATTTCCATGCTCTCAGTAGACATTCGACTCAGTGAAGCAACATCTCAGGCATGCCTATAGCTAAGTCAAAGCCTCTTTCATCTTTTCGTTCTTAACTTGGCCAAAGAATATTAAATATTTTTGCCCACAAGACTTTGATAACAAAATCCTCAACGGTTTCTACAAGTGAATCATTATACATTATAAAAGTTCATATGAGGTCTTTAGGTAACAGAAAAGAAATAGAAATAGTTTGTCAAATATTCTCAAAGGGAAATTTATGACATGATAGTGTGCTAAATAAAACACTCTTCTTTGCCATGGATAGGTCTAATAAGATGATACTCAAATTCATGGCAAGAGAAATCTAGAGGAGAGTTTTTTAGGGCAATTTTCAAGTTATATACAAACAAACATTGTCATAATAAATATTGAAATCCAATTGAGAGAATTTAGTATATTTTCTTGTGTTATAAAATCTGTATTACATTTAGTTTGTTTAATGGGCATTATAAATCAGCTCTATCATGTGTATTCTGCATAATTCTTCAACTGAGTGTATTTAAATCTGGTTTTAAAAATGTATATTTATGTTTTTAATTGTTTAAAAAATACCTATGAATGCTGGCTATGTCTACATGACATATTTTTTTTTGTCAACAGAGAAAAGTCAATGGAATGAAATTTAACTCATCCTGAGATTACTATTAGGATTTTAAAAATAATGCTAAAGCAAAACACTTTTTAAATTTACATACTGAAATGAAACTTTAAATTGTGGCTTAAAAAGTGTGTGTGTGTGTTTGCATAGAGAAAAAGAAAGAGTAGGGGGAGAGGGAGACACTATTCACTATTCTCTTCTTGCTATTAAAACAGAATAGAAAACCTCATAAAGATGTTTTAGGTCTATGTCATCATCCCACCAACAATAATCACAGAGAAGAACAGAAGACACTTTTTACCACTCCTTGATGAATAACAAAGTGACTTACAGTAGCCTTGGGTATTGAGGAAATGTAAATAAGAAAGGCTGCCTTAGGTTGGTATTAATTACTATAATCATCAAATTTCACTGCTCAAAATGTTTTCTGTGGTAGAATAAGGAGTCTTTGCCTTCTGGCTCCCTGGGGTAGTATTTTCCCCTGCCTGAAAATTTAATAGGAAAAGTCAAACTTCTTAAAGGTCAATAGATTTCAGGGTCCCACAGACATGAAAATGTTTGCTAGACTTTATCTATAAAGGTACAGTAAAACTATAGGGGCTATATCTCAGATCCCTTACACTAAATTGACAGTGCATTGTATGTTTCCATTTTGGTATGAGATGGGAGTAAGTACAATAAAATACAAACATATATGGGGAGATCATTCAATTCTAACAACACACGTAAGTCAGAGATGTAGGTCAACAAATGCGCATTTCTGAAAAACAGGTTTTTCTGAGTACTTATTCTGGAGTTCCTTAAAAGTCTGGCCCAAAACAATTCCATTTCAATATACCAGTTCACATAATAAGCAAGTCAGAACATTTGCAAGGCAAGATGTTTTCCTTCATGCAGCCAGTAAAAACAGCTCTAAGCTTAGGTTGTAATGATAAAAGGATTTTGAGCAGCCGATTTTAGGGATCATAAAAACAACCCAACCTTATGCCCCAAAGTGTAAAGAATATGCTGAGTCTGCATTGTACGTCTAGTTTCAGAACAAATCATTCTGCTTTTTTTTTCTGTGTAGGTAACTGATGCCAATGGGTGAGTAAAGGGAGAAATAAAAGTACAGACTTAGACCTGTGGCTTAGGTGGATAACACCCATACCACAAAATCATGAGTTCACTCTTTCATTTTGTAAATTCCTTGAGGTTAATTTATATAATTTTTGAAAAACTTACAGAGAGTGGAATACATTTTAATAATTGGGGGGCTCCGAGTTTTCTGCTATTTATGGCTTAAATTGTGAGAGATCTCACAGATCACAGCCTCGTTTAAAAACAAACAAACAAACAAACAAACAAACCCTGTGGCCTTTTTTTGGAACGGTAAGTGAAAGGATGAAAGAATTACGACACATTTCTTTAAATCAATTGGAATGGTGAATATAGTTGGCATATAAAATAACAACTATTGAGTGCTTTCTAGATATTGCCTGTAATGAATTCTCATTTAGTCTTCCAATTCCTAGGAGGTCGATATTATAATCCCATTTTACCCACCATGAAACCCAGGCACAGAGACAGTACATTACAAAGCACATAAAGTAATGGTGCCAGGATTCGAACCTATACCATTTGACTCCCACATTTAAGTCTTTCGTCACTGTGATAGGTTGTCTTCAGGTTCTGCTTTATTTTATTTTTATCCTCACCCAAGGAAATTTTTTTTCATGAGAGAGAGAGACAGACAGACAGACACACGGATCGTTGGCGTTCCATACACGCGGTGACCAGAATCACATCCGCGACCCTTTGGTGCACGAGACAACCAAGATCCCACCGACCGAGCTGCACGGGCCAGGGCTTCAACTTCTGGATTTACATTTATATCGGACTGCTCTGGGCAGAGTTAAACCCTCCTGAGTCTCGGCTACTTCTAAGCCAAGGTCATAAAGATTTTAGTAAAGAGAGTCAACGTTTAAAATGGCCATTCACTAGCACTGAAAACACTGGACCCTTCACATTCCCACCTTCCTCGTGACTCAGAAATTGTTCATACTGTCTTGCCCTAAACGCAGCGCTCCACCCAATTTAGCTAACTTCGTTGCTGCACGGCAACAGGACATCGCCGCACAGGAAACCAAGGGGGCATTTTAGACTAAGGATGTCGCTGCCCGGTATTCTGCAAGGGCCACGCCTGCTTCGAACGTCTGCATTCGGGAACATAATCTTCTTCGGGGATTGTTCTGCTTCCCGTATAGCCCCACAGCCAATTTCCCGGGTCTACGTTTCCTCTCAGACTTGAAGCCACGCTGAGGAAATCTCAACTTGGCGGTAAATACGGTAGAACACCTGCGCCCGGGCCGCCGCCGTCGCGGCAGCCAAGGCTGGAAATTAGCTCAATTGCATTCGCCGGGACTCTTCGGGAGATCGCTACCAAGCTGGATCCTCAACAGGCCATTTAACTCAGCGCGGCTCTTTTGTGGCCGCTGCCTCTGGAGAGTTTACAAGCTGTAACTTTATCACACAGACACTGCACACAGCGACTCCTGCCGCTATCAGTTCTGAGGAAAGTCCTTAGCTGTGAGGAGAGGTGAGCAGACGCCTGCCACGAGAATGGGAGGGGCATTCTCAGACACACTTCGTCAACACAAAAACAAAGAAGCAGGGAGAAAGGTTTCGCAAGGAAAGAGGAGGGAGGGGAAGCCGTAAAGAAGAGCGCGCTCCCCTGGAATCAAGCTCTGGGAAGATCAGCCAGACCGCACGGGCGTCTGCGGAGGTTCGAGGCCGCGCACGCTAAGCTCTTGAGCGCCCGGCGCCCCAGACACGCGCGCGTCACTCAATCTGGCCAATCACACGTCTCTATCGTCTCCTACGTTGCCCCGCCCCGCCCGCGGTCGCTCCCGGAGGCACGAGGCCGCGCGCGCGCACTCCCGCCGCTTTGGGGCGCGGGGTGAAGCTAGCTCCCCGCGTCAGTCAATTCAGCCAATCGCGAGCTTCTTCCGTCTCTCCAGGAGCTCAGCCCCTGGAAAGGGAGCGGCGGGGCGGGGTTTCTGCGCTCTGGGGATGGCGGAGGGAGGTAGTGTACGGGCTGGCGACTGGATGTGGGAGAGCTGAAGTGCCTCGGGGTCTGCGGTGCAGTTGAATAGCGCCCCCTTTCCGTGGTCAGGGGGCCTCTCAACTGCCCCGCAGGCCTGGGGTCTCCAGGGCGAGTGCGGTTTTCTGCAGTGGTGGGAGGGGAGGGAGGGCTTCTCCCCCCACCCGGGAAAGTTGATGCCTTTGTTTCAGGAAACAAACTTGAGTGGACTCTGCTTTTCAGGGTGTTTTAGCTACTTAAAAGAAAACGATACGGACAGACTAACATTTACCGCAGTTGTGTTCCTTATCCCTCAGGCCTGGAGGGTCATTGGTTCTAATCACCCAGCCTTGACGTTTAGGGTAGTGGGGAAAAGGTCTGATCATATCCTACGCGTTAAGATTTCAGTTATAGTTCCTCTCATTATGAAGCTGGCGAAACGAAAGCATTCTTAACTATCCAACGTTTTTCTTCTCCTCGACCCCCCTACGGCAGGTTTTGAAGGTATTTTGATGAAAACAAATGGAGGGTCTTTGAGAGAGGCCAGCTGATCTGCCATGGAAAAACTAGTAGTTACCACGTGGACCAATACAACCTTATTTAGGAGGGTAAATGGGAAACGACAGCAAAAAGCAAGAATGAATCACAGCTAAATGAAAGAGGAAGATGCTGGCTTACTTGTTGACGTTACCTGCAATAAAACTCCTTGATAAAAACTGAGGGATATATAGGGGTGTGGGTTAATTCGACTTCCATGTTGTGATTATATTTTGTTTTTTAGAGGTAAACCAAGACTTCATATTCAAGATGGAAAGTCGTGCAGACTCAGCTGTGATTTTACCTGGCACTCCACAAGGCTGTGCCCACGTGCCATCTCCCCACACAAGCAGTAGTTCAAGAAAAGTATGGAAATCTTAGTTCTTTCAATGGGTCAATTTTGTATTTCTGGCTATTGTAGCAGTGGTGGTTTTAAATCTATTGAAGATTGTTAATGAACATAATGTGTAGTAGTAATAAATATATTGAATAATTTTAGGTCTTTCTCCTATGATGATATATCTGACTTTTCCCCACCCCCCAAATTTCATTGTGTATCAATTTATTTAGTTTCACATCAGGGATTTATAACATTGCAAATGGAAGAAGTTTGAATCTGCAGTGTTGTGAAGGTCTTTGGTGGCAGGGTCTAGGTTTTTTCCAAAATTTGTAACAAGCACCTAGAGCTGCGTCAGGCACGTGCTAAGTTGCTGAACAAATGTTTGTGATTACTGGGGTGAGTGTCTCAGCACTGCTGTAGAGAGTGCTGATGTTGCTAAAATAAAAGGAAACTAATGGAGCTTCTAGGAATTGAAGACATTTTGCAATGGCTACTTAAGATATATGGAGACAGAAAGCCATCTAGTGGTGTGTATCTTTATTTCCAGTAGGTTTATTTGCATCAAGAACGTTTTTCTTGATTAACATTATTAATGTTTATGCCTTTTACAGCCTATGAGTGCAACACTTAGAGAACGGTTAAGGAAAACTAGATCTTCATTTAGTTCCTGCTACAGTGTGGTAAAACGTCTTAAAGTAGAGACTGAGGAAAACGAGCAGACCTTTTCAGAGAAACCATCTTCAACAGAAGAAAGCTGTTTGGAATTTCAAGATAATTTTAAACACATAGACAGTGAATTTGAAGAAAGTTCATATTTGAAAAATACCTTCAAGAATATCAATGCATGTGAATCTAAGTCACTTGATACTGGATCTTGCAGTGATCTGCAAAATGATTTTGATGAGAATCTTCCCCAAAAAGGATTAAATGAAGAAAAGGCAAAATTGGTGAGGCAGATTCGGGAGAAAGAAGACCTTCTTCGGAGGCTAAAACTAGTTAAAATGTATAGATCAAAGGTGAGAATAATTCCAGAATTACTGCATCATTTTTTAAATTGTTTATTTTTAATTTTTAGATAACTGATAGGAAAATCATTGAAAAAGAGAAAATTATTTTTAGCAAAATAAGCAATAAACCCAGTATCCAGAAACCTGGTCCAACAACTTTTTAACTCAAATATGTCAGATTGAGAGTGGAGTAGAATAAGCCTCAAATATCAGATTCAACTTTTTAAGAAAGTCCCAGCTCTTGTTTAATGTGTCTTTGAAGCTGCATGTTAGCAGTATTAGAAGTATGAAATGTTAGATGCAGGTACAATGAAAACAGAAGTGACAGCTGACTGGATGATTAAAAAAGTTAAACATGGCCACAGAGTATAATAAAAAGTATTTTCAGTAGTGATCTAAAAATCCAAATTATTAAAATGTCCAGGCATTTTATTTGAAAAAAACAACAAATATATATTAGGTTTTATATTTCAACCCAGATAGATGGAATTAAAAAGAACGCGGGCACACTGAAGAAGATAACCTTTATTTCCCTGGATCATTCGCATATATGCCATTGCTCCTTCCCTAACAATGTGGAATAAATGATGGAATAGCATATCTTGCTCTCTTGAATTTTTAGGATTTTTAAAAAATATATGTTTTATAAGATAGTGAATGATGAAAAATATTTCAAATTTGAATATTCTTATTTTTAAAAGTATAGCTGTAATAGAAAAAGTAGATTTTTATAAACCTATATTGTTGCTTCTCTACATTACCCTATTTAATAATTTTATTTTTTTCCTGAGGGTAAGGAAGACCCAGCGCTCATACCAAACAAAATAGTCATAAAATTCAATTTCGGTGTCATTGTAGAAACCACCTATCCTTTTTCTTGGGTGGAAGGTTCATTCGTGCCCAGTTATGTTGGTACCCTTTAAGCCTCCCCTTGACTGACTGAACAACTTTCATTAAGTAAGTTAAAATAGGATGCCTATCTAGTTATTAACATACACTTATGTTTTTTTCTGTTGCAGAATGACCTGGCTCAGTTACAGCTGTTAATAAAGAAGTGGAGAAGTTGTAGCCAACTGTTGCTTTATGAGTTGCAGTCAGCTATGTCTGAGGAGAACAAGAAACTCAGCCTTACTCAGTTGATAGAACACTATGGGTTGGATGATAAATTGCTACACTATAACAGAAATGAAGAAGAATTTATACATGTTTAATTCATAATTTCTTCTCCAGAATATCTTTGACACTTACATCTTAAAAAATACACATTTTAAAGAGAAGATATGAACCATTAGGGCTTAAAGAAAGGTATTTGGTGAACATTAATTTAGGGCACTCTGTTAGATAAAATATAAGTTTTAAAATGAAGATTTAGTATTGGATAAATTTGCCAAAGAAAATTTGACATTTAAAGAAATGTGAAAAAATTTTACTCATATTTTAAAACATAATTTGGGTAGTTCTGGAAGTCAGTTAGTTGTAATATATTATTATGTTTATTATGGTAAAAGAAGTTTTTTTATTAAATGTTAAAAAAAAGTGAATCAGGTGAATGTCTAAACCTAAAATGGTCTAAAAATGCCTGCCTTTCTCCTAAGTTTATGAACTTTGTTTCCACCCATTTACCACGTATTTCTATCTGGATGGTCTTTTGGGTAATTAAACTCATAGGTCCAAACTTACATTCTTCCTGTCTCTTTACATTTGTTTCTTGTATTCCTCATCTCATTTGGTGAAATGACTGTCTTTCTCTTAGAAAACTGCATATTCTCTTTTCCTACTCCAAGACATCGTGGCCTACAAGGTCTTTCATATCCATCTACCGTTCTAGCTTCATCTGTGAAATAATTAGGCGTAGAGTGTTGACTTAGTTCAGTGTTACTTCTCAGCCAGAAACCGACCTTCATTCAATTGTGTTTCTGGCTGCCCTGTTGTACAATGTTACCTGTCCTGGCCACATACAGAAGTGTGACCAAAGCTGGCCCAGTCTTTGAGAATTTGGAATTGTGTTCAGGGAGAGGAAAGCCCATCTCTTTTTGTGGCTGAAACTGTTGTATGTAAACTTGGAAGCAGAAGAGCTGGTGTACTTCCAGAAATCCTTCCTGAGGGCTTTCTGGATTTCTGCTTTTAGATTCTTTTAAGGGGGAAAACAGCTTTACTTAGTTTTTCTTTTAAAAAAGCAAACAAAAAAGTACCTTTCTACTCATAGGCCCTCTCCTCCAAGTGTATCCCGCTTTCAGCCCACTTCCCTCCCCATGATCTAACAAACTAAATATTTGGTATAGCAGCCCTGGCTGGTGTGGCTTTGTGGGATGAGTGCAGGCCAGCAAACTGAAAGGTTGCTGGGTTGATTCCCAGTGAAAGCACATGCCTGGATTGTGGGCCAGGTCCTTTGTTGGGGACGTGGGAGAGGCAACTGATCGATGTTTCTCTCTCACACCAATGTTTCTTTCCCTCTCTCCCCTTCTCTCTTAAAAAGATCAATAAGTAAAAATATTTGGCATAGCAAGAAACCCAAAGACTCAACTCTTGGCATCCATTGTAATTATTAGTGACATCCATTCTAATTGTTAGTGGTCATGACAGTAAACTGTCACCTACCTACCCCACCACCCACAGTCGCTGCCACACGCAAATTCCTGCCTTTTAGACATTGCCATTGTGATTGGCTTCTGTGAACCCAAGAGGACTGGCCTCACATGGGCCTCCCCTGGGCATGGGATTCCTACGTGGGGTCCCCTGTGAGACTGCTATTTTGTGCCTACCAGCCTTCATCAACTACCGCTCAGCCAGAGGGTCTAAATACAGCAAGGGAAGTGGTTTAGATGCTGAGGGTGCAGGTTGGCTGCAGCTGCCCAATGCTGACTTAATATCCCCTGGAGTCACCCTTACATTATTTCTTGGGGGGAACTATAGTATCAGTGGGAGTCTGGTTCTGGGCCAGCTGATGAGAGCAGAGGGGGTCACAGGAATGTCTGGGTGCTGAGAGCTCCAATAGCATAGTGGGTACTCCAGCAACAGGAGGTAAGGTCATGGAATGTGGATCAAGCTTATGGGAGAGTGGGGCATAGGAATGCCCATGAGGTGGTCCCCTAAAAAAATTTCTGTTGAGTTGTACCTCCATTTAATAGGATAGATTTACAGGTATACCTCAGAGGTATTGCAAAGAGTTCAGTTCCAGAACACTGCGATAGGGGAGTCACATGAACTTTTTGGTTTCCCAGTGCAACTTAGCTAATTTTAGTCCAAGAGGCCTAGTTTTGGGCCCATCTCAGTTTTTGATGTGCCTTTCTTGCTAAACTCAATCATTTCTAGCTTTTGACTTAAAGTGAGAGTTTTGTGACTTCACTTAACACCACTTAGAGGCCACTGTAGGGTTATAAGTTGGTTTGCTTTAAATTCCCCATTTTAAATTCCCCGAGACACAGCCTTAAATGCTGTGTCTCAGGGAATAGGGAGGCCCAAGGAGAGGAACGGCGAAGGGTGGAGCACTTAGAACACACACAACATTTACTCATTAAGTTCATCATCTTGTATAGGCATGGTTTGTGGCACCCCCAGATAATTACAATAGTATCATGAAAGATCACTGATCACATATAACAAGTATATTATAATGAAAAAGTTTGAAATATGAGAATTACCAAAATGCGATACAGAGACGTGAACTGAGCAAATGCTGTTGGACACATGGCGCCTATAGACTTGCTAGAAGCAGTGTTGCCACAAACCTTTACTCTGTGAAAAACAGTGTCTGAAGCACAATAAAGCAAAGTGCAATAAAATAAGGTGTGTTGCATCAAAAACCGTAGAATAAAGTTTTTATTCTTAAAAATGAAAGCTACCACTTAGCACTTGCTTTGTGCTTCAAAAGTATGTTAACTCATTTGAGTATTACAATTATCAACATCACAATTTTCAAGATGAGAAAACTTGAGATAAAGTAGTTATGTAAAAACTAGACTTCCAGTCAAGATGGAACCAGGCACCCCAGCTTCAGAGCCCTACTCTTAAGCCCAATGCTTGAAGATATGCTATGTTTGACTCAGTTAATTATATTACTTTTAAGTAATACAGATAATATTTTAAAGGGGTATGTAATACGAATGTACTTGCTGTTAGTTCAGCAGAAGGTGAGAGCAATCGGTACCATGGACAGTATCAAAAGTAGGGTGCATGATCCATGTGTCCTTCCACAGCCAACCCTCAAACCAGAGGATACCTCCTGTTGAGAAGTGCAATTAGAATATGGTCTAGGGACAAGGGGGTCCTGCTAACCTCCACTCTATACATGTCTCGAAGCTGTGACGTTCAAGCAAGAAGCATTGCCAGTCACCCAGGGTGGCTAATAAGAGGTAAAAATCACACAGGCTGTTTGATTTGTTGAGACTTGGAAATCCACAGAGCATGGCCAGTGAAATTTATGGCACTGACTACTAGCAGAAGGAGCCTCCATGCAGCTAATTTAGGTGACATGGAATTTGTATCACCAGAGGGGAAAGCCCCATATTCATGGTTGACTCCATCTGACAGGACAGAGAAATTCTGACGATCTCATCTAACATATAAAGTATTTGTACTCTTCACATGTTGTCTACCTTTGGGTCCATCCTCCCAGCCCACCACAATCCCCTTGTGAGATAATTTTGAAGGACCTTAGATGTAGGAACTGTTACCGTTGGGCACTTCCCTGCTGAATCAGAAAAACTGAGTACTTCAGGAGTCATTCTAGCACTAAGGAGGGAAAGCTTCAAAAGTGTTGGTCCTATTATTTCTCTTACTATTCCCATTCATACACTGGTATGGGTGACCAGTAATGGTATTATCCCAGCAATTTCTAAATAGATTTGAAATCTGAAGATTTTTTCTCAATAGGTTTTATAATAGCTCTCTTGCTTTACCTACATCCGTGTACATTGAACATGATGTTGCAGATTAAACTTGACAATTAATTCATAAATTGCAGAACAATGAGACAATGACATCACTTGAAGACTGTAGTCAGTGATCCCAGTGGTGTCACCTTGAAATGCAGTGCTCTGTCCACCGGCTATTGAAGGGCAAAGCAGTTTTCTGACCAGTTAACTTCATGATTTAATCCTCACCTGCATGAATACAGCAATAAACTTTCCATGGAAGTCAGAAAACACTTTTCTCTCCTGTTTGCTAAACCTTCCTGGTTAGGACACAAAATTGAGTTCTGTTACAATGACTATGACATGTAGAGGATTATGTTATGTTTGTGTTGAAGAAAAAACGTCATAATTTATAAATGATTTGGGGCTTAGCAAGAGTAAAGAGTTCACCATATTCTCATTGCTAGAACAAGGAATATTCTTAAATGTTCTGGTAATTTTTTTCCTGATTATACAATAGAATAAATGTTTATTGAAGAAAACTTAGGAAATAAAGAAAAGTATAAAAATCATCCATTGTCTCATAACTTCAAGTAATTTATAAAATTGGAAATGGCACTTGAGGTGAAAAATAATTTCTCTTTGTCTTTAACTTTCTATACTATTACTGTGGAAATACTTTTTGATCAAATTGAGATGAAATAAAATAGATTTTCAATACTTTCTGAGTTAAAGTCTTGTTCATTCTTGAAAACAACAATTCATGATATTTTATACACTTATTTATACAGGATAAACATTGTTATAATTACAAAGCTAAAATGAAATAATTTGTTATTAAAATATGCAACTGAGAAGTAGTTCTACTTAAATTTCCTTATATGAAAAACCAAAAAATCATTTTAATCAAATTGTTTTTTAAAAGATCGATTGGCTTTGGGTTTCCCACCAGTGTTTTTACAAGGGAACAAGAGCAGGAAATGTTTTCATCTTTAATCTCTCAACTTCGGCCTCCAGGACTGAAATCTGTTTGGCTTGTTCCTTTGAAGTATTTCTTAACTTTTGCTGTTGCATCATGTTCTCATATCGTTCTTTCGCAATTTTTTCACAAGTCAATATAGACCCTATCCCAAAAATGAAGAATTAAAGGAATTACTTGGGTTATTTTCTACACGTTTCAATGTAGAAATAGCATTCAGAACAAATGAAACATGGGCATGGCATGCTGGTAGCTTTATAACAACTGCGCAGATTTCAGGAATACTGAAATTTAAAGAATTTAAAGAACCTACAGTTGAGTAAAGGGAAAAAAAGCTTACCCATGGCATTACAGATGTCTTTTCTCTCTGAGACAGCCACCAACTCTTCTCGTAAATTGCAGCTTAGAGTATAATTTGCCACATCTTTTTGATTGCTGACCTTTTCCAGTTTTTTAAGTAGTTTTTTGCAGTTTTCCACATTCTTTTTGTGGGTCTGAAATGTTTGTTCCCATGACAACCCACAAAAATAATTTAAAAAATATATTTTATAAAGATATTATTCTTAAAATGTAAATTTATTATCATCATTAAGAAATCATGTAATCACCATATCCCTAGTGCCTAGCATAATGCCTGCACATAGTAGGTACCTAAATTATTTATTAAAAGATGGAATAGTATGATAATACCACATTTCAGAAAAACATCTTGTATATTCTTAAACATGGGAGAATAATAAAACACATAGCCTTGAGATTACTTTGTTTTCACTTTACATATACTACACAATCAGATCTGAGCATTTGTTAAGCAGTTATAAAAAATAAAAAACCTTTACAAGTCAAGGAAAGACTATCAATATTTTGAATGTACAAATTACAACCTAATGTGAAACAGGAAATTCACATACACTCAGATGTCTCCCAAGGGGTTAATCTTAATAGTCAAAGAAGTGCTCCAGGTTACCAGACTTGTTATGGTGGCAAACACTATTCAGGGACCTCTAATTACATCCTGAAGATCAATAAAGGATCTCAACTTTGTTAGGTTCTGGTCGAGTTCGTGATTTGGAACACCATTACTTTGTATAAATGATCACAACTGTTGGCATTATAATGGTCAATATCTATGAGGCCTACCTTATCTAAAACAGCGATGGTTTGCTCCATTATTCCAATCTGAATAGCAATCAGAGTCTCATAGTTTGGTTCATTTAGAAACTTTGAGAGAAGAAAAAAAGATTCAATATATATAAGAACATCTTCTCTATTACTTTCGATAGAAAACTTTATAAAGATTATCTTAGTTTTGAAAGATCCTATTTTCATAAAAACTATACATCTAGGTTAAGATTCCTCTGACTTTTGTGCTATATTGTATTTAGCCACTAAAATGCTCACCTATATGCTAATAATTACAAGTTCCTAGAGATTATTTTCCCATTCACTCAAATCACCAAATATTTCCCGTCCCATGCGAGTCCCATGTTAACAGTGTGCCAGTTACAGACACTGAAGAAGACACAAAGATAAGTCACATGATCCGCTGTCAAAAAAAAGAGAACATGTAGAATTGATTAGTTGCCAGAAAATATGTAAAATGACATGCAGCTTCAAAGGTTGAGATGGGATGTGGTTTCTCTGGATTGGGGGAAATCAAAAAGTTTATGTAGGAGATGGCATTTTAGCTAGATTTTGAAAAATAGATTTGGGATGTGAAAAAAAATGAGGAAAGATATTTTAGGAAGAAGAACTCTTGGTGAGCAAAGGCACAGAGAGAGAATCCGAGATAATAGTAGTCAGCTGGGTTTGAGAATACTTATGTGGGGGCAGAGGAACAGAGGGACAGTGGGAATGAACTTGAAAAATAAGCTTGAGGAACACTGAACACCCACTTAAGGATTTCATAATTCATTTGCCAGGTAAGAAGCGGAAGTTTAAAATGTCTGAGCAGAGTAGTAATGCTATTAAAGCTGAATGTGAATATTAATTTGACAATAGTATATGGTATAGCTAGATAAGAGAAAGAGCCAAAGTCAAGAGACCAGTTAGGAGATTATTATAAAATAGTCTAAATCATTGGAAAGGAAGTCCTGAGTGAGAGTAAAGGCAGTGGGAATAGAGAACCAGGGAATGCAGAGATAAACGAGGCAAGACATGGAAGGCAAGACAGAGAGGGTACTCACAGACAACCACACCTTTAAGACTGGGTGTGTGGCTGAAAATATCAGAAATAAGCAAATTAAGAAGATTTGCTATTGGCATGTGGAGAATATAGAAATAGGGCTCTGGAGGTCAGGGCCAGAGAGCTTGGAATGGAATTAAAATTCAATTGGAATCCAGAGAGCTTGGATTAGTCTTTTAAAAGAGATCATTGGAGTTAGAAAAATAGAGATGATAAAAGGAGAGGGCATGGAAAGAAACACAAGCAGAGTTAAGGGCAGAGTCTCAAAAAATAGGTATATTTAAGAATTAGAAGCAAAAGAGAAATCAGTAATAGAGGCAGAGTGGTATGACATGTTGGAAAAAAATAAGGAGAAAACAGGGATGTAAAAGCTAAAGCCACACCGGCCCTGGCTGGTGTGGCTCAGTGGATTGGGTGCTGGCCTGTGAACCAAAGGGTCACTGGTTCAATTCCCAGTCAGGGCACAGGCCTGGGTTACAGGCCTGGGTTGCAGGCCAGGTCCCCAGGTAGGGGCTTCCAAGAAGCAACCACACATTGATGTTTCCCTCTTTGTCCATTTCCCCTTCTTTCTAAAAATAAATAAATAAAATCTTTTTAAAAAAAGCTAAAGGATTGGGCAGTTAAGATGGTCAAATGCCACACAGAGTTGAAGGATGGTGATGACCGAGAAAGTGACTACTGGATCTGACAATTAGGAAATCCTTAGTGAACTGCAAAACAGAACTATAGAACTGAATGGGTCACAAAGAATCCAAGGCAGCAAATGTAAACTACTAGAAGAAAAAGAGTTCATAGACACACTATGAAATACTACTGGCTTAGAATATGCTTGATATCACAGAGGCTTCTTATTAAATACTGGTGAAATAAATAAATGCACTAATGAATAAAATTAAAATTATATAGTAGGGCAGGGAGAACTTACTTTCTGACGTTCTCTTGAAAAAAACAGCATCTGAATATCCCAAGCCTTTTGATTTAGATCTTCCATTTCCATCTCCATTTTCTTATGTTCCCATTCAATCTGAAATATTCCTTTGTGGATATCTTTAGTTTCCATCATGCTAGCAACTTTCTTTTGTCCTTGAGCCTTAAAAAATAAGGTACATTCTGATATTTCTATAATATGATTCTGAACAAAGAACAGAGAATATCTGAAGCTGTATCCTGTAATTAGAAAACACTTAGATCACAGAGATAAGTTTTTTTGTGTAAGAATATAGCAAATATTTTAAAATTACTTCTTGGGCAAAATCTGATCACTATAAAGCACAATAGTTGCTGAACAGAAGGAATTATAAGACAAAGGTGAATGGCATAGCCAGTGGACCTGCCAATGATTAGGCAGACCAATCCCCCATCTTCCAATCTGTGTGCATTTGCAGCCTGCTTCCCGGTGCTCTAGAGAAACTTTAACCAAAACCTCAAAGGCAGACACATTACATTAAAGGGAATAAAGGTTTTTAAGAAAATGCAGTGGCCATCATATCAGAAACTCTGTAAGCCAGAAGAAAATGGACAACTTTGTCATGAAAATGAAAGAGTAAAAAATATTTGATACAGCAAGTAATACGTGGTTGTTTTTTCTCTTTAAAAAGTGATAATTACCCGAATCACAGAATTCAGGTCTTCAATGATGTTCCTGTTGATGAGAATTGCATCAGAATAATCCAGCAATAACTGGAAATTTTCCACTTCTACTTGTCCTTGTTTAAGGAGAACTTGGATTGTCAAATTCAGTTGGAATTTCACTTTCTCTTCCTGCAACCTAAATTGAAAAAGACCTCCAAGTCAGTAGTGGCAATATACTTATATTTTAAATTTCACCTGTTATCTGAGAATATAAATCCAAACTTAAATTTCTTTTAGTAGAAGGAAAAGTTGCTGGAAATTAGTGTGGAAAATATTTTCCCAATGATGAGCTTTCCCAGAGATCTCCATGATGCCTCTTCTTATTGGGCTGCTCAAAGAATGAAAGGGACAGAAATACATTTGCAAACTTTCTCTCTATGATTTAAAAATATTAATAATATAACTGTGATCATTAAGTAGAAGAAAATAAAGATGCTACCAAAAAACAAATTTATCGAAGTCCTGTGTATTGACTTTTGACATTATATTAACAATATTTGATATGCTACTTATCAAATCTATTTCTGGGTAATTCATATATCTCTGAATAGCCTAGATCTGAAAATGATGTATAATGTTGAGTTTGGAAACATCAGGAAAATATTTTTCAATGTGGCGACAAATATAGCCCAAAGTAAAGCAAGGACAAAACAGGATCCCCATCAGCCAGCAAAATACAACAAGCCCCCCTAAAGAAAAAGATATTGGCTGGTTATGTATCTAAATGGAAATTTCTTGGATACTTGCTTAATTTTTCACACAGTTGTTCATATGGCTTGAGCACAAAAGTACTCAGTAGCAGAAACAAATTCTCTATATAGAATAGTTTTATGTGGAAGAAGCAGATGAAAAAATACTAAGATTTTTCCAAAAGTTACCTATTTCCTATAATAGCAATGGAACATGTAGGCACGTTCCATTTGGAAATAAGGTATTCTGTAACAAGGGGCACTTGGAAGTCCGAAGAGATAGATAGGTCTCTGGTAGCTGTAGGTTGGTGTGTAGGCATTCCTCCCCCATGGTAATATAAGCTAACCTAGCCTTTGCTTAGACTTTGAATAAATGAATGTGAATGAAAGGTTTGATTTACAGAATAAGTTCACGGGACACTCTTTCAATTTCCTGTTGCACCTTCTCATCCTCGTCACCTCTCCTCCGGTGAAAAGCCACCACTTCCATTAAGCCAGCTGCTTTCTGCTTTACCTGAGGAGACCAAACCACAGACATCTCAGAGCATATGGAGCTATAGAAATAAAAGCAAACTCATTTTAAAAAAACTTTAGAAAACACACTTTTCTTAACTTTGCTAGAAAACCCTAACAACCTCATCTTTCTAAGAGATTAATACAAATTTAAATCCCTGCCATTATGTAATAAACAAGATATCTAAAACTTATATGTTATCTCCCATAATTTGAAAAGTATCAAATTTTCTTCTTGCTGAAAATCAAATATGCAAACAACTAGAATTTTTCTTATATCGTATTTTAAAATTTGTTCTCTTCACATTAAATTATAAAATCATTTATACCTTATCAAAAATATGCAAACCTAATGTCTGTGGCACTGAATTTTGGGAATTTGGGGGAGAGGAGGTAGGGGTGGTCAAGAAGCAATAAGAGGAAGGATTCTCTTTCTAATTAAACACACTCTCAACTTGTTATCCTTTGCTACATTTAAAAAATATTATAGCAAAACTATAAAGATGTTTCTGGTGAAACATAATTCTAATCTATGCAAAAGGAGATGAAGACTACTCAAGGCCAAGGCAGAGAGGAAAGGGAAGTTATGTGTACAACCAAGAGAAATGTAATGTGAGCCATAAATGGAAGCCACGTATGTGACTTGAAATTTTGTAGTAGCCACATTATAAAAAGTGCAATTAAACAGGTGAATTAATTTTACTAATGTATTTTATTTAACACAATGCATCTAAAACACTACCATTCCAACTTGTAATAAATATAAAAATATTGAGACATTTTCTATTATTTTTTTATTATTTCTGAAGTCTTCTCAATCTTGTGTATTTTCCCTTACAGCATGTCTCCATTAGGACTAGCCATACTTCTTTCAGGTGAGCAATAATTCATGTAGTGAGTGACCACCCTTTTGGACACTGTGGGTCTACACAAGCAGAGACCTACACTTAGACCTCAGTAGCACTAATGTTAATATTTTATTTCATCACTATTCTTAATATTACTAAATCTTACTCTAGCAGGAAACTGTATATATTTAGATTTTCTGTAAGTATTGACCACCATAAACCATATATTTTATATTAGTACATTAGATGAAATTAAATGAAATAAAATGTTATGACATACTTTTTGTTCGTTTTCCACTTTCACTCGTCTGGTCGTACAGAAATGATTCCAGACCAAGGGGTTCAAGCCTTCTGGCATGTTGTTAATGTTGTCCAGGTCATCCATGGCTTTCATTAACTGGGCAAAGGCATCGGCATTCAATTTCCCAGACCCTGGCCGCTCTCCAAAAGGCACGATACTAGTCATATCTGAGTGCGGTTTCTGTTTGTGGATCCTGGTATTATCAATAACAGCCTATCAACATTTCGTATTCTCATACACACACAAAAATCAATGTTAAATAATATCACCCTTACCATAGGTATGACATTGTGTAACACTTTCCTTGGGCACTTGAGGGCACTTGAGGGCACTTGAGAGAAGAGCAGCTACTCTGACCTGTTTCTACAGCCTCTGGACCCCCAGATGTGACCTTGGCTGGACTAGAAGATGTCCCTAACTATTGTCAGCACTGACAGATCTACCTGGATTAGAAAATGTCTCCCTTCTTAAAGGAGAAATAAAGAGTTTCCCGGATGAGCAAAACAAAAACAAAAACAAAACCAAACCACAGGAGTTCATCACCATTAAACCAGCTTTACAAGAAATGTTAAAAAATCTTCTTTAAGCAGTAAAGGAAAGGCCATGACCAGAAATAAGGAAATATAAGAATTAAAAAATGCACCCTTCTGTGTATTTTAAGGTAGCAAGTACATGACGAAGACAAGAGTGATGCTTCCTTGTTCTGTCCCACATCCTTGCTGGTACCCTTTTAGCAGGTGAGTGGCTTTGACTATATTCTGATACATACATAACCTGAGGAAGTGCCTCTTTTATCTGCATTAATACATCAGGTTTGTTTCCCTAGGTTACAGCTGGGAAGAGAATTCACTGTCAAATGCTTTACAATACACTGTGAAGGGACTTTGTTATCCTCTTTCTGTAGGTGAGGAAAGTGAGGCTCTGAGAGAAGCTATTATTGGTCCAGGTCACAGATCTGATGGTGAAGTTAGGATTTAGGGCTAACTATGTTTGACAGTAAAACTTACCCCTTTTCCACTGCTGCCTCCCAATATATGAGAGGTCTTGGTACTTTCTTAACAAGGCTTATTATAACTCATTACATTAAAAATAGGGAAATCAAGATATGAGGTATGTTCTAAGTTGAGTTTTCAGGTTGCATGTAACCTCTCAAAGGTGAGAGAATGAATTTGTATCTCAGACACAAATGAGCCTATACCTTTGTGACATTTCTAGATTACATTTAAAAATTATGGAAATATGAATTTATAAAAATTTGGGAATATGCAGGAATGTGATTCTAATACTACTCTCAGTATAAAAATCAGATATTTTAGAACATTTTTAAAATCCTCACCTGAGTACATCTTTTCATTGCTTTTAGAGAGAAAGCAAGGGAGACAGAGAGACAGGGAGGGAAAGAGAGAGAGAGGGGGATGTCAGTGTGAGACAGAAACACTGATCATTGCCTCCTGCATGCTCTCTGACTGGGGACTGAAACTGCAACCTAGGTGTGCCCTGACCAGGGATCGAACATGTAACCTTCTGGTGTACAGGACCAGCAGGGAGAGAACTCTTCTGATAACAGTTATTTTCAAGCATTTATACTGGCATTTTTCAGACTCTGTCTTGAACACAGTCACATGAGATGCTCTGAGAAAAAGTGATTTGTGGTCAAACAAGTTTGGAAAATGCCGTGCACTCTATTTCTTGCACTTGGAGACCCAAAGACTAGAAATAAGTTCTGAGAAGTTCTTGTAAAGGAAACTGCTTAACTTTTTTTTTTAACCTGGTGTTTCCCCAAACTTATTTTGTCTTGGAAGCCTTACATAATCCCAATTCACACCACAAAGGACTAAATTTTCCTGGGACGCCTCTTAGGAAAGCCTATTTATAAATCTGTATACCATCTGTGACTTAAGAGGAACTATTTTCTCATATAAAATGGAACCTACAATTTTACTATGCTTACCTACTTAACAATTTTTTAAGATTTTATTTATTTATCTTTAGAGGGTAAGTGAAGGAGAGAGGGAGAGAAATATCAATGTATGGTTGTCTCTCGTGTGTCCCCTGCTGGGAACTGGCCTGCAACCCAGGCATATGCCCTGAATGGGAATTGAACTGTGATCCTTTGGTTTGCAGGCACACGCTCAATCCACTGAGCTACACCAGCCAGACCAACAATTCTTAAATAATTAAAAGAAATGATTATTCTTCATTGCCTACCTTAAGATATAAGAATAATATCAAAAAACAGAGTTCTAATGAAGACATGAACATTTTCACATAAACCATATTAGACTGAATATTTCCATCTAATTAGGAGAAGAACCTGGAATCTAGTAACATTCCTGTCCATTTACAAACTACTCCTCAGAAACGTGATAGCGAAGTAGAAACAAACCTTGGTCGGCGTTTAAAAAGTCTGTACAGTATATCCACCTGATGACTGGGAATTTCAGAAAACTCCTTTTTAAAGCTGCGATCCAGAACCTAAGCACAAACAGATCATTGCCAGAATTGCAATTTTTCGGAAATGTTTTATTTGTTGACAATACCCTTTAAAATATAGGGTTCTGTGACTTTGATTTTTAAAATCCATGCAAACCTGGATTATAAAGTAGGCTTGGTAGGGAGTGACTACTCACTGAGCAAGGATTTCTTAAATATTTACTTTGAATAGGAAGCACATCAGTGAATTAAAAATATTATTTCACATAAGAGGTTTTAGAAATCATTCAGAACTGAAATTTCACAAAATGATATTTACCCATAAAACATTCAAGGTACTCTAATCTATTCTTATTCTATTCTATTCCATTCCATTCTTCTATATACACTTTTATTTTTCATTATAAAACTGCTGATCATAGTCTACCAAAGTGACAGCATGACTGCCTCATGGTGCCCATGACCTGAAGTTTGAAAAGCCCTAAAGTGCAGATGATCCTTCTCATTTTTGACAAGCTTAAACCAGAGATATTTACAAAAATTTATTTTACACAGTGATTCTTAGAAATCTACAATGGCATAGAATGAAGTTCACCCATAACTGAGAATTATAGTAGGAGAAAAATCTATGAGGAAATTAAATTATATTCCTTCTAATCTCCCCTTAACTCCTGGCAGCCGCGCTTTACGGCACTGGCGAGTGGGTAAGACAGTGGCTCTCACCTTGTCTTCCGCCAGTAAGTTGTCATAGTGTTCCTTGTACATGTCGAGGTCTTCTTTAGATTTCCGGACAGCCTCTGAAGTCTGGCTCTGTAATAACATTGGGAATGGCCAGTTGTAACTGTGTATTTTTTCAGGAGAAACAAAAATATTGGAAGGTACTAAAAAGAACAAGGAATTTCCTACTACAAGATAAATGTGTCAGTGAAATATTCATTGCAAGCAACATTTATAGAGGAAAATAAACCAGCTGAGACTTTGAAAGAATGAACATTCAATCACCTGTGTCTGAGTAGAGCTAGCTCTGTGTGTGAGTGTGGAAGTCACTGCAGAACTAGCTATGCTTGGCAGGGCATATGGATGATAAAATCTCACAGGCTTGGGGGTCGCCTGGACCTGGTTCTGAGAGACAGAATAGGTAAAAGGACAATGGCCAGACCGCATGTGAAAATAGAACTCTGACTCACAACCTGTGCAGCAATTGGCCCCAAACTGCCAAGACTCAGAAAATAACATTCAGATTTCTTAATTTTTGCCACAATTTCCAATTTGGAATGAACTAGAGAAAGTCAATATACTCCCCAAACTAATTACACAGGTTGCCAGATTCCTAATTAACTTGCCCCCAGATTCCTCCTCATGCCAAATACTTCAGATCAGAGGGCACCTGAAGGCCTCTCTTTTACTCATTATAAGGCTTTCCCATCCCTCTGCCTGTCTTTGAGTGTCTGCCAAAAACAAATGATGGTGGCTGATTCCGTCTATCCCAAGCTCTGTATATAGAGTTCACACATTCTCACTGGGGTGGTCTTCGTTTGTTTCCACAGTTCCAGCTCCCGCTATATTGCGTACTACTGGGTGACTTAGGCATGTTGCCAGTCTCTCCGAGACGGGCTCCAAAACCCCCGGGTGTGGTGAGTAGGGCTGTATTTAGAAGGGGCCTTGCATATGCTGCTTGACAGACTCTGAGCAGAAAGTAAGTACATATACCACATATGACAATTTATTCATTCATAAATGTCTTTTATTAACATTATCAGTAAAAGCTGACATTTTGAAAATTATGGGACAAGCATTTTTCTTTCATTGTCTCTTTAAAGAAACATATCTATTTGTGTTTCTATTAACTCGATAGAGGTTTTCAGACTATGACATCTTTTTATTCTGTAAGATAATCCATTGCTTACATGATTAGTAAAACTTAGGATGTCAAATGGTGCAGGCAGAACAATATTCCCTAGTGAAGAGCTTGCAAATAGCTTAAAAGGCTAAAAGTCTTGCCCAAGGCCCCATAGCCAGCCAGTGGTTAAAAGCAGCTCTTTTCAACCATGAAGATACATGACCTCATTTAGAAACAGTATGTCATATAAAAAAGTACATGCTTCCTTTGACTAAATGATGGCAAATGCAGAATCACATAACTTTACTAACAAGTCGGAACGCACGCTTTTACCAACCCTGGAGCAAAGTCCCAGACGAGGAGCCGGGGAACGCACACAGTGGAATTAGGAACATAGAAGGAAGGAAGGGTCTGGGTGTGTGTGTGCTCTTGTTAGCAGGGACCATGTCTATCAAAAATGCTGCACTTGGATACCCTATCCCATACTTACTCTCTCTTCCTGCTTTCTTCTAAGATAGTTGTTCAGGAACATTTCTCTGGAGCTTATTTCTTCATCCAACAGCAGAGAAAAAACAAGGTTATTTATTTTCAATTCTTCCTGTAGAAATATTTAAAAGGGGAGTGATGGTCAATACTTCTACCCAAGAAAGGATTTTCTACTGAGTGTCAGAGACTTGGCACTTATCCAGCAAGTTCATGACATACAAGTAAGAGAAATGCCTTTTAAAAAAATGGGAATATAAACTGCTACAATACCGACTCATTTGCTTTGCACTTTTCATCATTTCTCTGTAAGATAAAACATATATACAGAAGAACACATAAAACAAATGTGGAGTTTGACAAGTTATTAGAAAGGCAGAAGCTCCTGTAGTCACCACCCAGGCCCAGAAACAGAACTTCGCCACTGCCCAGAGCCCCTTCTGTGTGTCCCCTGCATAATCTCAATCCCAGTGACCACTGTCCCAATTTAGAGTAATCCCTTTCCTGTGTGTCCTTTTAGTTCTTTATTGCTCAAGTATGTATTTCCAAGTACTAGAGTAAAACTTGTTCATTTGCAAAATTGTCACTTTTTTTTAATTGTCACCTTTTTAAAGTCTCTTATACCCTACAGGTTCCCTTCCATGCCTTTCTTTTCCTTACATTTAGTGGTAGTTATCTGCAGTTTCACCTAGTCTGGGTTCAACAACTGCATATTTATGTGAACTTATCAGGGTCCTTCATCCCATGTATTTCCTGAAACTCGGCAGCTGGATCAGAGGCCTGCTGAGACCCACGTCTGGTCCCATTGGCAAGACAGCAGAGGACACTGTGTCTGACCAGGAGAGATACCTGCAGTATCGGGTTGTCTTTCTTTTCACAAGGTTAGTGGCTATGAGTGCTCAATGCCCAGGCCCATTCAGAGTTGCAAAGTGGTACTAGTCTACTTCTGTTATTCCTTTTTTACTTACTAGTTGAAGTTATTTTATAAAGAGATGTTCCTCCTTATCTACTTTTTCCATTACTTAATGGTATAGTTCACATAGAAAGGCAGAACAAATACTTGATACTTTCTCTTTACCAATTTTTATATAATGAATTAGCTGTTATCCTCTGAAAGTGAACAATTAGCATTTTTAAAAAATATCACAAACTCATAACTTTAAACAAATTTGATGGGTTTTGGTTAATTGCAATTATTATTATTGTTGAGTCATAAATTTTTCCATTTATGGGAAATTTTATCTTATATTAATTTTTATTTACTGATTCTAAAGAAAGATAGAGAAAGGGATCAATTTATTGTTCCACTTACCTATCCATTCATCAGCTGTTTCTTGTATGTGCCCTGACTAGGGATCAAACTTGCAACCTTGGTGTATTGGGATGGTGTTCTAACCAACTGAGCTACTTGGCCAGATCCATTTAGGGGGGATTTTAAAGTTGGCTCCTGAGTCCTCTTGATATTGCCTAGTAGTCTTTGATAGTTTCTTCATTATCATCTATGAAAGATGTTCTAAATATATCTTTTACAAAATTACAGCTTTTAAAAGATATGCTTCCCAATCCATACAATTCACTTATTTAAAGTGTATAATCCCATAGTATTTTGTATATTCATGGAGTTGTACAACCATCACCACAATCATTTTTGAATATTTCATCACTCTGAAAAGAAATCCTTTAGCAGTCATTTCCCTTTTCTTTCCACTGCTCATCCCCGAGAGGCCTCCCTGCCCAGCCCCAAGGGAACCATAGTTAACTTTCTGTCTCTACGGATTTGCCTATTCTGGACATTTCCTATCAGTTGAATTATTCGATATGTGGCCTTGGGTGTCTAACTTCTTTCACTTGGCTGGTTTTCAAGGTTCATCCATGTTGTAGCATGTACTATTTTTATTGCTGAATAGTATTCTATTACATGGCTAAGGCATATTTTATTTACCCAGTCATAATTGCTGGGCATTCAGATTATTTTTACTTTTTTGGTCATTATGACTAATGCTACTCTATGACTAATGCTGCAGTATTCACTTCTGGTCTTCCCCCACCTAACCACCATATACATGCACTCCCTTCCTGCTGGGAAGTCACTGTGCTCTGTCTACGGCTATGACTGCTAAGGAGCGGCCCTCTCCCAGGCCTACAGGTCTTGCTGGGTCCTGGTCATAGCTGCCTTCCCTTGCCTCTCTAGCTCTAGAGATGATAATGGTTTCCAGTTTTTCTAGTCTCTGTGTGTTTCACCATCCCTTGCTGTTCCCCTTAACCCTGTCTAAACCTCAGTAAAGAATCCCTGAATTAAACTCTCTTAAAGGAAGTCCTTTCAGTATCCCATTTTGTTGGGATGCTGAGGCTACAGACATCCTCCTGAAGGTTCCTTTAACTACCCTCATCTTTTTTGGTTGGTCCCTTTGCTTTGGTGAGACACATCTTTCAATTTCTCCCTCAGAATAGATGCATATAAATTTTTGAGACCTTGTACTTCTTAAAATCTTCTTCTTTTCTTGCACATGAATCCAATGTCAGGAATAATTTTCCCTCAAAACTTGAAGGTTTCACTCATTCATCTTCTTGCTTCTAGTTACACACTTCACTGATATTGTTACTACTGAATTGAATTTAGCCAGATTCTCCACCTGATCTTTTGGGCATGTGGAATATTTATTCATTTAGCATATAGATGAGCCTAGCCCTTTGCTAGTTGATGGAGATACAGGGATGGGCAAAAAAGACTCAGACACTACCCTCATGGAGATGACAGTCTTGGGAACATTAAAAAGTAATCTCACATAAATTGAAACTCAGTTGTATAACAAGTGATAGAATGTAAAAGAACAAAGTATATAACAGAATAGCTTACATAGTTTGAGGAACTGGCCTTTATGCTGGGATCTGACAGATGAATAGATGTAGGCCAGGATGCAAAACAGCTGGCAGAGCTGGGGGGAAGGACACGGTGGTGTGTTCACGACACCGGAGGAGAGAGTGTGAGGGAGTGTGAGGGATGCCAGTGAGGGGGAGGATGGCACAGGTGAGGCCAGAGCCTGCTAGACACTGGTCCCAGAAAGGGCGTTGGTCTTTATCCCAAGAACACTGAGAGGACCTGGCAGCTCCTTAAAAAAGAAAGTTATATAAGGAAACTTTTACCTGGTTGACAACCATCTCTGCTTTCACTCTCCTTTCAAAGAGTCTTTTCAAAAGCTCATCAAAATTCTGTGTGCTTTCTTGAATTGAGTTCTGAAGTTTCTTCAATTCTGCTTCTAGGGACTGAAAGGAAGTCAACAGCAGGTTAACGTTCAGGAACATCAAATGCTCCTACAAGCGGTGTTCACATTTTGCCACAGGGAAGGGCAGGTGGTGGGCAGGTCCTGTGAAGTGTTGTGGCCCTCAGGCCCCCTTCGGTCAGAGCTGTTCCACCTGGATTTACTCAATTATTGTGAGTCTGATATTTTTGCTTAAAAAAGATTACACTGAAAAAAAAAGGTGAAATTACTGATTGTTACTAATGAAGCAGGTGGCAGTAGGCCTAGTGAAACAAACCGCAGCAAATCTTTCCAGAAAATTCCGACTATATGGGACAGAAATTGCCAGGCATACAATTAGGCTTGGAAAAAAATCTTGACTTTTCAAAAAGCTGTAAATACTTCTTCATGTAATCTTTTAGATTTTAAAGAAATAAGTATGTGTGTGTGTGTGTGTGTGTGTGTGTGTGTGTGTGTGTATGCACATTCTTTCTTGGCTTTGTTTTGTTTTGTATGCTAGCCTTATCAGGAGAAAAAATTTCCACCTGTTTTTTTGTAAAAAATTCCACCAGGATAGAGAGCTAAGCACACAGTAGGTAAGTGAATAGCTATAAATTTACATTTGCAAAGAAAACAACTTCTGCAGATCAATTCTAGACATATTTACAAATAATTTTTATCTTTAAAATTTTTGTAGCTTTTAAGTTTTGATATGACTTCAAATTTACAGAAGAGTTACAAGAATAATACAAGCAATTCTCATAAACTTTTAATCAATTTAATCATATAACACTCTGCCTCATTTACTTTATCACTTGCTCAATATCTATTCCCCTCTCCTCCTCCCTCCCCCTCTTTTTAAAGATTGAGGAGAGAGAGATTGGACTGAACACAGATTGCTTCTGGAGTTTTTTCAGGAGACACTGCTTAGTGGATCGAGAAGAAAGTGGGATTAAGGGAATTTTTTTCAACTCTTTATTTTGAAATTAATTTCAGACTAATATAAAAGTAACAAGAATAGTAGAGAGAACTCCAGAATCCCCTTCAAGGGAATCCTGTTTTTCTTTTATATAAGATGAGAGATGTATACAAGGTAAAAGATTGCACCACATGTGTGTTTGTGGGAAAAATCCAGTAGAGAGGGAAAAACTGATGCTGCAGGAAAATGGGGGCAAATTGCCATAGTAACGATGCTGAGTGGGTGAGACGGGATGGTATTAGTGCTCAAGTGGAGGACCGGGCTCCAGCGGATGCAAGGACATTCCATTCATAAGAAACAGCAAGGCGGGGAGATTCTATGGATTCAGTGTAGGGCTCCGGACATAGTGGTGATAGAAGAGTAAGAAATTTTTTTAGTTGCTTCTCTTCTCCAAGAGAAACAGAAAATAAGGTGATGGGGGTTTGGCGTTGGAAGCTTGAGGACAGAGAACGTGAAGTGGTCCTCTAGGACCTGGTTACTCCAAGTGGAGTCGGCGCACTAGCATCAGCTGCACCACCTGGTCGCTTGTTAGAAATCTGAGGATGCTTCCATCTCCTCAGAATGATGGAATCCAAATCCGAATGTTTAGCAAGATCCCCAAGGTGCTGAAGACTAAGCTAGCTGCGAAATTGAATAGTATCTCTGAGCAGCTCTCAGGACCTAATAAAGATTAAAGGGAGGTGGAGAAGGTACGGGGTGGGGGGGAAGAGGGGTAAGTGGTGATGGAAGGAGACTTGGTGGGGAACACACAATCCAGTGTGCAGACAATGTGTTGTGGAATTGCGCACCTGAAACCTGCATAATTTTGTTAACCAGCATAACCCCAATATATTCAATAAAAATAACTAATGAAAACATAGAAAAAAAAAGATTAAGGCCGTGAGAGTAAAGCCAGTCAGTGTTTTTCTTCTTTACCCACTGCAGGTGCGTGGGCAGAGAAGGCCAGGTACTGACTGGGCTTACACAAGGCGGGGTTTACCAGGCAAGTGCGGCCCAGGAGCAGAGCGGCGAGGACGCGGGTTCCGCACTACCTCAGAGGGCAAGGCCACGGAGCAAACGCCGCCCCTTATGTAAGTCCCCCAACTCCCTGAAATCTTTACTGCATATGAAACTCTTCATTTTGGCTTTCAGGTAAGTACTGTCTTAGGATGAAACGCACGGACACTGTTGGAGGGAGGCAGTGGATGAAACAGGCCAGGTTAACCAGAGGTTCCCGCACCTGTTCGAGAGATGCGGCTGCTATAAAGCTGACCCACTGTCCTGCTGCAAGTGATGTTATGACTTTACTTTCATCACTGAGGAATAAACATTATTTATTTGGTTGTATACTATCCGTTTTTATATCTCCATCATAGTTGTATAATGTGGCAATGTTTCTTTTTCTTAAAAAGATTTTATTTTTAGAGAGAAGGAAGGTTGGGAGAAAGAGGGGGAGAGAAACATCAATATGTGGCTGCCTCTCATGTGCGCCCCACTGGGGATCTGGCCCGCAACACAGGCATGTGTGCCCTGACTGGGAATCGAACCGGTGACCCCTTAGTTTGCAGCCCACGCTCAATCCACTGAGCTACACCAGCCAGGGAGGTGGGAATGTTTCTTTGTGATGAAAGAAGATGACGGTAGGAGAAGTGCTTTGCAAACACTCAGATTAGAACCGCAGTGCCTGTGCCACACTGCCTGTGTTCTCTCAAGCCCCTTCCTTGTGACGGAGAACACATCGCACAAAGCACTGCCGAACTCGAGTGGGCGCAGACGACGCAGAGCAGCGCCGTGCGCACCCAGGACCGCTGCTCACCAGACCTCGCGGCGACGTGGGAAGCGCTGAGATCTGTAAGAACTCTAAGAGATGTCAAATACATTCTTTAAATATTATTCTAGCTTTTTAACTTTATCTCCACTCACTTTCCCAAATTCTGTTGAACATTTCATTTGAAACACTATCCTTAAACTACTAAAGACAATGAGAAAATCGAGAACACTTAATTTGAAAATATATTGAAACAAAACCTTGGATATGGTAGGGTATATTAATTCCTTGCTCTTCTGACCTTTCTGTACTTATCTCTTTCTTCATTTAACTCCTTGACTTTTTTCTCGTAGTCTCTGAATTGTTTCTTCTCCTCTTCAGTCCACACGGCGTCAGGTTTTGCCACGAAAGCAGGCGGAGGGATCACCTGAGGATATAAAGCAAAGCGTATACGTACACTGCAGCTCAAACCTACATGTAGCCGAACGATAAAAGCTCAGCGCTCCCATTACAGTTAAAAACAAGAGCCCTTTAACCCGAGTCCTTCACATGGGCAAGACTGGCCTGACACTTTGACCAACATACAAGAAAAAAATGTAACAGCCGCTCTTCTGTAACTTCAGTGGCATTGGGCAGTCTGGGATGTACCCAAACTTGAGTGACAGGTTTGGAGTTTTGTGCTGATATCTTCACAGCTAGAGCTACACATGGCTCTGGGGACACCTGTGTCAGGTATTGAAGGGAATGTTTCTCGGGAGAATAACGGGTGCAGCGGTATCAGTGCTTTCGGTAGAGACCAAAACCACTGTTGTTGCTTGTTTTTGTTTGGAAGGCATGTCTGGGGTTTCCAAGTACTTATTTGCCTTATGTGGTATGTTTATAAGGTACTGGAGGTTGTGTTTTTGTTGCTGTAGAGTTTCTGAAACTCAAATTCACAAAGTCAAAAAAGGTCAGATTTAAGTAGTTCTTTTCACCCCATTCCACCTTCCATAAGGATGTCCGGAAATCTCACCATCCTCAAAATGTCTTCCTTCTTGACCTCCAGCACTCCTCCCATCATGTCCATCAGGGCGCGGTGTCTGGTTTCAGAGGCCTGGGAAAGAGTGGGGGTCAGTGAGGGCAGCTGACTCAGACACAGGGTGCTCTGGTGGCACGGGGTGGGGGGGCGGGGGCAGCCTCCCACTCAGTGTAAGAAGGACTGCACTTAGGACTGGGGAGGGTGAACAGTGGCCTGCTCCGGGGGAGGGGGGAGAGAGACCACCGAGATTCCAGTGACCTCTGACCATGACTAATGTGCTGATGTGTTTCCGTGGTGGAGTCCAAGTACAAGACTGTTAAGCCACGTTAGGAACAGGTATCCCTAAAGGAAAGAGAGCCTTAGGTACTGCGCAAAACTGCATACCTGTAATTGAAGCCATTGCTCCCTTTTCTGGGTCGTAATCAATTCTGTTTTGGCTTTTTGCCATGGTTTAATATGTTTCTGAGCTGTAATCTGAAAGAAAATACATAGTTTCCTGCTGTTATTCTTACAAAATTCAACCAACCTTCCCTTTCACATGCCAAGAAAAGGTTAGAAGGTATCAGGGGGATAAAGGGTACGGCCAGATTTTAGTTTCCTATTTTTCAAATGAGAAGGTTGGAAAAAATAGATTATTTCTCTATTAGCTCTCTAAATCCATCTGTCCCTAAAGAAATTGTAACAGAGGACCCACTTTATATTGGAAGGGAAAGGGCCCAAAGGGGTGTCACCTAAGCCAAGTCCTGCAGGATGGAGGCCTGAGAGGTCGAAGTTTGTGACATTCAAGGAATTGTGAGAACGTCAGCGTGGCCACAACAGAGCAAGGCTGGGACAGTAGCCGGGATGAAGGGGGCCCGGGGCAGGGAGTCAGAAAGGGACTTTGGGTATTACCCAGAGTGAAATGAGCAGTCACTGCAGGGGTTAAGCAGGAGAAGGACAAAATGTTTGGTTTCTAAGATCACTCCCTGAAATGGATTAGCAGATGAGAGGCAGTGAGTGGATGGAGTTAATTACACACGCAAACTGACTCTATGCCCACAGAGGGGGGGCCTGGGTAAGAGCAGCGGAGTGGGGTCCTTGAGTCTTAAGTCCTATGGCAAGAGTCTGGTTCTGGAAGAAACAACTTCCTTAAACAAAGACGGCAGAGTGTGGAGGTTAAGAGGAAGTACTCTGAAGTATAATGACTGCATTCAGACCCAACTCTGTTACTTACTAGCTTGGAAACTGTGGTCAAGCTACTTAACCTCTCTGTGCCTTAGTTTCCTCTTCTGTAAAATGGAGGTAACATTGGTACCTATGTTATAAGGTCTTACAATGACAGATTAGTCTCAATCTGTCTAGGACACTTAGAAAGGTGCCTGGCTTTCAACCAGGACTGTGTTTGTTAGTACTTTTAAGCAGCACTGTTACCTCCCCGCTCCAGGCCCCCTGCCACCCCCTCAGTAATCCAGCTGGTTTCCTGTGAGCAAGGGGTTTTCTTTCAGTATTCTGTAGCAGTTTTTACTTTTTAGGAATGAAATATGGTTATATTTTTATTGTTTTCTTTAAGCATTCATTTTCTTGTAACCGCCTCTGTGCTAAACACCTTGTAAGAAGGCCGCCCACCAAGCCCCCTTTCTCTGCGACCCACGCTGCCCTCACGACCTAGATAATCACTGGGGCTCTGTCAGCCTCCCTCCCACGGCGTGACCCAGCCTCCCTGTGTGCAGGCACTGGAGTGGCGCTACGCTAAGGAGCCCCTTCCCTTGGGGAATTGGGACAAAGATTCTAGTTCAGACCAACTGTTCTCTTGAGTATAGGAGATACAAAGTCGAAAGTGCTGGAGGAAGCTGAAATGTGGAGACAAGTGAGCTAAGAGGTGAAGGACAACTTCTAGGCTCCCCACAAGGCTCCAGTCTGACGATCTGCTTCTTTCTAGGCTTGGTATCCAAACCTTCCCTGAACTCCTTGGGATTCATAAAAGAAAGTCTTGTTATTGTTGAGGGTATGTCAACGGTTTTTGATACTTGTAACTGAGAATGCTACCAAATACGGTCACTTCCAGCAGTACAAACAAGATGAGTGAAAAAGAGGTTGGGAAAATGCCATGAGAAACGAGGGTGATGTTGCTCGCCCGTACCTCACTGTCTTCCACCACAAGGGTTTTCTCTGGCTTCTCACAGTCCTCAAATTCTGGTTGCCAGACTGATTCTTCCAATTCCAGATCTAAAATAATTTCTTGAATTCTTACATTTCTTTCCTTCACACGTGCAATTTCAAATTCTTTTTGTTTATAGGCAGCATCAAACTCATTATTGAAAACAATTTTTACCTTGTAAATGATATCCTGAAATATTAATATGTTATGGAATACACAACACATATCTTTGCTGGCAACATGATCCCACAGTTTTACTTTCCCTCCAAAACCATTTTACAAGATTCAGTAAATTAATCTAAAATACTGTTTATATGAAGCCACTTCTTGGGTCTGTAACCTCCAGCGCCATCCCGCCACATGTAGGAATAAGGCAACAACTGTTACATCGTGACCTACTTCCCCAAATGAAAGTTACAACTCAGCAAGCAGTTACGTTGGTAAATGCTGAAGTGGGTGATGAACAGTGGCTTTTAGAGATTGTTTGGAGAATCTACCAGAAGCTACAACCACACACAATATTGTTCCTATATCCAGTCGTTACTCCCAGGTAGGAAGAGGGTGCAAGCTGGCTGATTACTAAGGTGGCAGTGGGTCGGAATGGATTGTCCCCATCTCTGCTGGGGACGGTGGGTCAATTCTAAGTGGCCTTTACTTTACCACCAGAGTTCAGTCGATTTATCTGTCCTACTGAAGATGAAACCATTAAAGCAGGGCAGGATAATGCCCTTAACTACAGGCACCAGAATTTCTTGGGCTGAAATTACCTTTTTGCAGGAAGATGGGTTAATAAAGCAGCAGGCAAGTGAGACCTTGAAGGCATAGTTCAGCAGAAGCTGAGCAACAAAGGAGGTAACTGAACAGTTCTTAGTGTACATGCACAGGAGTTTCAGGGGTTGGAGGAGAATAAGAGAAAAAGAGAGGAAGAGAGAGCAGAGCAATGTGGCAGGAGGTTAGCTCTCCAGGTGCAGACATGGCCGGAGGACGCTCAGGACCAGGGATGACCAACAGGAAACTCGGACCGTTCACACCGGTGTAGTCTGTGTCACTGCGCTTTCAAAGACCTTCAGCAGGCACAGGCACGCACAGATGTGTTCTGAGAGAGGCTTGTGTGGTGGAAAATGAGTACGAGCTTAGAGCCTGGGGGTGCTGCCCTGTACCCCTGAGCCTCAGAAGTTACACAGATCTTAGAGAGGAAAGTGTATTTCCCTGGGTTAAGGGCATGGACAAGCAATCACGCCTTCATTGTGCACAGAGGTCCTAACTGACATTTTGAGTTTCCTGAGAGATGGCATCCGACAGTTTCTTTTATTGTTGAGCTCACTGAAGATCCAAGCAGAAGAACGGTTTGTTTGGGGCGTCAGCAGTGCAGGGTGTTTAGAAAGCCTGTGATGACAGAGCCGATCCAAACGGACGAAGGCAACCCTTGTCAACCCCTGTACACAGCTCTACTTAAACAACAGGGATGCTAGCCATCTGAGTATTTTTCTGTGTACTACAAAGGCATTGTTTCATCGGCATGAGATTCAATTTGAGCCTTTGTAACACACCTCATGAGGATTTTTAGAGATTTTCAGGGGTAAAGAAAAAAATTCACCTACTTTCAGTAATATTATTTGGTTGATTTTCTCCTCTCTGGAATGAAGTTCCAATTGGCTTGACAACAAGGAGGTGGGTACCCCAAAATCAGTACTCAGACTGCCAAGCAGGTAATTGGGCAACTTGGTGTCTCTTACTGCCACATCTTCCTCCTCTTCCTCTTCCTCTTCATGGTGCTTTTTAACCAAGGTAATAGCAGACTGAACCTCTATAATTTCTTTCCGTAGCTAAATACAGAAAAAGATGACATGGAAGTTATGCGATAATAAGAATTCTCTAAAGGGTGATTTTGTGACAACTTAATTATTTCAAAAATCACTTTAAAGTGATAAACTGTCTTGTCAACAACAGAATTCAAAGGGATGAATAAATCTTGAAACTGCTGCAGAAGAGATTAAAACCTCGGAAACCGATAAAATGTGGGTAAGTCAGAAGGGTAAACATCGCCCTGGTTAGTACTTTGCTGTCAGGATGACAGCTGTTGGTAAATATGTTGGGTCTTTGTTGCAACCTAAGCATTAAAAAAACACACCTTGTCTCCATATTTTACAAAGAAACTTGTTCATATCGGACCGGTGGGTGTAGGTTAAAAAGGATAAAGTGTGCCTGCATGGCATGTTTCAGAAAAAGAATGGATGCAGGGTTCTGGCCACAGCAAAACCACACCCGTGGGGCAATGTTTTTTTCAGCGGTTTGAGAGAGATTGCTGCTTTTAAAAAAGCTGGAATTTCTTTAGGAAATTCCATCAAAGAGTAATTGCATCAAAACAGATACTACTTTATCTTTGGTCAATTATCTTAAAAATACAATCTCTCAGGAGTTAAGAGAGGATAAAAAGAGTATCAGTGGATGAAGACAACTTCTGAGTAGGACAAGAACAAAACTCCAGAACTCATTTTTTAAAGCACATCCTCGTAGTTAAAGGCTAGTGACTGCTGTGCAGGGCATGGGCTCCTTGACTGTGCGGGTATGGTTTCCATGTTCGTTAGGGTATGTCCTGAAGATTAACAAGCAATGAAAATGTAGATACAAACAATATCTAAAGTTGTCCTTAATTGTATCTCAACTCAAATCTGTGTCAAGGAGACCCTGAAATAAAGCACATCACTTTATATAAACTCTGTTTCAAATTTAAAATTGTACCTTCAAACATTCTGTTTCGATCTTCTTTTGCTGCAAAACTCTATTCACTTCTTTCAGCTCTTCATCCGTGCGTTCTTTCAGTGGGAAGTTCTCAACCACATAGGGGATGTGAAAGCCCTTGTTGGAAAAAACACAAAATAGGTGCATTTTTAGTACAAGTGTGTGTATCTGGAATGAGGTGGGGGATATTTTTCCTGATTACAATGAATTCATAGGTTATCATGAATGAGTCAAATTGACCATGGAATCTTTCTTTAAAATAAAAGAGTGTATTCCGTTAGCACTGGTGTAAACTTTGCACAAAAATGCTGTGCTTTTGTGAAGGATTTACTTCTAGAGCAGTGGGTCTCAACTAGGAGTGATGTTGCTTGCCCTCCCCCTTGCCCCCACCCCAGGTCCTCAGGGACATTTGGCAATGCCTGGATATATTTTTTATTTTACTAATGGGGATATTGGATGCAACTGGTGTCTAGTAGATAGAGGCCAGGGATATTGCAGAACATCCTACACTCTATGGGGCAGCCCCCACAACAAAGAATTATCCACCCCCAAACATGCCACCCTTAAAAATCTCTGATTTTAAGCAATACGCAATCCCATAAATGCACTTTATTAACCAAATGGGGTAGGGGGCATATTTATAAGTGAAGAGGGTGCTCTTAGTAGTTACTCTAGAAGCACAGGTATAAACTGGGACTTCTGGTCACCCTACACAAAGAGGGAAATGGTGTTGGGAGGAATCTCAATGAAAAAGCATGAAAAACAGTCCTTTAGAAGATGTGAAGGCAGGCACAGGGTAGAAATGTGAAGAATATTATGTTTAGTTTTCAATCTGTGTGGATGGTGAGCGGCCTTGTGAAATAGATATTAAGACCTGAATGCAGGCGGTATCATAGGGGAAAGAGGCGTTAAGACAAATCTTAAGAGATGCTAGATTAGGAGGACACAGGGACTGAAAAGAGAGGGAAGGATGAGACAAGAAAAAGTGATACATCCAGGCAGAATTCAGCATAGGAAGGGGCAAGGCATGCTTTGAAGGCCTTTTTGTATATATATATATTTTTTTTTAAATATTTTATTTATTTAGTTTTAGAGAGAGGGGAAGGGAAGGAGAAAGTAAAACTTAATCCTCTTCCCCAGCTCACTCACCGCAGGGCTATATTTTTTCTTTAAAATATTAAAACAAAATTTTTGCCATGAGACTTAAAATGAAAAGTGGAAAGTTGAAGTTCAGGTGTGGTGCCTTACATCAGGAGTTGTATCTGTTACCTTAAGAGATCGTCCTTTCACAACCATTGAATTCCAGCATTCTTCTTTAATAACTGCAGTCAAATAAGCCTTGGCTAGGTTATGCATCTCCACGTCTTTCCTTATCTTAAAGAACATAGATGAAGGGAAAAATGAAAATGAAAATGTGCCCTCTTAAAAAGATCTCATTTCTAAACTCCCTAACCAGTCTGCATGTTTAGCGGTACGAGTCGGATCTTCCCCAACACACAGTGCTGCTCTGCACTGAGATGCACTTTGGTGGGGATAGTTCCCCGTCTTGGAGAATCTCTCCTGAAATTCAGCCTGGAGGAGGCCTAGGACTCCCTTCCTTGAGGACAAAGGTGTTGACGCAACACCTCGGAAGGGAAGCAGGCCCTACATGAGCCCAGATGGGTGTGCGGACAGTCGTACAGCTGTGGTGGGTTGAATAGCTCACATGGATGTTGTCACAGAATCTGGCCAGTTGGTGCAGGGTGGGGAAGCAAACGCACTGTGTAAAGTCTCCCTGATTTATTAGAAAAGTGTGAGCCCTGGCTGGTATGGCTCAGTGGGTTGAGTGTTGGCCTGTGAACCAAAAGGTTGCTGGTTCAATTCCCAGTCAGGGCACACACCTGAGTTGCAGGCCAGGTCTCCAGTGCAGGGTGCATGAGAGGTAACCACACATTGGTGTTTTGCTCCCTCTCTTTCTCCCTCCCTTCACTTCTGTCTAAGAATAAAGAATCTTTAAAAAAAGTATGAAATTTGTAATGTTATGAAACTACCAGATTCCTAAATGTTGGTTAAATTTTTGTCAATGCATATTTAAAGTGCTAGTTTGTGACCTCTGTCTCAGGGGTCTTTACTGCATTTAATTCTTCTACCATTTAACTCTCCTATTCTTGGGGATTATGTAATTTACCTTTCCTGTTTAAAAACATATGTGTTACCTCAATTAGTTTTATCTGCTTTAAGTAATCCTATTAGTTAATATTTAAGTGATTACTCTAATTTTAATAGAATTCCCCAAAAGAGCTGGACAGTCTTCAGTCCTTAGTATTCTCTTCAGAGCCTCTTGTGTATTTCACCTTGTTGGCAGAATTATTAGCAAACTAGCTAAAATTAATACTTCTCTCCCACTGCCAGATTAGAAAATGTCTTATTTATTCATTCACTTATTCATTTATTTATGTTCAACTTATTCACTGTCTGAACAAATACTTCACTTAATTTTCATTTTACTTTTTAATTTTTATCCATCGATAATAGCTCATACTGTTTTAGATTATTTTAAGTGATAAGTTTCCAATAAACAGCTGTTTTTGCATATCCACCGTCAAAACCTGCCTGATTCCCAGCCGTCCCCTCTCCACTGCCGAGGCTCCTGGACCTACCCCTCCAGACTCTGTCCCCAATACTGTGTTAGGTTGTCCACTGCCTGGGCTTTGGTACTTCCCATGTTGTTGAGATCATGGCCTAGGAAGGCTAGTAGTCTGGTCCCTTTAGGACTGGGATCCCAGACTCGTAGGTGCCACTAACTCTTCCTGTAGACCAGTATTCTGCTCCGAAATGTGCTAACAGCCAGCTGGGTTTATGGTGCCATCTGCTAGCACTGTTCTGTGCTGAGCCATCTGGTTCTGTTCTCACATCCATTTTGGGGTTGATAATCTCTTCAAAAACCCATCGCTCAGGAGAAAGAAACAACATGAGGGGAACGAGCATGTGGAGAGCCTGGCTGCACCACAGCCTGCCCTAGAGGATCAGGAGGCTTCATGAGAGATGTGCAGGACTTTGATAGTCAGCAAGGGTGTATTAAACCAGAGTGTCCCCAGTTGACATGAGGTGGCGAGGGGATTTCTAAAAGTGTTTAAACGCGTGGTGGGAGATGTTTGGTACGAACGTCGTGCAGGAAAGATGAACATCAGAGGTCTGGCTGGCCTGGATGCTCTTCTTTCCTTGAACCCCTGACTCAGCCATTCTCTGACTCATTCCACTCATACACACTGGCTTTGCTTGGTTCACATTGTGCTGGAAAAGTTTTGGTTTTATTTGCACAATTCTGGAAAAGTTTCCCTTCCTATTTCCTCTTCACTTCTTCATTATGGTGCTTAAATCAGACTTTTCCACACCTTTGTCACTTCCTCCTGACTTTCACTTTGAAGCCTCTCCAGTTCCTCAAGGTCCAGGCCGAACTCCCGCTGCTCTAGTTTTGCGATGTTATCTACTGTTTCGTTTTCTGCCATCATATTCAGAACCTGAATTTTTAAATAGGAAAGGATGCTCACATATGAAGACTTAAACTTTAAAGACATAGTTTTCCAACTCTTGGATAGAAATCAATAAAAAAAGAATGTGTTTATTTAAATATACACAATAAAGAATTAGGTTATGTGCTTATAGTGATTACTTAAGTTTTAAGGCTTACTCCTTAAAAGTTCATTCATCTATAAACAATAACAAAATGCATAAATTCATCACTTCATGGAATGATATAGAGTAATTATTGATATTTAGGTGTATAAGATATTCTTTACAAACACACATGGAAGTCACCAAAATTGATTAGACTCAAGACAACATCAACAAGCTTATGAGAAAAGCAATAATGAGAAAACTGCATATCAGAATCAATGCAATGTAGTCAAAGTGGTACCCAGAGGAATATTTATGGCCTGCCATGTCTAATAAAAAACAATAGGAAATAAACCAAGTTTTCAATAAAAAATAACAAAATGAGGACAAATAAACCTGAACAATGTAGGAAAAAAATGAATAAAATTCCAAATTGGTAAAATCCAATTTGGATTAATTAAATGTACTAAATTAATTAAATGTATAAGTATAAATTATACATAATGTTCTTATACTATTAGAGTCAAATAAATAAAAAACATACAATATTAATAAAATAGAAATGCTATTAAAAAGTATGATCGAGAAAAACATAAAAGGCATACATATACAACATTGGGAAAAGAGAAAGCTATAACAAAAATTAGGAGACTTGAAATTAGATTATATAATTTTATGTCATATTTAGAAATCTAGATAAGGTGGATACTTTTCTAAGAAAATATAATTGATAAAATCTATACTTGAAAAAAAAACAAATAGAAAACCTAGTAAGACTAATGACCACAGAAGAACTTAAAACTGTAGAAAAGAATCAACTCCTGTATAGATATTAGGCCCAGATGGTTTTATATGTGTGTAGGGGGTATGGGTTGTTTATTTTTTAACCAAATATAAAAGAAAGCAGAATGCTTGTTTTACACACACTGTACCAGAGAATGGGGAAAAATGTAGAAAACTACTCAAATCACTAGATAAGGCTATTATAATCCTGATACCATAATTAGACAAAGAAAGTATAAGGAAATTAGACCAATATTACTTATAAATAGAGATACAAAAATCCTAAATAAAATATTAGCAAATGGTATCTGGTGTACTGCTTAAAATGACAAATGTCTATCTAAGGAATACAAGGCATCTGACCAATTTCAAAATAAAATTCACAATAAAAACTCTTAAGTCACAAGGGACAGATGCTGCAGCAAACATCACACTTAACAGTTAGTAGCATTTCTGTGAAAATTAGAAAAAGACAAACATGGCCACTGCCACAACCACTATTATTTTAGAAGCCCTTGCCATATGACAAGAAAAAGAAATGAAGTATAAAGATTGATAAAGAAGAGAGGACTTTCGCCAAGATGGAAGCATAGGTGGAGATACCTTACTTTCTCACACAACCAAGTTTAGAGACAATAAAATATTAGCAACAGAAAACATAGCCAGAACACAGAAAATTGAACTTTTCAGAAGTTCGATAACAACGAATTCTTCAGCCTAACCAGTAAGAGGGGTGAAACCAGCAGCTGGTGGAGCGACGTTGATCAAGAAAACTCGATCAGACAGACTCAGGTGCGCGGATCGCAGGCGTGGGGTTGCAAAGGGCTGACCCAGTGAGCGACCAGCAGATCCGGCGAGGGTAAAGGGCAGTGGGTTGACCGTGCTGGCGCATTCCTGCACAGATAGACCCGCGAGGGAGTGGGCAGTGAGACAGGACCCAACGGGTCCCAGCGACGGGAGGCAGCAGAAACAGCCGCCATTTCCCAGCTCTGACCCCGCCCCCACATACAGCGTCACAACACAGCGACCCCACCCCACCCCTAAGACTCCACTCCTCATACTTAATGGGCGTGAACAGACAAAAAATGGCTCAAGAAGATCTCAAAGCCCCAGAGCCCATAAATCTAAGTGATGAAGAAATAGCAAAACTTTCAGATGCACAGTTCAAAACACTGGTGATTAGGATGCTCACAGAACTGGTTGATTTTAGTCACAAATTAGAGGAACATATGAAGGCTAAACTAATTGAAATGAATGGCAATGCACAGGAAACCAATAGTAATGGAAAGGAAACTAGGACACAAATCAAAGAAGTGGACCATAAGGAGGATAAAAATAACCAACCAGAAAAGAATGAAGAAACAAGAATTCAACAAAGTGAGGAGAGGCTTAGGAACCTCCAGGACATCTTTAAATGCTCCAACATCAGAATTATAGGGGTACCAGAAGGGGGAAAGGAACTGCCATGAGTGGAAACCTTATTTGAACAAATAATAAGGGAGAATTTCCCCAATCTGGCAAAGGAAATAGACTTCCAGGAAATCCAGGAAGCTCAGGGAGTCCCAAAGAAGTTGGACCCAAGAAGAAATACACCAAGGCACACCATAATTACATTAGCCAAGATTAAAATGAAAGAGAGAATCCTAGAAGCAGCAAGAGCCAAGGGGACAATCACCTACAAAGGAGTTCCCAATCAGACAGACAGCTGATTTCTCAAAAGAGACCTTACAGGCAAGAAGGGGCTGGAAAGAGGTATTCCAAGTCATGAAATCCAAAGACCTACAACCAAGATTGCTCTATCCAGCAAAGCTTTCATTTAGAATGGAAGGGCAGATAAAGTGCTTCTCAGATAAGACCAAATTCAAGGAGTTCATCATCACCAAGCCCTTATTATATGAAATGTTAAAGGGACTTATCTAAGAAAAAGGAGATAAAAAATATGAACAGTGAAAGGACAGCAAATGCACAGTTATTAACAACCACATCTAAAACAAAAGCAAGCTAAAAGGACAGCTAGATCAGGAGCAGAACCATAGAAATGAAGATCACATGGAAGGTTAGCATCAGGGGAGTGGGAGGAGAAGGGGGGAGAAGGTACAGAAAATAAGTAGCATAGACAGTAGGTAGAAAATAGATAGGGGGAGGGCAAGAATAGTATGGGAAATATAGAATCCAAAGAACTTGAGACACATGGTCATAAACTAAAGGGGGGGAATGGTAGGGGTGGGGGGGTGCAGGGTGGAGGGGAATGAAGGGGGGAATAGAACAACTGTAATGGCATAATCAATAAAGTAAAAATTTAAAAAAAAGATTGATAAGGAAGAGAAATGTGATTTTTCAGAAGGTACAATAGTGTACCTAGACAATCCAAGAAAATCAACTGATAAAATAGTAGAACTAAAAAGAGAATTCAGCAAGGTGATCATATATAAAATAAGTGATATTAATATATACCAGTAGTAACCAATTAGAAAATGTAATAGAAAAATATTCCTTTCACAAAAGCAAAACAAACTATAAGATAACTAAACTAACCTAAAATTATAGTTACTTTTAGACTACAAAACTTTCCTAAAGAATATTTTTTAAAAAATAAAGATATATGTTTACATAGTTATATAATGCTGTTGTATAAAATTTATATTATAAATGTATATATTAAGTGTATAAATATACATTATATAAATTCATCCCCAAATCATTTATAAACAATATATTCTCAATTAGACTCAAATCAGAGTTTTTCATGGAGCATGACAAGCCGATGTTAAAATTCAAATGAAAAATCCATGCATAAAAATCCAACTTTTTTTGAAAAAGAAGAGAGAAGAGAGAACTAGTTTCAAGATACAAAAATCTTTTATAAAGCTACAACAATCAAAATAGTTTGGAATTAGCTCAGGAGAAGATCAATACTCAATTTCACAGCAGAAAGTACAGAAACAATCTGTATACGTGGGATTCCAGGGGCTGACAGAGGAGGAGCTGCAAATCAGTGGACAAAGGATGATGTATTCAATAGAAAGTACTGACAAAATGGGCCATTTATTTGAAAAAAATGACATTAGATCCACACCTCATACCATTCATGAAAATAAATTACAGGTAAAATAAAGGAGTATTAGAAAAATATGCAAGACTTTGGGAGCTCTTTTAAAATCAGACACAAAAACAAAAGCTATAAATAAAATGATCAATACACTTGGGTCGTAAGTGTTAAAGTCTGCATTTAAAAAGGCACATTATGAAAGCTGTGAGAAGACAGAAAATATTTCTAGTATATTAGGCTGAACCATATAAAACAGCAATTTCATGTGATTCAATCAAGTGATAAGGGCCACCTCTAGGTTTGTCTGAAGCACCCCTCCCTGCTCTTCTCCTCTTCCAGTTGCCTGGGACGAGATAAGCAACAGGACCTCAGCAGCCACGTGGGAAGTTAGCACAGTTGCCAGCAGCCGAGGTCTCTGACTGACCGCATGGAACGGTGCAGCTGCTGACTTGAACATCCACCCAGGACTGTTTATTGAGAAAAAAAATAAATTTCTCATCTCTACACCATTATGTTTTTTGGAGTTTAGTTATTATCGCAGCTTAGCTAACCCTAATTATCAAAAGTCAATATGTTAATAATGAAAATAAAGAACTCCTACAATAAAAAATAAAAGGACTAACAACACAACAGGAAAAATAGGCAGAGGATATGAACAGGGACTTCACAGAAAAGGAAATATAAATAGCCTTTAGAGTTATAAAAAGATGTTCAACTTCATTAATGAGCAGAAAAATAAAACAAAGGGGAGGAAATTAACAAAGAAAAATTTATGAACAACCAGAACTGAAAGACAGATTTCTTAATGAAAGTGCTCACCAATGCCCAACCCATAAAAGAGGAAAAAAACCCAAACATACAAACAAAGGTCCTTGGCCTGGCTGGGTAGCTTGGTTGCCTAGAGTGTTGCCCTGATATACCAAGTTGCAGGTTCAATCCCCATTCAGGACACATACAAGAAGCAACCTATAAAGCATAAATAACTAAAACAACAAATTGATATTTCTCTGTATCTCAAAATAAACAATTTTTTAAGAATTAGGGTCCTGGTAGGAAACAGACAGCATACTCAAACGGGGTAACTGGGGAGAGAGATTTCAAAGAAGATTTGGCAGGGTAAGGGAACTGCAAGGCCTGGTGAAGCATCTCAGGCTTGCAAGCGCAGGAAACTGACACCACTCCCAGGTCTGAAGGGCAAGGGTGGGGAGCGGCCACCGAAACCTGAAGAGGTCTGTAGCTATAGGAGAGGGCTGGCAGCCACTGCAAACTCACAACACCACAGAGAGAACTTGAAGGAATAAAAACCCTGTCGCTACTCGGCTCCTGCCTTCCGATCACCTCTGATATCACTCAGTGGCTAAATCCAAACAGAAGCCAGAGGCAAGAGAGGACAACGATGCCACCCACAAAGGCCGGGCTCAGAACTGGGGGAAAAGGGTGGAGAGCATGTCTGTACCAGCAAACCAAGAATATCCATCAGACATGTAAAGGTGCATGACTGTGAAATTCTGGAACAGTAGGAATTAAGAAAGGATCCTGTAAGTTTCCAGAGAGAAAAATCTGGTTATCTACAAGGAACTGGGAACCAGAAAGTACTACATTCTTTAAAGCAAATACTGAAAGCTAGAAAGCATTGGAGTAAACTCTCAAATGAGTGTGTGAGTGGGGCAAAGACATTTTAAGAAAAACCAAGTCTCAAAAACTGCAGCTCCTGTGTACTCTTTCTCAAGAACCAAAGCAATGTACAACTCTAGGGGGCAGGTGCCATTCACATTGTATTACCTTTAAATGGTAGGCCGGAAGCACGGCCAAGTGATAAATGATGTTCCCAAACATGGGACAGCACAACAGTCCTTCTTAGGGAGCTACTGGAAATACACACCAAGAAAACAGAGGAAAATCCATGAGACCCCCAAAACAGGAGTTCCAGCTCAGGAGGCAGGTGAGAAGATTTCCTGGAAGGATGGACAAGAGGAGTCCCTAGGACAGCAACGGTGTGCCTGGGCTAGAGAGTGGGTGCTTAGACTGGAGCTGGAAGGTGGAAAATTTTTAAAGGGAGGTCACAAAATAAAATTTTTTAAAAAGTTCTGACAGTCTGATTTCCTCAGATATTTGTATTGAGAAGGTTTTTGTTTTTTTTTTTTTAAGTATTTTCAGAGTTTGGGCAATCCAAAACAAAGGTAATCATTAATTCCAGGAAAAATAAAATGGTAAAAATGGAAATGGAGTGATAATATACCATGTGACTCATCTTTGAAGAATATTTCGATAACTACAGTAAGTGCGTATTAAGTATGAATTTACGTGTGTGCTGTAGTGATGGGGTGGGCGTGTCAAAGAACCTAAATACGCATCTTCAGTAGTTGGAAGCCCATCGTTAGTGTCAAAAGAGAAATATCAAGAGATAGCAGTATCAAGAAAACTATTTAGAAAGGTGGAAGTAAGTGGCCAGACAGAAAAACTAAAAGAATTGAAAACAGTTACCTTCAGAGTACGGGAATCATAATGAAAAAAAAGTAGGGGAGGTGCTGCTTTAAAACATTATTTTTAATTATGTAACTCATTATTTAATTTGTAAAACTGTAAACATATAACTTTAATTAAAATAATTATTAAAAAAATAAGACAGTATTTGGAGAAGACACAGAGAAGAAAAATGGCTGGTTTATACAGAGTGTGATGTGGTAACAATTCTACCTCGTTGAAGAAACCCAGAAAACCGGGCTGACATACTGGCAGGCGAAAAATGGGTATAGCTCCTCATGCTATATTGAACAAAGTAAAGTTCAAAAAGTAATTTTAAATGTAGGGTCAAGTGTATTAGTATATGAAATCATAACACTTACGGTTTTAGCAAGTGCTTTGATTTCTCTTTTTATCTCTTTCCTTTTGTTGGAAAACAGTTTAACCTCCTTTTTGATGGCCTGAAATGGGACAAATGTTTCATTTAAACAGGCTAGAGAAATGATAGAGAGGCCTATGACAGACACACACATACCTATATTCATACATGCACATAGACACATAGACAGATCCATAATATAAAGTGCTTCTCTAGAAACAAAGTTTTCTAACACCACTGCAATACCTCACTTAATTGCTATTAGGTTGACTGAAGCAACATAGTAGTTTTAGTCTAGTATAAGGCCAGTGGAATGAAAATAACTAAGTAGTAAAAAATTAAATAGAGATAGTTGACAAGGGAAAATCAGTCTGCTGTTTTACTGGGGACTTGAGTGAGACCGCATGAGCAGGCTAAATCCAGACACGAGCTACTACAATACTACCTTTGTCACCTTTCTACACACCAGAAGCCAGGATGTCCCTTCTCCTGGCCCACCTTTTCTTCCATCAACTGCAGCCCCTCCCAAACTCCCTCCAACACGAGGTATCACAATTCATTCTTTGCTTTAGTTTATGTGAACAGCTTTGTTGGGTTTCATATTAGCTTAAGTATAGTTCTTGAAGCTCATATAACTTAATCTAAAAGATGGGGCTATATTTAGGGTGTTTGTTTGCTTTCAGGAAAATTACACTTGTACAATGGAATGCTCTGCCAAGTAGTATCTCGTTCTACTTTCTAACTTTCCAGCAGGTTTCACAGGAAACTAATCTATTTGGCACACCTCCAAAGCCTTATTTCAAACCTCTCCCATGTTTTATAAATACCTCTTGGCTTTTTTGTTGTATCCAGGGAATTTCCTTCATATTATTAGCTTGGACTAGTTCCTCTTGCGATGAGTCAATGCTTAACCTCATATTCTCATTTATCTTAGAAAAAGACAGATATTTCTTAAGTTTAAAATTCATCAGGTTTCTCTCCCATGCTACTTTACATAATTGTTTTGAATCCCTTTGAACTTCTTTTTTTTTAAAAATACCAAATATTTTGCCTGTCCAAGATGTAGTATTTTATTAACTTAATTTCTACCAGTCTGTCCTTACATTAACTACACTTTTCACTAAGAAAAAAATGATCAGATGGGTCGTGTGTTCACCACATCACTCTCTGCCTTCTTCCTGTTCCTATAGATCAAAAACTCCTGCCTATCAAGGCCTGTACTTAGGATCTTAATTTTTTCGACCTTCTCACGGCCTTTACACTTAAAAAAAAATCCCATTGCCTTTCTGCATCATCCATTTCTCCCTTCTACCCAATCTTTCCCAAATGTGTGCTGGTACCTGCTGTCCTAGGAAAGCGGCTCTCCACTGACTACTGCATCTCCTTACCTACTACCCCTTTTCTGTTCCCTCTTTGCAGCAAGATGTCTTGAGAATTTGGGATGTCACATTCTCCTGGCCCCCCCATAGCCTCATGGACCATCCCTTCTCAGTCTCCTCTGCCTCCCCAAATTCTTCTCCTGGATCTCTAGAAGATGCTCTGTCCTGGTCTCCTCTCTTTCTTGCCGCTCACTTTTCCATGATGACTTCACCTGGTTTTATGGCCATAAACTCCATTCACATGCTCTGACTCTCAAATCAGCATTTCCAGTCCTGGCCTCTCCCAGAAATCAAGGCTCATCTATCCAGTGGCCTACCTGGTTCCTTCTCTTGGCTTCTCAAGGTTGGCATGAGTAACCAATTTCAGGTTCTCTTCTTTCTCCCCACAGTGGCTCCCCAGCCCAGTCTTCCCCATCTTCACGAATACTATCATCTCCTGCACAGTCGTTCAAGTAAAAACTCTAGAAGTCCCTCTCTGTAATCCACCAGTGAGTTCTGCTAACTCTAACTGGAAAACCTACCTGGGGTCTACCACCTCCTCTCTGCAACACTCCTCCACCTCCACCCTTGCTGCCTGGACCTCTGCCATAGCCTCGTGACTAATCTCCCTGCTTCTGCTCTTATCCCCTACAGAAGCATTCTCCTTGCACCAGGAATAATCGTTTCAAACATGTAAATAAGATCTTGTAAATTCCCTCTTCACAACACTTTAATAGGTTCTCATTAAATGTAAAATCAAGTCTAAACTCTTCCCAGATTACAAAGCTTTCTCCCACCTTGAGGACCTCATCTCCTCCTACTACTCTCTCTCGTTTCTTTTCACTGCACAAGCCTTTTTTAGGTCCTGAGCCATGTGAAGCTCTTTTCTCCCTCTGCCCTGAGTACCTCTGCCCCATGATGCATGTTGGCACCCTCTTTTAATTCAGGTCTCAGCTTAAACATCATCTCCTTGGAGAGGCTACTCCAGACATACACTATCAAACCACGCATTTTTATTCACTAAATAGATCTTGTTACTCTCTATTTTTCTTATTTATTTGCTTATTTAGCTCTCTCTCTGCTCACTGCCAGCCCTCAATTAGAATGCAAGTCTCATGAAAGCAGAAACTTTTTCTATCTTGTTCATTTCTATACTCCCCACAGCCTAGCATTTTGTAGGTGCTTGATGAATGTTTGTTAAATGATTGAATGAATGAATGCTGCTCTCTGGCTAGGCACTTCCTAAATAGTGTATGTGACATAAAAGTATAGAAGAGAGACTACTTTGACCAAGCACCACAATTGGTAGTAAGATTTTTTTCCATGCAAGCCTGAATCTTGTATTATGGTTCATGTAAGATCTGAGGTATAATATGTGCCATTGCTCAGAGTAAGGCTGAATATCTTCTCTCAGATGTAGCTCATGCTCTTTTTGGAGAAATAAAGAGAAAAATTATTGAATATCCACTTAAAGAAAACTGCAAACTGATAGCTGATTCAAAAATAAAAAAAGGAAGTGGGATAAAAACAGGGATTCTGTGGACAGTAACCTCACAGGGTGACGTGATCATACATTCCTAAACGGGCAGGTTATGTGGGCAGTCATGCCCCAGGCATGCAACTTTCTCAGTAAAAAAAATTATCTTTGTCTTAAGCAAGCCCTGTTCATAGTTTTTGTGAGTCTGGGTCAACACACTTTTGGAATACGAGTAACCACCCTCAACAGAGCACACAGTCTGGTCAGCTATCCTATAATCCACTCCCTGCCTTGCTCTCTCTTACTATCATGCAGCCTCCCTTAGTTCCCTCCCTCACTCACAACACATGCAATTAACTGTGAAAGTGTCATCGGTGGAGTGTTTGAGATCAAGCTTCCTGGCAATTGTCAGTTTGGCTCAAATGAATTCTAATAAAAATTCTTTACAGATTTGGATATTTCTTATGTCGACATAAGGAGAAGAAAACTATATTGGAACTCAACTGTGTGTTCAGGTTCTGATCCTGAGAACCTGCTTTGTCTCATTCTTAAAGAATCATTCTCCTCCTCCATGGTGTTGCTCAGAGAAGTTAGAAGTTGCTGGCTATATTCAAGAATGTCACTGGCTAAGCTTCCTCCAAACTTCCTGTATTAAAAAAGAAAACACACAGGCTATAGAACCACAATTTTAAGACGTCACATTTAGTGGTATTATTTCCAGATATGCAACCGCTTCTACAGAAAGAAATGTGTGGACCATTCTCTGCACTGCCCTGTAGTTACGAGGGCCCTGCTTCTTAGAGGAGAGCCGTTCATGGGATCCAGGGCACCACAAGCCCCTTCACCTATTTGGGTGACCCTGTCCCCATGCTGCCCCCATACCCTCACCCTACACATGCTCCACACCTGCCTTGGCCACGGCACAGGAGAGCCACTACTCTGGTTGAGCCCTTCAAGTGTCCTAGGTGTGCACTGCTTCACATACATATCCCGCTCGTACATTATCCCATTCAACCCTCGTAGTCCCCATCTGCACTCAATACACCGGGACATCTCAGGACTCTGGGAACGTCTGATGAACCTCACCCACAGGGACTCTGATTCAGAAAGTCGGGTGGGGCCCAAGAACACGCCTGCCTCACGAACTCACAGGTGCTGCAGGCCGCACCTTGAACAATCTGTTATAGAGGATTTGGGAGGGTTGTCATGGGCCGGAGGGTGCAAGCTGGTAAGTCCTGGACTCAGGTTATAAGTCAACTTTGTTTGGAGTCACAAGTCCACGTGATTAACTGTTATGGGTGAAAAAGTCTTTACTTCCCAAAACAGGGCTTCACCACTTGTTTGTTGTTACTTAGGATGCTGTTTGTTCACTATGAAGAACATGTGAAGACATATATGAAGTACAAGTTAAGAGTTCATGTATAAAATGGGCACGATGGTGCAGTCTTCAAAGAGTCTTTGAACTAAATGGCTACCAAAATTGTTACGATATAAAATCTCTGCAATATTTAACATATTCAAATGTTGCTGAGAAAGGCCATGTTTTATGATGCTTTTGACTCCGACACCGAACATTGTGAGATACTGTTTTTGTGGTAATGAACTGCACATTAAACCAGTGATGTCCACTGGCAGATCAGAGAAAGGACATTTAAAGTCCCGATTGTCACCTTCATGCTCTCTTCCCCCGGTCATCATCTGTATGTTCAGTAGTATTTGTCTATCTAGAATTTTACTTTTGGTATAAGCAAAGTCTAAATAAATTAATATCATCTAAGCAAAGTCTAATTAGGCGAGTCAGTCTGTATGCATACACACATACATACATTTCTGCGTAAGGATTTTTAGGGACAAACAGGAGTTTTTAAAGATATCTGTTACTCAGAATTGTCCTCATTTCTTGTACTTCTCCTACAGGAGTTATGAACAAGAGGACTGACCATCTCATATGTATTAAATATGTCTTTTCTGTTTTCGTATTTTTGATGCTTTGACATGTGCGGTCATGCTCACGCTGGAGGGACTCCTCTCCCAGGGCTAGCCAATCCCTAGAAACAGTAAACGATGCACTTTGGAGATCACCTTTTAAATGCGCACCAACTAATCCAGAACCTGTGCCCCCATTTCCTCCACTGGGCTTAAACCAGCCAGTTCTAAACCTGCCTGCTCCTTTGCATGGAAACCAAAATGAAGGCTCCTGCCCATGGTCTTCCTGCCCCCTCTGCCTCTTTACCCGCCCTGCCTCTTCCCCATGTGGCCCCCAGAGGCAGGGCATGCGCCCTTCTCTTGGGATCCGTGAGTATAACAACCTTCTCAATGACAGTTGTCTCCTGTTATGTTGGCCTTACTGTGCCTGAAATAACAAAATCTTTATTTTAAAACACCATACCGTGTGAGGCTGCTTACTTTTCACTATACACACCTCCACTTTAGGCAGACGAGGGTGCCATCATCCTTCCCATTCACCAGGATGTCTTGTCCATCCACCGAAATGCTCACCGACTGGATTCCGTGCCCCTGATGAGAATGACTCCGACACCGAACAAACGTTTCCTCAATAGTTTTAGGAACAAAGTGCAAAAATTACAAACACAATTCTGTCACATGGTTTTTCTAAGGGGGATACATACACTTCACTTGTTGATGTCTTTTTCTATTTGCCAACAGCATTTTAGTTGGTATGGAAGTAGCCTCTGGGTAATACGGAGCACCGAAAATCCTTAGCTCAAACCACTGCACCCACACTGATTCGTTCCCCCGTCTGCGGCAGTGTGGAGGGAGCGGGGTTATCATCATCAGTCTGTAACAGGAATACCAGACAGAGAGAGGCGAAGGAACTTGCTGAAGGCTCCGAGGTTAGGTGAGGGGCCTTGGACAAGCAGAGGGGGCAAGTTCAGATGACCTCAAGAGGCAGGCAGGTTCCACCTATGGGCGATGAGGCTGAGGGTGATGAGAGGGTGACAGGCGTTGTGAAGAAAGAAGAATGTGCCCCACATGGAGAATGTTACTTAAAGCCATTTAATTGGAACCCAAATAAAACCACTAATTTGGTACACAGGGTGATTTGGTGCACAGGGTGATAGTTTCTGCCCCTTAACTAAACACTGGGATTTCTGTGGTACACCGGTTCTCCACCTTGATACCTTAAATTTTTAAAAACCTGGAATAGGTAATACATTTAAATGGTTCAAAATTTAAAAAACTATAGAAATGAATGCAGTGAGATCTCCTTATTACCATTCCCCAACCACCTCCCAATATCCTTCAATGTCCTTTCAGACATTTTTATGCATATAAATAAACATTCACCCAAATTTCAACATACATTGTAGTATAGTAATAATACTGGTATTATGCACCTTGCTTTTCCTCCATAACAATGTCTTGGGGTTCTCTCCATATTGCTGCATGAAGGTTTCCTCATTCTGCATTGCAGCTGCACAACATTCGGTATTTTACTTATATATATTTTATGTACCGTTATTTATTTATCCAGCCCTCTGTTGATGGACAACAGCTTGCTTTACAAACAGTGCTGCCATGGACAACTACATTAGGTGTTTTGCATAGAATAACTCCGCCCCCCAAACTTTGACGTCTTGCCATACCACACTGCTATCAGTTGTAGAGTACACTAAAATCATTTAAATAAGAGGCAGTGTAACAGAGTTTACAAATTGTTCACTCACAAAAAAAATCTCTCAGGGATTTAGGGTTTTTTTTTGTATAATAATAATAATACCACTTTTGCCCAACTGTGTTCCAAATATGCTTTCTTACAGATGTGGGCAAGGAGAGCTGGATGGGCAGAAACAGGGCCCAGCTGACGCAGACCTGCAGGCACGTGTCATGTGGGTCATTGTGAAGATTCAGATGTGGGGGATCTGAACGCTGGGTAAGAATCACTGACCGCATGAAATTATACTGATGACCAGTACGACTTGGGTCCAGCATCACATGAAGAGTCAGGTGGGGGCAGCAGCAACCAGCCCAGAGGCCCCTCAGGCCAGGCAGATGGCAACAGTAATCCCTAGGCTTGCACAGCGGTTCACTATTTCCAAAGCAGTTTTGCATCTACCCTCTTGTTGGCTCTTGCCAGAATCCTACAGGATGAGAGCAAGCAGGGTTTCCCAAATATTCCAGGGGAGCATCTGAAGCCCAGTGCGTTTCCGAGGCACACACGTAAGTGGTGGAAGAGCTGGGCTGCAGCTCACCAATGGCAGCTCTGCCCAGGCTTTTTCTCTGCAGATCTCTGTCCCTGTTTCCTCCCTCAGGGACTCAAATCTCTGAGGCACATAAATACACCTAATGCTAAAGTCAATGACACCATCAGTGGTAAATAAGTTACGACTCAATTTACCTAACAGAGAATTCCAATTCCTTTCCTAAATGCTTTTGCTCCTTAAATGAAATCAAGATATACACTGTTGTAGACCACTCTGCCTGATTTTAGGAATTGTATCTCGACTGCATTAAATTATACTGATGACCAGTACAACCCTTGGGGCTAAGGGCAAGAGACAACTTTTGGAATGCCAGCCGCAGGAGACAAAGCTTGTCTCTGGTAGCAAATGCTGCCTCAGTTCCTCTCCCTGCCCCCAGAGCTTGGTCGGAAGTTAATGACAAGTCAATGACAGGTAAGACCCCTCACAGCGGGGGGCAACCTAAGCCAGACTTGATCACTTGGGAGGCCTTCATGGAAGGGCTCAGAGGGCTGCGACAAAGAGCAATGGACTCCCCCCCCACACACACCTCCCTGGGCTTTGACAAAGCCTGAGTCCCCATGTCTTCTGGGAGAAGTGCTTCCTGGCTCTAATCCCCTTAAGCCTGAATACCTGATGGGGAGAGGTGCAGCTCCTTGCCTGGCCAGAGCGTGTCCAGGGGAAAAATCTGGCATCACAAAGATTTGCTGATAAACACATGAAATCTGCTCTGCTAAGAGTGCTTTCATTCATATGATAAGGGTCCGAGAGGAAATGAGTATGTCTCCCAAAGTTTCTGCAACTCTCTTCCTGACAGACACTGACTCAGACTGAAACCCTCAGACCTCTTTGAAATGTTATCTACTGTTTGATCCTTGCCACCCTGTATTCCTGTGTATTACAACCCAATAAAAGGCTATGGAAAAAGGCGCTCAAGGCCTTTTTCTCCTTGGAGAAACTGGCCGCTGCTGACCTTTGTCTCCCCAGAGAAACTGGCCACAGCCCACGCCTCCTCCCCAAGCAGATCCAGCATCTCTCGGCCATATTTACTCATTCACGCATGTCCGTGGCACTGCGGGGGACTCGCGGAGAAGTCTCCCCCACAATACACCCCATAATTTTTTTAAAAATAGTTTACCAAAGTGTGAACATCTCGTATACACACAGTTCCACATTTAGCTTTTGTGATGAGCCACAGTCCATGCGGAGACAGGGAGAGCACTCCAGGTCCATACTGTTTGCTCTGCACTTTGTGGTAGGGCTGAAGAACGCAAACACCGTCATGTTCCTGCCAACCAAAGAAAATGACTGCATCACAGAGAAGATCGGGGAGCAGCATCTTAGGGTTTGCTGTCGTGCATACACAGTCAGACTCCAGTCTGCAAACTGTCACTGGAAATAAACCAATACATGATAAAGTGGGCACCTACATTGGTGTCACATTGTTTCATCTTTGTTTGAAAATAAAAGTCTTTTTGGCTAACTAAAGAAAAGTCTTTATATGCTCGTTATCATTAAAGGCCCCAGACTATACTGACAATCTTCCTCGCTAATCATTTTCATACATCCCCATGCTCAAGTCCAAGTAAATCACTCAACATGTCCCTGTGTGCTTCATGCACTTCTACCTCCAAGTTCCTGCACATGCTATGACTTTTGTCTGGAATGCCCTCCCCCTCCTCATCCCCACCAGTCCGGCTTCCTCCCTACCTCAGCAACCCCACCCCCACCAAGATCGTCTACAAAATTTCTCCATGTCTTAATCTAACCTATTCTTCAAAGTTCAGTTCAAATGTTACTTTCTCCATGAAGATTTTCGGAATCCTCCTTATCACTCGCCATTTCTTCCTTCTCTGAATTTCTTGGTCTCATACTTCGCTGACATTGGCTACTGGGGGAGAGAAGGGCTTTGACTGAAAGGTTTAGGGAGGGAGGGTGGTACACAATCTGGGTCAGAGTGTGTGTCTGGAGGTGATACAACATGGGAGAAATTTGAAGAGTATAATGAAAGGATGCCAGAAACATAGTTTAACTACTTTGTGCAATTTTGCTTAGGGTTTAGGTGCAAATTTCCACTGAAAATCATCAGCCCTGTAGCTATTCACACCTATGGGATAGATTTCTAGTGTTAAATTGTTTTTTCAGAGCACTAAGCTAATATTGTGTCATCTGCATGTTCATCTGACAATCGTGATAGATGTAGCACCAGTGTGAGGTTCCTCAAACACAGTATGATGGATTAACATATATCTAATTCAAGGAAATCATGTTACAACAGTAAAACCATCTGTTAATTGGGCTGCAATGTTAAAGAATGGATCACGTCTAATTAATACAATGTGTCAATCTTCATTGCTAAGATAAATGACAGCAAGCTTAAGCTTTGGCCTACATTTGCGGGAAGAAGATAGCTGCAGATGTACGGCATCTCGTTACAGAAGCCGTATATTCGGTCACTCTGGAAGCTCAGCACCGCAGAGGATAGGCTGTGCTCCACCTCGTACAGGAACTTATGGATGAATTCGTTTCTCAGCCTCCCTCTTTCATCGGCAAAGGTTGCAGAAACTGTGAGATTTCGGGGAGAAGAGAAATCACTTGCACCATACATTGATTATATTTTTTAATTGCTATGAACAACTATGAAAAGTGAAATAAAAATTTTAAATGCTCTATTAATAATGCAGAGGCTAGTATGTGATAAAAATGACTTAAAAACAACTGGGCTCCATTGGAATTACTTTAATATTAAATAATTGACACCAAATAAAATCTTTTATAAGGCCTTGGTTAATTACATCAATTAAATAGAGACATAGTAAAATAAACTCACGATGGCCTTTAATTAAAACATGGTTAATAAAATATAAAAGTACTTTGAGGCTTTGGCTATCTTATACTCTACAATGATATACTTGCAAAATAGCTACCCAGATATTAGTTACCTAAAACAGAGTGTGTATTTTATCAGACCTCTAGCCAGAAAGCTTTCTTCAGAATTTTACCAGTGAAAGTAACTACATAGTAATCTATATGAGTTTGACTATGTATATCTAAAAGTACAAAAACAGGCATCACAGAATGACAAATCAATTTGACAAGAGTGCTAGTCGATCCTGTTTCTTCCCTCTGGTAGGTGGACAGATTCTCATGAATGACAAGGCCTATAAGAAAGTTCACTAGGTTCACATTATTTAGCAGCCTCATTAAGTTTCAGTTTGTAACACATACAAAAGATGGCCATTTTACCTCTTCATGTGTTAAGAGAAAGAAACATGCTATCACCAGGGGAAAAAAAAAGTTATAGCAACTAATTGTCTGAGCCCAGGACAGAATTGTTTGCTTGTCTTTTTTTTTTTTTTTACCTTGAGGTAGTATTATAGGCAGAGTGAATATTTCCAGACTGCTTCTTCCTGTTTCTGGAAGTGAGGAAAGCACCATCACTTCCACTATGTCTGTTTCCAAAAGAGACACCGTGGATATCTGTAAAATGCCTTTGTGCACCTCTGAAAGAAAACATAAATCAACACCACATCATTAGTGGTCATGGATAAGTTTAAAGAATCTTTTATCTCCCTAAGCAAGATACCACATTATAGAATGGCCTTCACTAAATCTTTAGATCCAAATTTATTGACTAGATAATTAAAGGGACCTTTCAACATAAGTGACAGGGACATTTTTGATACACAGATAAAGGAGTCTCCTGGTAAGATGCCTGTTGGTCTTTTCAATGCAGCTTGGAGGGACCCGGGTCTCTTTCCCACGTGGGGAGGCCTCCGTGCCCCTCCCTCTCAGCATCGCCGGCCTGCTCTGGCCCCTTGAATATCCACTCAAGCTGGTTTGCCCATTCCTAATATTGGGCAAACTCAGCCCTTAGTGTTTTTTGCACCCGTAGTCGAGGTATTGGGGGTGTGGTGAAATATGCAGGAGTTGAGTTTGTCTTCCAAGAAGCTAAGAAATCTGACCCCTGCGAGATTACGCCTGGGACCCACCATGGGTTCTCTCCAGATTCACTGCTCTTAGTGTCCACAGGGGCTGTTTGGCATGTGCCCACTTTCTCAGGCCCCCAACATCTGCCCCTCCCCTCAGGTGTTCAGGGGATGACCTTTCCTCTTAGTGAGGAAGACTGAGAACATTTGATACAAACTTGACCTCAACTTTCTTACCAAATTTTACATTGTTCCCATCTTCCTGACATTTTTGTAGGAACAAAATGTGAACCCCTTCCATCTGTGATCTTGAGCTCATGCCTCCAATGTCCTGTTAGACCGTGTGCTATCAGTTACTTCTTTTTGTTTTCTTGTGTCTTTTAGGATTTCTTCTACTCAGCCCTCGAGAAGCCCCTATTTTCAAAGCAGGGCCTTCCTTCAACCCTGTTTCCCCACCACAGTTACCATCCAATTCTCTTTTCTCTATTGCAAACTTCTTTAAAAATTTTTTAAAGATTTTTTTCATTAACTTATCTTTAGAGAGAGAGAGGAAGGGAGGGAGAAAGACAGGGAGATGTGTGAGAGATACACTGATTGGTTGCTTCTCAAACACCGCCCCCCAGGGGGACCTAGCCAGAAACCCAGACATGTGCCCTGACTGGGAATCAAACTGGTGACCTTTCAGTTTGCAGGCTGGTACTCAATCCACTGAACCAAACCAGCCAGGGCCAAACTTCTTAAAATAAGAGTTGCCACTTACTGACTTCATTTTCCAACCTCTCATCCCTCCCTGACCACTTTGCCTCTCCACCGCCCCAAAATAACTCTCCCAGGGGTCTCTCCTGATTGGAAAATATATGAGGGCCTCCTCCCAGGACTCACCCCACTCATGCTTCTGCCGCAGTATAACCCCTCATCCAGCCCTGTCTCCTCCAAGCTCTTTCTAGGGCAGGCAACTCCCAGTTTTCTTCTTACTCTGGTCTGTCCTCAGGTTTCTTCACTGCCTTGTCTTCTCTGTTCATACTTCAATGGAAATAGTTTCTCCCATCCCATACTCTGACTGACCAGATAGGTTAAAAAATGGAATATTTAGACAGAACCTGCATCCACTCTGAGGTTAGCCATAGGTCCTATCACATTCTATGTAATCTAATTTACATATTAAGGTTACCTGTTTGGTCTTAGGAAACGATTGGGTTTGCATCCACTCTGTCTTCTCAAGCCTTCTCAATAGCTCCCATGATTTCAAGATCAGAATTCTATCCTTAAGACAGATCTGTGTCTCCAAAGTTATACTGAAGAGCTTATTGGCTTCAAATTCACCAAGCTCCTCAGCTTACCCTATTCCTCAACCTTCATAACTTCCTTTTTTCTTGAGTTTTTACTTCAATTGGTGAGCTCAAAAACTTCCACCACCCAGGCTAGAAATGTTAGTCATTCCTGCTTTCCTATACCGAATCCTACCAATTCTGTCACTCACGACTGTTCCCTCCCTTTTCCCTCCGTGACTGCTGCAGGAGCCTGAGCCAGGCGTGCTGAGCCCGAGCCCCACCCTGGCCTGTAGCTGCACGACTCAGCAGGACTTAGCCTCACTCTGCCTGCACTGCCTCATCTGTGAGTGTAACAGCAGTCCCCACCTCATAAGAGTTGTCAGTAGGAATTAAATAAATTGCCCAGACTGGTGTGGCTCAGATGGTTGGGTGTTGTCCTGCAAAGTGAAAGGTCCCTGGTTAGGGCACATGCCTGGATTATGGGTTTGGTCCCCAGTTATGGTGCCTGGGAAAAGCAAATTGATGCTTCTCTCTCATATTAATGTTTTTTCCCTCTCTTTCTTGCCCCCCTTCCCCTTTTCTAAAAATAAATAAATAAAATCTTGAAAATTAACACAGGCCAGTGCTTAAGAACATCGAAATCCCTCAATAAATGTTAGCTTTTGTCATGATTAATATCGCCTTATGCCTGGACTACTAGAATAGTTCCCTCACTCATCTCTTTTATTCCATTCTCTTGCCTCTCTTCCCATCCTTCACACTTGTGCCAGAGTCATCCTCAGAAAAACCAAGTGCAATCACACTAGTCTGATCTGAAAACCTGAGGATTTGCTTTAACCACAGAACCAAGTCTGGGCTCCTTGGAATGATACTCCAGACCCTTTATCTTCCTCCAGACTTCATCACCATAATCGTCATCTAGTGAACCCTCTGTTTACCTGTTGCACCAGACTTCTTACCATTCCAAGGGCTTTTGCTCCGACTTTTATCTCAAGATGAAATACTAACATGGCCCATCCTCCATTGCTTTAAATCCTCAGAAAACTCTTCTCTATCCTCTGCACCCCTCCATGAATGCCCCTTTTACCTCCACTCCCTTCCTCACACCTGGCAGGATTAATTGCTTCTTCCTTTGGGCCTACACAGCACTCTGCTGATTCCTCCTGCACTCAACTGTGTCCTTGACCTCTCCATGCCCCACAGGGCCTAGACTTAGCATTTTACACCTAGGAGGTACTCAGTAACTTTTAGAAATCAATAATGGATTTTAAAATATATATATTTGGGGTAAATAGACACACACATTTAGTACTTACAGTCAGAGAAATGTGTTAGTTCTTACTATTTACCATAAAAGTGCCATCTCACCCACCAAATCTACAGTTTACCTGGGCATTTAAGTAAACAGTACTGAAAAGCTAGATATCATTTTGTTGAAAGAGGAAAGATTCAGATCACAAAACTTTCTTTAGATAAGTTTAAATAGAGATCAAATATTACTTTTAAAAATATCTCAGGGATAAACAGCCCAACTTCTCTTTGTGATAATATTAGGTCTATTTAGCCACTTGTTGATTCATTCATGACTGACTTGAGAAAATGTATTAGTATCAGCTATGCACCAAGCAGATGCACCAAAAACTTCTAAATATGATATGGGAATCCTCTTTTTTTTAAAAAAAAATATTTTATTGATAAGGCTATTTTACCTTCTTCGCCTAGCTCTCCCCAGTATGGGAATTCTCCAAAGCAACTGTTGAGTTATTTACATGTTTCTCTTTTAGAAAATATGCCACAAAAGTGATCGAACTTATTATTTCCCCACTTTTATCACCTTAAACTCTTTGGAATAAAGTGACCAATATTTGAAATTAATAAGCATTTTGTGTAGTACCTACGAATCCAAGAACCTCAAATGAGCTTGAGGGTTTGGCGTTGATAACAAAGACGTATCCTTCAGGGGTTCCAGCTAACAGATAGATCCCTCGCTGGTCGTAACTGGAAAAGAAGTCTGGATTTACTCGTTGCACTGATAGAATGGGAAACATTTATTCAATAACAGCACTGAGGTCCATTCAAAACCAGTCATTCTTACAGTCTGTGATTTTCAATATTATCTGACCTTATAAAAGCCAAGTGATTACATATAAATGTACTCATTATATTCTATGCTAATGTTATTTGCAAATTGCAAAACAGTCAAGATTTACTAAAGATGGGCAACTATTTCATCATAAGTGAATGAAAGATGACAACAGAGCTTTCTAGATATTCCCAGGGGAAATAAGCAATTCTCAAATGAGCACTGAGTACATTTCAGTCCCCTTCAGGATCAGTACCTGGCTGGAGGAGGAGGAATGTGGTGAAATGTTTCTACACCTCTCATTAAATTAGAAAAAGTGGGAAACGCAAATCGGGATAAGTGAGAAGGATCTGAGAAAGAAGCCACGCACCACCCAAAGTTATGGTACAGAGGAGCTGGGTGTGACTGGAGAGAGGTTACGGGTCCTTCCCCACTGAGCCGGGGGCAACGGAGATTGCCGGAACAGCGCGGGCAGGAACCAGCTCGCGGGCAGGAGCCAGCTCGTTCAGGCGCTGGTCGGGTCATCACCCCACAATCACTGCTCTTAACCTCTCTGAACCTAAATTCCCTCATCTGTGGAGTGAGTACGAGCGTAACACCTTCCTGACTGGTGGGGCGAGGACCACATTCAATGAGCCACAGTGTGTGACAGGACACAAGTGACAGTTCTTATTAATACCTATGATTATGATACATTAATAAAAGAAAGGACAGTAACACATGAGTCCAAACTCAATGTCTCTATGCTGCCTTCCAAAAAGTCTGGCTTCAAAACATTTAAAATCATCTAAATGCCCACTAATATACTGTCTGTAAAAAAAATACTCCATACCAGTAAAAAAGAACGAGGAAGATCATTATGTGTGAATAGAAAACATCCTTCCAGATACATTATTAAGTGAAAAAAATGAGATGCGGAAACGTATATGGTTAGCTCCCTTCAGAGCAAAGGCACTGACTCCAGAGCCCAACTGCCTGGCTTCAAATCCTGCCATTCCCCATTGACACCCGTGTGATATTAAGCAAGTTATTTAAACTCTTTGTGCCTCATCTTACCCATCTGTCAAGTAGAGACAACACAAATCTCCATCTCATAAAGTTAATACAATTGAAGTGCCTGGCACACTCTAAGTGCTTGATAATTATTTGTGTAAATAACAGGAAATACTTATCCTTTTGTTTATGGATAAATACCTCTGAAAAGTGACATGAGAAGTTGGTAACAGGCTGCCTCCTGGGAGAGGAACTGGGTGTTCAGGGACAAGGGTAGAACACCTGTCACTATAGGACCTTTTGTACCTTTTGAACATTGAACCAAGTCACTATATTAATTTCCAAAACAAATGTAAAACTTAAAATGTAAAGGCATTATGGCTTCACTGGCATTCCCAACAGACAGGCCCGACGGAGTCACTGCCAGAAGCAGACGGTACGTACACGAGAAGCTGGACGGAGGATTCTGAGAGAAAGGCCTTGTGAACCTCCCGAGGGGACTTGGCGTCCTGGATGTCAAAGAAGTGGACAGAGCCAGCCACAGTCCCCACCGCCACAGACAGGGAGGAGGGAGAACAAGCCAGAACTGTCGTCTGTTAAAAAAAAAAACCCAGATGCTTAACTTCACTGTGCCCAAAACAAACAAACAAACAAACAAACAAACAAACAAACACATAAAGCTGACTCTCCTACACACCAGATTTCTACAGTTTATTCGAAAAGCCTGCGGAATTCAAGAAGAGTGGCCAGCATTGTGTGGTACGACAAGCTACACATCTTGTAGCTGACATGCCTGAGCTAATTGATTACATAATAAGTTATGGGAATGTGTACATTTTTTTATCCTAACATTAAGGTGATAAAAGTTAAAGACATTTACTGAACTTTAAGCCATGGCTCTACTGTTACCCCTAAATGATGATAAAATTACACCAATAATTGTGAAAAATAAAATAAGAAATTTAAAATAAATTCCAAGCACCTTTTGGACATCTTTATAGAATGTTAGAGATTTCTTAAAATCATCATTCATCTGGTGGGTAATGGCAGATCCCTGGGTGCTGGGATGACTGAAGATGACTCCAGAAAGTGACCGTTATCACTGTGTGTTGTGTTCAGTCACCGAAGAACACAGCCCAGATCCCTGCTTTCCTCACAGTAATTTACAGAATGTCCAAGAGAAGAAAATCTGCTTTTGTGACCCTCAAGAGATCAGATCCATTTCTCTCTAAATTAAACTTTGTAGGTTGTTTTGAATACAATGATAGAATATTAGAAGTAGAAAAGATCTTAGGAGATAATAATTTTTGCAGAACAGAAAATAGAGGCCAAGGAAAGGGCAGCAATTTGCCCCAGAGTCTCATAGCTGGTGACAAAGCTCAGATGAGAATTCAGGTGCCTTGACCCATTAAAATGCAGTTTCTCAAATACACAGGTTTTAATTCTAGTTTTAAAAGTGAAATTTGCAGTTGATTCTAGTTGAGTCTTCAGTGGTATCTAAGCGTGAAACCAGAAACAAAATAGGTTTCTTCTTCATTTTTTCAACTGAAAGACTTTTTGGGAGGTCTTTGTGTGTGTATGTGTGTGTGTGTGTGTGTGTGGGTGGTGTGAGTTCTCAGCATAATCAGTTGAAATTATTCTCCATTCTAGGGCAATAGTGGGCTAGGCTAAAAAGGTACAGCAATATCTGGAGGGGTCTTATGCACCCTTGCAGGTGACACCAAGGGAAGCTACTGGTAGTGCCCTGTAGCCTGCTAGCATGGTGCTGGCCTGGGTTTTCTGAGGATCACTGCCTAAAACAGTCGTGGGAACACAGTCGTGGGCATAGGCAGGGAGATCTGGCCCCAACCCATCAATTCCCCACCGGGCAGCAGTACCTTCCACCAGCGAAAAACTGCCAATTCTCCCCAGTGAGGGTTGAACCACATGTGTGTACTATGCCTGGTTTGAAGCTCAGTGAAGATTTGATGAATTCACTGTGAAAGTTGTCCAAATCTCTCCCCTCTAGTCAGGTGAAGGTGAAGGTGAAGGGAAGCTGTCTAAAGCGGAAAGCAGGCCACCTGATGCTGCCTATATCCCTCCTCAGTCAAGAAGAAGGCAAGTCCTGATTATGCAGCCCCTTGGCCAGGATGTCAAATCTGTACGTCTCTCTTCTGTAAAAGGAGATGTGATCAGATGAACTTGAAGATCTTTTCTAGTTCTAGTAATTCTAATAGAAACAAATACACACAAGCCTTTGTCACAGATTATGTAGTCTACTCATATTTGCATCTTTTAGGTAAGAATTTTTATGTTTACCTTTTGGGGTGAGTTTTATTTATCCCATTGAATTATGTGTCTTTTTATTTTATAATCTTCTTGTGTGCAGTATAATGCTTCATCTTGTTTTATAATTGAGATTTTAATTTTACAATGGGAAGCACTGTAATTTTCCTACCTACTGCCAAGATCCATATCTCATCTAAAATGATGTAATACAGCAAATGATGATAATTTAAGAAGAGACAATGATCATTTCTCCTTGGTTCTTTTATGTTTTTAAAATTCTATTATGTAAAATGCACAGTGAACTGTGAACACAGAAAAAATGGTATCACCTTATGTGTTCCTAAGGTGTTATGAGGAATATGGTTTGCCAATCATGATTCATATGGCCTCCCTCCTTCTAAAATTTTTAAAATTTTATTTTTCAATTACAGTCTATAGTCAACATTATTTTGTATTAGTTTCAGGTGTAAAGCATAGTGGTTAGAAATTCATATATCTTACAGTGTGTTCCCTCAATACTTCAAGTATCCACCTGGCACCATACACAGTTATTACGATAGTTTAAAATATGTTCCCTATACTGTACTTTACCTATACTTCCCTATACTTCACATAACTACTACGGTAGTTTTGAATATCCATTGAGAATCTCTCTCTCTCTTATTTTCAGGGTTTAGTGAAACAAACCTGACTCCCATTTCCAGGGCTGAATTTGAGCCAATTAGCATTTCTCATCCCCTTGTCCACAGTTCAGAGGTGTTATTAAGACATTAGGAGATATTTAATAAGACTTCTAAACAGGAGAAACTTCTTCTCCCTTCCTCCTCCCACTGTAGTAGGTACTCTTTCCTGATGGCCTGATGTGAGCGCGGCACCTGTGGCACCTGTGTACCACTAAATGAAACTAGAGATGAAACTAAGCACAGTACACAGGTGGACTGAGCTTCACCTGAGGCCAGACAAGTTCTATACATTATAGTTGATTGACCCAATAACTCTACTTTTTTTAATTTTTGGCTCAAGCTGCTTACAATGGCAATTCTCTTTCATTGCTAACTAATCCCATTGAGGTTAGATGGGGCTATTTAACTAGTTATTACCAAGGGAATATTTTATTTCTGAGTAAGAGCACTTAATTGCTACTTCAAGACCCTTTAGCACTCTCTTTCCACAATCCTGGTGCTACAGAGTCCTTAGCTGGTGGAGCCTCCAGCAGCCCGTCTCCCTGAGAGACTTGGTGGAGCAGAGACGCTGCCAGTCCACAGCGAAGGTGCAGCATGAATGAGAGATAAGCCTCTAGAATTTCAGAAATAACTGCAAGCACAGAAAAACCTGTCCTTTCCTCTATACAGTGTAGTACCTTAAGTTCTATCCTCTGGGCCGTGGAAGGTACTTTATGCACAAGAATTACTCTAAATACACAAGGCAAAAAAGCAATAAAGCATCTGTAACAAGTATTGCCTCAGACTATTGACAGGTGAATATGCAAAAGTAGAATAGATTAAAATTTGATATTTTTTGAAATCCATTTATAAGGCATACTTACGGGCATGTTCAGATTAATTCTGCTGACAAAAGCGCCATCCTCTAAACACCAGACACAAGCTTCCCCTGAATATGTGAGCGTCTGTGAAAGCGAGAGGCACAAAACTCTGAATGGGAACAGGACTCTGCTTGGAAGGATGTTCTAAGTCCCTTCCTAGTACATCTATCACTCTGATTATTTAGTATAAAAGTTTATTCCTTTTATGTGCATTATAATTATTTCCCAATCTCAGCATCAATACTTTTGATTTTAATACATATTAACTACTCTTTTTAATGTGACTTAAGTAACAAAAACTAATTAGGCTTACAAATGTGAAACAAAGATTATTTTCTTAGTAACATAATTGAAATAAAAATTACTTGAAAATTCAGTACATTATTTCCTAGAGAATAAACCTAGAAGTAGGAAATTATACATTGTTGTTTATTTGATTAATAGACTTTGTTTTTAAGAGTAATTTTAGGATGAAAGAGAATGTGAACAGAAAGCACACTGACCTACCTCCTCTCCCATACATACAATTTCCCTGTTATTGACATCTTGTATTAATGTGGTACATTTGCCAACCTGCAAATCCTCTCCTCCACCTCGTCCTTCCCTCCCTCTCTCCCCACTGGATCTCTGGAAACCACTGATCTTTTTTACACTCTCCATAGTTTTGTCTGTTCCAGAATGTCATATGGAGGAAATCATACAGCCTTACCAAAGTGGCTTCTTTCTCTTAATGATATGCATTTAAGTTTCCTCTATGTCTTTTCACAGCTTAATAGCGCATTTCTTCTTAGTGATGAATACGATTCCATTGTACGAAGACACCCCTAATTTGTTTATTCACTCTCCTGTTGAAGGACATCTGGGTTGCTTCCTCTGGTGCTCCTGTTTTTGTTTCCTCCTGCTCTCTGAATTTTCATGAGATTTCCTAACTAAGACCTGAGATGTGCATATTTTTCAGTTGCAATCCTCCTGCTCCCAGGTACTGGCTCCAGTGGTTTCTGCTTCTGGGCATCTGTTCCCTAAACTGTGGACCTGCCTGTCTGTCTATAATCCGGGGGACACTGGTCTTCCCTGTGACCTCAATTCTCTGATGGATCTAAGAAGAACTTGCTGATTTTAAATCCATTCAGCTTTTTTCTCATTGTAAGTCTCTTTATGTGCTGGACTGGAAAACTGCAGTTCGTATTGTTCATTCTAACAAATAATTTTTACTCTTTCACAGGATCAAGACTGAAAGCAGCTTAAAGTAACTACAATGAGGTGCAATTTAAGTTCTGTTTTTTGCCTACTAGGGAGTGGGCAACATGAAAATGTGGATCAAGTATCTAAATCCTAAATGTGAAAATCTTGCATGGAATTTTTAACTGAGTTGAAACAACCCTAAGAATATACATAATGCGTATCAGAGGATATCTGGGTGAAAAAATCACAAAATCAGAATTTCAAGATTAGAAGAAAACCCAAGTGTAACTATTCCACAATCTATGTATTTTTTTATTTGCTAGAACTCCCAAATTCCTAATGGATTTGCTGATAAATTACCAGTAAAGTGAAATATGTTTCTTGAGATAAACAATAGATAAATAGCTAAACACCTGGAAAAAAGATTCTCTTCTAAATGTAAAGGGTAGATACTTTTATTTCTAACTGGACTGAATTCATATTTCGTGCGTGGCGAGTTCTTCATTTTCATCCTCTCATGGCACTACATCACTCTGAAAGGTGGTGAGTGCCAACAGTTTCACGAGTGTTGATGACTCATTAGCAATGAGCGTGTTCAAAGGTCTGGCTTGGGAAATCTGTATGGTGAACATAAACAAAATGTCTCCTAAAATTTCAACTGCCTTGGCCATTGACAGAGAATTACTATTATGGAGTTTCAGTATGATAATGTCATTCTAATTAGGGAGTACATTTGATGATGAAAGTGGTTGGCATTTCTACCTCATCTTCAAGAACCTCTATCTCCTATTTGTATCAGGTTGCATGTGAACTTCCAAAATCTCATCTTTAAACCCTACTGTGACACAATAAAACATTCCTTACTATGCAGTATTCGTTTTCAGGTGTGATCAAGTCAATTGCCTGAAACTGCCCATCACAAGCCTCTACGACTTTATCCAAGGTTGGCTCCTCACCAAAAGTGTAAATATACACAGATCCCTTTAGAGATACCAAAAGAAAAAAAGAAGAAAAATTAATGCAATTGTTATGTGAACAATTCAACAAACATTCATTAAATGCCTTCTGTTAGCAAGGCACTAATGAGACTAGGGGATGGGATATTAGAAATCAACTCCTTAAGGCTCTGACCTTGAGGAACTTAAATCTAAATGCTTAATGTTTGTTTATTAATTCATTCACCTTTTGTAATAAGATGAATGAATTAATAAATGGGATATTCTTTTCTTCAACTCCAGGCATTCATTTTTTAAGTTAAAAATGTAATGAAATTTTTCTAACTATTGATGCAGAAAATTTGAAATATATGGAAAACCAGAAAAGTTGTTAACATGAATTAAGTCTTATCACGTACTAGATCATGGAGGATGCTAATGAAAATTTTTAATAGGTCTCTGTGGAAATTGTGAAGATGGGGCCAAAGCTGTCACTTTATGACTTCATCATTCTCAGCTCCAAAATTCACTTCTCAAAAAAAAAAAAAACCCAACCCAAAACATATCCTTTAAATTATGCATCTCTGACAAGTAACTGTAATATGGTATGGTCACTTAACTACCAGTAAGAAGTCTCCTGTCTACTAATCACAAGTTCTTCAAGTTCAGTTAAACATGAATATTTTTGTTCTTATTTATATAAAAATACTTCTTTGTAGACTCTAAAATCTGGTATTTACTGATTTTACCTTTCATTCATTATTTCAAGAAATACAGGGTCCAGTACAAATAATGCCCCCTTTATATTATAAAAATCTTTTATTACAAAATTATAAGCATGTAATTCTGCAACAACAATAACACACTCAAGCACAACATATGACATTTTAGGTGAAATGTTCAAATTAAAACTGTACATTATTACCTTACCAACCACACTCGAGCAGGCGTTACTTCTGTCAAACCCTGTATTATGAAGGTACCCTGTGCCAGACACTGGTCTGGGTGCTGGGGCTACATCAGAGGACAGAATGGACAAAAAGCCCCTGTCCTACTAGACATTCTACTGGACTATTCATAGTTTGCTGACCCCAGCACTACATGGAATATACTCACTATTTCTTACTTAGAATATTACCACATAGAAGCCAGCTGTTTGTCTAATTGAAATTCCTTTGAAATAATCTGTTTCTCTGACTTCTTTTAAGATTTTTCTCTGTCTTTATTTTTCAACGATTTCACTATGTTAAATCTCAGTGTGGGTATCTTTCTATGTCTCCTGCTTGGGATTCACTGGGTCTCTCAAATCTGTAAATTCATGTCTTTAATCGGTTCTGAAAAATATCTCTCTAAGTATTGCCTCTGTCCCATTCTTTCCTCTCTCTGGGATTTCAATCAAACATATATTAGATCTTTTCATGGTATCACTCATGTATCACACCCTCCCTTCTGCATTTCCTACCTCTTGTGGCTCTGGGCTACATCCTGGATAACTTCTTCTAATCTATTTTCCAGTTCATTAAATCTCTCTTTGGCTGTATCCAATTTCTGTTAGACATATTAATTTAATTTTTACTTTTTTTAGTGTATTTTTATTTTTTAGAAGTTCTATTTGGGTCTTTCTACCTTCTGTTATACTAGCTTTGTATTATTATTTCCTGTTCTAAATATTTTTAAGTTTGTTGTTTACTTGTCATTTATTAAAACATAGAACAGTTGTTTTAACTTCTGATAATTATCAGAAACTGCAGTCTTTCCATATTTATATTTAAATTCCTTTTAAGCAGAAAATCATTGAACTCTGTTTGTAATTCATCTAAAATTGTTGCTGAACAATATAAGCTGCTGCTAATCCTGGGCTCTGAAGGTCATTCCATTAATTAGGAGTCTTTATAATAGTATAATTGAGGTGGACATTTGATGTTACCCTGTAATTATTCCTTTCCCTTCTTTTCTTACAGAACCCATATTTTCCTTAGAGAACCCCTCATGACCTCCTTCTCAGTTTATGTTTGGGTGGGTTGACTCTACCCAGGGTCCAAGGGCAGGCCTGACCAATCAGAGTTTAAAATCCATCTGGACATAGTAATTGACACATGGTGGTAGAGGTGACCCAAATTAGTACAATTAGTCTAGATTCAAGGACATTGTTTTCTATTTGGTACCTTTCCACCATGGTCAACAAAAAAGATAGAAATATGAACTAGAGTTAGAGGAGGCTCTTTCGACTTCCCAGTGGTGAGCCTGCATGGAAAGGGCGACAGCAGGGAGAAAACAGAACCAAGAGATGGCAGGAAAGCAAGGCCAGTGGCTTTGGGGGAGCTCTTAGATTCAGATGAATTCCTTTCAGTTACACGCACAAAAACAAACAAAACTCCCTTTGTCAGTAAAGCCTTTAAAAATTTTTTTCATTTGCAACTTAAAAGAGTCCTGACTTAGAGAGTATCATTATGCAACCCACCCTGCCCTTCATTCCTGTGATGCAATGATGATAACAATATCTGAAAATTGCATACCAAGAAATCACCATTAGCATACCTTGTCTGTTTGAATCAGCAACATTTTGTAACTGGGAGAAAACATCAAACATTCCACAGGGTCTTCAACCTGAAGAAAATCCTCTATTCTGTAAGTTGAATCTTTAATAATAAAAGAATACACAAAGCCATCCTAGAGACCAAAAAACAACAAGATAAATGCAGAAAATCAGTCTGATCAATGCATAATATACTTTCCTTATCAGACAAGCTAAGAGTTATTGATTATCCCCTACTGTTTATTTTTTGGAATTTTTATCTGTATTTATATTATTAAGAATGCCCTGTCTCTTTATTTAGAAAACTTTTAACCATATTTCCTGGTCAAGCTTCAATTTTATCTCATTTGTGACACATTTTTCAATTACCTAAAACTTTACTGAATTCTCCTGTCTTTGAACTTTTCTAGCATCTATCTTCTTATTACCTTCTTTATTATAAGGAGGTGGGGAAAATGAGGCAGAGTTGATTGTGTGGTTTTTAAATACAGCGGTCTCCTTACTTCAAAGGATACCAGTCTTAACGTATGCTGTTTAATCATTGTTATGTAGAATTTCTCGTCTTCCTAAATGACTCAAATGTAGGGAGTGTGCTGTTTATTTTCTTTATATTCTCCCAGTGTAAGTATCCAACAAAATGAGCTAATTGGTTAGTTGGTTGATTGTGAACAGATTTATTTTAGTTTCCTCTCAAAGAGGAATTTGAGTTACTTCTACAATAATAAAGAGGCTTTGGTCAAATTCACCCATAATTTCTAGAGCAGACCCCATTATAACTAAGAGTAAGCATTTGTGAGAATGCTAGGCTCAGGCACTGAGGGGAACATGCAGGGTGATTTCATCATCCTTGTCATCATTCTCTATCGCTCACCGGAGCAAAGATGCTCCAATCCGTTCTCTAAATTAGTTTTAAGAAAACACCAAGGCCACAAATGCAGACTACATGTAGGAGGTAGGGGCAGTCCACTGCAAATCCAGATTGTTTCTCATTGGTGGAGCTACATCCTTTCCCCTGGCAACACTGACTAGTTCCCTGAGGGTCCTGGAGATGTGAGCTGTGGCAACAGAAGACAGAAAGCCAACAGCAGTCTCAGGACAGCGACCGATAGACCTGAGATCTTAGTGGACGTCAGCTCCAAACCTTATCAGCACTGATCACCACAGTGTGGAAAAGTAACACAGTCTGACCCCTTCGCAGACCTGCTGAGGCTGAGGGAACTCAGAAAGACTTGGTTCCTTCATCAATAGTTTCTACTCAATAGGGTCATTGTAAAGGTGGAGGGCAGCTAAATGGTAATAAAAATACAATAAAAAAGGAAAATTAAAAAAAAAAGAAATAATAAGATAATACAAGGAAAACAGAATGGTGCCTGGCACAAAATAAGCACCAAGTAAATGATGGCTATTAATATGAATTCTATCAAGAATAACAATAGGACACAGGTAAACTGAATGGGCACACAGAAAAGGCTAAGCTAAAGCTTGGATGAAAGGTCCCATTTGTGTCTAAAAACTCAATACATTAACTGTACGAAAAAGAATGAAATTGGGTGACAGACATGAGGTGTTTGGAGGAGGCATGGATTTTTAAATTTTTATTTTTGCCTATTTGCCATAAGATAGATAGATGATAGTTCATGATACTGTGATCACTATTTTTGTATATATTTGAAATTCTCATAAAAAGTTTTCTAATAGCATCCAAGAAGAAAACAATTTTAATTAATAATCTGACATAAATTGACATCACGAATTATGGCTCATAACAATAAACGACAGCAAATGGAAATTGTATATTTTCTTGAAAGCAATTAATTTTGAAGAAAAAAATACATTACTATTCCAGAAGCAAGCACACCTCCCTTCTGATACGCCATGGTGATCGGACTGATGAGAGGTCGTCCCTCTTTGGGAAAAGAAAAAGAATGTGAAATCGATGACACAGAAGTGCACTACGAAGTACTTCGTCTCATTTGATTCCTGAGCACTGTTCACTTCTTCGTAATCCTTTTTTTCTAAAAACCAACTTTCTATTAGAATATGTGCCATGGTGCCTCCCCAGCAATGACTAATAAAAGCTGCTTAGCAATGATCACTGATGAAAATCACACAAGGTTTTTTAAGGTCAGTATCATCAGATCTATGTAACTAACATTGTAGTAATAGTTAGCAAATATATACATACAAATATATATTTATATATGTATTTTATATACACATATATTTATATATTAAATATTATATCTAATATATAATATATAGCAAATATAACATGTAAATGTACAAAATATAAATTAAATATGATATACATTTAATAATATATTATCAAACAATATATTGTTTTATATGATAATATATTGTGTATTATTATTCATAACATATTTCATATATTCAATATATAATATATTAAATATAATACATAAACATGTTTAACAATACATTTATATATAACAATATATTATATAAAATATATTTTTATATTTATATTTGTATAAATATTTATATATAAACATATTTATATAAATATATGTTTATATATTTACATATAGTTTTACATATAAAGTATATTTATATATTTTATATGTAAAATTATGTATAAATAATTTTTAGAAAAACATTGTGAGAGATTTTAAGATGCCAAGGGAAAAAACTATATTATTATCATCAAGCTGTATACTTAAGATCTGAACATTTTATGGTGTGTAAATTTATGCCTCAGTAAATAAAGCACAGTGGATAACAGGAAGAAAAAGTTCTATAAGAGCATTTTTCATGTTGTTTAATGACAGTGGTCCCAATATTCCCCCGTTGCTCTCCCCTGCCCTGCCCTCCATTCCCCCTCCCTTGGTCAGTCCCCTCCCTGTTATCCATAAACATGGGTCCTTTATACACGTTCTTTGACTAGATTCTTCCCCCCTTTCCCCTGTTTCCCCTCTCTCATCACTTATTAATAAAATATTGGCCTTGGATGTTGTATACTTGAAACTAATATAATAATATATGCTAATTATATGTCAATAAAAAATATTGTCCTTGAAGGAAAACAACAAAAGCATATTACTTGTTATGTAGAAAAACCATGAGAACTTCAAGATCAAAAGCTCAGATGGCATCCATCAAATTATTTGTTTACTGCATATTAGGTGCTTGGCATTTTTCCAGATGCTAAAAAGGATACTGTCCTTTCCTTTAAGGACTGTTCGCCTCCCAGCACTCTCTTCTTTCCCAGTCCAGCTGCTAGAAGAGTCCAGCTTTTTATAACTCCTCCCCTAGTCTAGGGGTCTGTTGCTTAAAGTCACCTGCTTCTAGGATCTTCTTTTCTTGAAAAAAGGCTACATTAACCTCCCCAAGCACAAATCCAGATGTGGTACATCCCCATTCAGGAATGTTTGATGCCTGTCCACTGTCAGTTGAATGAACTATAAACATGTTAGCTTACATTTAAGGGCAAATGCAGTCTACGTGACTTTTTGTTCCCCACTACCCCTGCGTAAAACCTGATGCTCCAGACAAATTGTACCCCTTCTCGTATCTCCACCTACCCCATGCTTTTTCTCTAACAGATACCATTGCCAAAAAGTCTACCTACTCTTATCTCTGTCTGTGAACTCACCCTTCAAGGGTCATTTCAAATACCACTTTCAAAGTAACTTAACTTGGTCCGTTTCCCTCCTCCGCATTCCCAGAGAACTTGGTGAAGTCCTCCCTTAGTGAAATCATCCTATTCTACCTGATTGTAATTAAGTGACTGGTTGTCATATTCTCTTTAATAAAACAGAAATCACTCGAAAGCTAGAAGGCTTGTCTGTGGAATGATGGGAAGAACCGATGTCTAGACGGGACTTGTACTGGGGAGTAGCAGGAACTAATACTAAATGGAACAGGTAAGACCAGAATAGAGAGGGCTTGAAAGCAAGGTGGAGTGATCCTTGAGTTACATGTTAAAAACAGTTTTCAAGAAGGGCAGTTTGGCAGGAATGAGCTGCCTGGTTTGAGCCAGCTGTTGATTAAGGTCAATGAAGTCAATCCTAAGGTTGCTGCAAAAGTCAAGGTGTGAAGTAATAAGAGCTACTGGAATGGAGAGTGCAATGAACAGGTTTGGGGTTCGCCGTGGCAAAGTTCCCTTTCAAAGGGTCTATTCCTAGCCCCTCCTGTGTCAAAGGCCCAACTCTTGCCAGAGCTGATGGGACTAGGAATGGACATCAGATCTAAAGAGAACATTGATCATGTTCTCTTCGAAATTCTAACCACTTAACATAAAGGGAATTTTCAAGATGGCAGTTGGACTTAGAAGACCATCACAGAAAAGGGGTTGAGACGATAGAGGGCAGGAAAGAACACATTAGCTTATAAACAGAACTGGCTTATGTGTGGGAAAGGATACAGCATAGTAGCTAAGAATTTGGACTCTGCAGTTTTATAGCCTGGCTCAGGTTTCAGCTCCACAGTTGAATTCAGGCACGTTTGTTAACTTCTCGATACCTCCATTTCCTCCTCTACGTCATGGAGATAAAAATGTATCTCCTTGTAAAGCTGTTTTGAGGATTATAGGAATTATAGACTAGGATTTATATAATCTATTAGGAATCCTATAGGTTATAGGATTGCTGCATTATAGAGTATTAGCAGAATGTCTGGAGCGTGTAATATTTAAGAAACATTAGGTAGCTAGAAGGTCTAGGACTACGGGATAAAGAAGAAGAAAGAATCAAAGATGTCTCTAAGAAAGAGAAACATAGAAAATAAAACATTCATCTCCAAGCGCAAAACCATCACCAATGGTTGTCCACTTCCGGGAATATAAAGCACAGTAGTTTCTCACCCATTGACGGTGTGTCTTCTGTCTTATCAAGCACAGTCACCTTCAAGGTTTCTCCACTAATCACTAGAAGATGACCCTCTTCACAGCCAACATATAGGTCACTTGTTGGAGTCCAGCAGTGCATAGTTGGGTGCAGCAAAGGATAGAGATCATCTTTGGGCTTCAGGGAAAGATTAGAAACCTTGTATTATGATAACAACTATGGCCTAAAAACCAGAGAAATACCTATCAAAACAATTTCCAAGAGGAAATAAATATGTACATAAGTATATTCATTGGCCCCACCAATTGCTAAGATCTAACTGAACTCCTTTCTTCCTCATTTCTCTACATTTTAATTCACTAGAAAAAAATAAGCCATTCTTGCCAAAGCATTCAGGGTTCTAGTGTCACAGATTTCCATGAGTTTTGATTAGTAACTTCTATACTGTTTCCTGGTGGACATTTTTTGTATCTCGAATCTAAAAAAGTCATCGCCTGGCTACAACCTCTTTTTGAGGAAGATTTTTATAACGTTTCTCCATCCTGCTTCCGCAGGGGGCATGGATGTGATTTTCCTGGGGCAGCGACCAAGAAGTCTGCCTCGATGGATCGATCCCCTTGAGAGGGTCCCCTGCTTAGTTAGCTTTCGAGGCAAATGAGAAGACTCCTTGTATGATTCTGGTGGCCTGTCCAATCTGGTTTGTGAAACACCCTACATGACTGATTTTATGGAAAACTCAAAGTAAAATGCACACAATCTATGGGATGTACCTAAAAAAAAAAGCTGGCTTTGGAGACTGAAAAATAATATGGGCCAAGGATGTAAGGTAAAATTTTGCCTATAAAGGAATGTTTTAGGCTTTGTGGACCACATTGCTCTCTATATCACCACATACACACCCCACCCTCCTTTTTAAAACAACTCTTAAAAAAGTATGAAAAACGTTCGTAGCTCTGGCCATACAAAAGCACATCATAGTCTGTGGATGGCTGCCGTACACAGTAATACCTCAGTATTATGCCTCCTGCAGCCTTAAAGGCTTGTGACCAGCAGAGCAGAAGGTGCACCCCACGCTTTTTGTATGGACAGAGCAGGTCTCCTTGTAAGCCTAGGACCACTTGCTCTCTTTCCTGGAGGTCAAGGTAGTTGTAACAGCAGTTTTGGGCACATCCCCCCGCCTCCCCCGTCCCAGGACTGACTGAGATTGTGAACTCAGGATATCATAACATGGCATTCCTTCCTTTCTATTTAAACAAATCAAACATATGGAGCTTAAACTTGTTTGTTTTCATTTGTACGGAAAACAGAAGCTTTAGTATTTATCTGACCTTTTTGTTTTGCTATAATATTATTTAGAATTGCATTAGCTACAACATATCTTTGTTTTCTTTAAATGTCCTTACACCCACAGGAATAGAAAACATTTTTAATGAGCCATTAGCCAAATTACCAGGATGCTAAATTCCTTGAGAGTTCCATGTTTATTTCATTCGTATATTCATTCATCTAACAAATATTTATTGGATACTCATAGCACCCCAAGCACAGGAATGTGGCAATGCACAAAACACAGAAAAATCCCTGGTGAGGGGAATAGAGTGAAATAAATAAGTTCAATACACGGACTGCTATGTGTTGTACAGGGCTATGGCTGAGTTGGAATTGGCTCCACAGGTGGGGAATACTTCACACCCACACAGACAGTGATTTTTCTACTCAGAACTTCCCAGTGCATTGCAAGTCACCTTTCTAATAAATACTCAATTAATGGAATAAAATATCATATGTTGCTCTTTTAATTTAAGATAGGCTTGTCATTTTAAGGTAAAGCAGGTGACACTGTCAAAGTAACTATTTCTCCTAAATTCTCAACTTATATAAATTTGCTGTACAACTGATACTCAACAGACATCTATTGGGTTTTGGTTACATACCAGGCATTGCACCAAGATATAAGGAATCCCTCCGCTCAAGAGGAGAGCTGCCTATTGAGGGAGGAACCGGTATTAACAAATACGAGACTCAGAAAATATGGCGGGTTATGGGAGAGGAGTGCAACTACAGGGTGGGCAAAAGTAGGGTTAGGTTGTGAATACATGAAACAGTTTATGTTATTTTTAATTAATTCTTATATTGTTTTCCATACAAACAACTGTAAACCTACTTCTGCCCACCCCTGTATTGCACGGGCATCCATAAGAAAGCAATTGGTTCTTCTTGGTGGGGTGAAGGAAGTGTAGAGAAAGAGAATTCTCATTCGGAATGGACTTTGAAACATGAGCAAGGCAGAAATCGTATATAGAAACAATTATGATAATTTTTAAAAGAATAGACGGACTTTGATTGTATAATTGGTCTATCTCATGCCCTCATGCCCTTAGAATGTTAGAAAATAAAACTTGAAAAACAATCTGGTCATCCAGTAGGACAAACAAAGGGACAAAACCAAATGGATTAAACTGCTACTAATGAATGATATTTTTGTGGTACCTGAGGTTTGACTCATAGAAAAGAATTGCTCACTGACCACCACTATATAAAAGTCTTTTGCATTGTCTTGATGACATATAACCTTAGACTATAAATCACGAAAAGACAGATTCTACCTGGAATCACAATGGGCTTAAAATCTTAAGAATACACGTCTGTCCTCACAGCACCAGCGAATCTGGTGCTGCAAAGGGCTATGCAACAGAAGGTAGGGGTTAAAACTTGCAATTTTCTGGGTGGGTATGTTAAACTAGTATTATGTGTGGCTTTTCTTACTTTAAGATAAATCCTGGCTTGTTTTCCTGTTACTTTCTTTCATTAATAAATGTTTTCTGTGCCAAACATATTTTTTGTTGATTGATTTCAGAGAGAGGGGAGGAGGGAGAGAGAGAAACATCGGTGTGAGAGAGGAACATTGATGGGTTTCCCCCATATGCGCCATGACCAGGGATTGAACCCACAACTTAAGTATTGAATAAATTGAACCCGTGACCTTTGTGTGTGGACGATGCTCCAACCAGCTGAGCCACACCTGCCAGAGCTGTTCTGTGCCATTGAAAAAGTAAATGTGATATTATATGTATTATGTGAGTAGAAACAATAATTTTTAATTCTGAAAATTTTAGACTTGTAAAAGAAAAGGTATGGATAGTATTTAAAAATATTTGTTGATAATACCACCTCCTTGTTTAATCCTCTGGAATCATGATTCAAACATTTTAGTCACTTGAAGACCAAACATGAAAAACTTGAGTCCAACTTAATCTTGCTTTAGAAAATGTAAGCACCTGAGTAGGTTTCAGAATACTTGAGTTTATAAAAGAGATTCTTATTTAGCAACTTCTTTTTTTTTTTAAAGAATTTATTTATTTATTTTAGAGAGGAAGGGAAGGAGAAGGAGAGAAACATAAATGTGTGGTTGCCTCTCGTGAGTCCCCTGCTGGGAACTGGCCTGCAACCAGGCACGTGCCCTGACTGGGAATCAAACCATGATTGTGTGATTTACAGGTCCATGCTCAATCCACTGAGCTACACCAGCCAGGGCAGCAACTTATTTTTTTAAGGTAGATGGAAAAAGGGAACTGGACACTTGAGATTAATTATTTGGGATCCAATTTCTGACCAGATAGCATCTGCCTTTGATTGCCCCATGCTACTACTAGATACGTTTCTAATGCCCTAAATAGGTTGTGAAATGTGATGCAGGCTATTTAAGGGCCTATAATGGGCCCTTCTATTATTAGCTACAAGAGAGCATTCAATGTTTGTAATTTTGTAAAAATACACAGCTTGTCAATTTCTAAGACTCTTACATAGATTGAGTCATTACTGATTTCTTTGCCACTGGTACCCAGCTTACAAAAAAAATTACATTCAAAGAATGAATAGAATCAAGACATTTGAGCTCTATTTTATGCTTTCACTCATTGTATAGACATTAATTAATGTTTTAGCCATTTTTATCACCTTTTTTATCTATAAAATAAAGAAATAAATCCTGGGAATGTTATCTTCCTATTTAAATGCAAAGTACATGACTTTATTACTATTCCTTGTATGATTGAGAGATGTCAAACTTTAACATTAAATTTCTGTTTTCAGGAAAAAGTCAAAATGTGCTGAGTACAAAAGTCCTAGGAAATAAAGGTGTCTGCGTAACTATGAGCATTTTTAAAATCGTAGCTCCACATTTAAATATTGAAGGAAGGCATTCCTACAGCATTTTTAAATGACAAGGACAATTGCCTGAAATGTAAATGTTTTAGGTAAGATCTGTCATGTCGGTGGAGAACGTGAACGATGGGAGCTCCTCCAGGAAACAAAGATTTGAGATAGTTGACGGTTTGGAGTCCTGGAATCAAATACTAAACACAGAACCTATTTTGAAAGCTGTAAATCCTGATGGCTGATCTGTTTGTGTTTACTTGCTGCCCCACCATGGTGAGTCTTGCCTTCCCAAGGCTCAGATCTGTGCTATTAAAAGGAATCAGTCATCTTCTATAATGTAAAAGTGAGTCATTGTGATTCTTTAGAAGAAACAAAAAGAGCATACAATCTTTCCTCTTGCTTGCTACAGCTTATTTTTAATAACCTACCACACCGAATTATTTTTAGCATTAGCGTGATGCAGGCTGGTGAGACTTGGAATCAAGCTCCTTACCTTCATCTCGCAGGTACGGCCCGAGCTGCTGCTCTGCCTGTCTCCTCCCTCTCGAACTCACCTGCTTTTCCACGCCCCCCTCATTCACTGCACTCCAGCTATATGGGCTTTTTCTCAGCTCCTCAAACACACGGAATTATTTCCTTCCCCCAGGATCTCTGTACGTGCAGTTCCCCCTCTTCCTAAACACTCTATACCCTGCTTGTAGCATGGCCTCCTGGGCCTTAAAGTCTCACCTTAAGTGTCATCTCCCCAAAGGCCAGACCAGCACATGTTAATCTTGTCCTTATCTCCACTTAGCCTGTTTAAATAATTATCGTATTTTGCAATGACATAACACCTTTCCTGACTTTGAGTGTTGTTGCTCTGTCTTCCTGATAGAGTGTAGCTCCAACGGGCAGGGATTATGATGCCCTTTTGGTCACCATGTGACCCCATTGCTTAAAACAGTGCCAGCTACATGGGAGGAGCCTGACATTTGCTGAGTGAATACATGAATGAATGAATGAATGAATGAGAGTGCAACTGCTGACAAACCCCCTTTTGGAACTTTCTCCCGTTGTTTTCCACCGTCTGGCTCTTCCCTGGACTTGCTCCTATTCTGTGACTGTTCCTTCTCACGCTCATCTTCCCCCACTGCACGCCGCCACCATTGGCAGTCGGTGTCCCCTTGGGTGGTCTTCCCTGACACCCCTTCTCTCCTTTTCATCACACCCCTCCCCTCAGGGCTTCCACTGCCCCGTCTGTGGGAACGACTCTGACATTCTGTGTCTGCAGCTCGGACTTTTCCCTAATAGTGAGTCACTTTGCCAGCTTGTACCCCACATCTCCACCTGGAGGCCTTCCCAGCACCCCAAATTCAGTATATTCCAAAACTGAAATCACATCTGCACTCCCTGTTTTAGTTAGCAGTGCCATTGTCTTCCCAGTCACCCAAAACTCAGAACTCCAGCATCTCCATCTCTCATGGTCTCCAGGCTAACTGGTATCAAACCCAGGATGGTTCTCTCTGCCCCGCACGCCTCACGGGACGACTGTGTGAGGGAAACAGGAGAACATGCCAGGCAATTACCCGGAAAGTTTCGGCCTCTTCGCCCACTAGCCCAGCAACGGCTGACAGTGGGAGGACAGGTCCATAGATGAGATCCTTGGGCAACGAGTTAGGAAAAACTAAGTCTTTTTCATCAAAAAATGACCCATCTTCCATAGGTAGTTTTGCTGTCCTGTAGAAGAAAGAAACATCAGAATAATCATATTAACAGAAACTAGTCATTGGTGTAATTGCTGCTTATTGGTGGGGAGCTGTTATAAAAAACTAATAAAATAGATAAGGGCCAAATATTAGAATTTAAAATATACATCATGAAAAGATAAGTAATGTTCAGCTACAAATGAAATAATAGGGATTTTCAAAAATTTTCAAAGTTAACATCTAACATAAATCTGAATGTTGATGGGGTCAGGCAGCTTATATGTGGCAAGGTGGCAACCGTGGCAAATGGGCAATTGTTTGCCCTCCTACAGGTGGCAGTTCCAGCCAACAGGGCTTGGTGACATGTGAGAATCCTGGTCCCAAAATTTCGAGAGAATGTACATAAACTGGATACTCATGAGAAATCTCCCAAATTTTAGGTGCTGGCAACCAATTCAAATAAAAAACACTGTGGGTCAAAACAAACATATGCGTAGGTTGTATTAAGCTACTTCTGTGACCTGTGGTATCAAGAATTCATTTCAGATTTACCATATATCTACTTTTAACTCATAATATAGCTATCAAGATGAATTTGGAGAATTCATGGCTTTATGCATTACATAAAAAATTCCTTGGTTATGTTTTATGAATGATGGATAATTTTTTTTAAATGGTCATGCAAAATTAGTACCTACTACTCAAAGGTAAAGCTTAAGCATTTTAAAATCCTACTTGCTTTCTGAACTGGAAAATGCACTCACTTCGCCTCCCACTTTGTTTATAGAAAAATCACAACTCAGTATTTAAAAGAGAATACTCAAGGGAAGCAGAAAGAGAGAAGGGTATAATAAATTTCCTGCCTACCCTGGCAAGGACCTGCTGGAGACATCACCCATTTTATGAGAAGTTAGTGTCGCCAACCCTGCCTGGGGACAGAGCTGGCTACCCGGTGGGTCCCTGTGAAAACGAAACTGTGACATGAACGTGCTGAGCAGAGAGAAGTGTTTCTCTTAGGGCTCTCCACTTAGAAAACTTTATTTACCAGGTTTACATTTCTCTGAAGAAGGCAGTTTTCAAAAAATGCAATTTCAAGGATGGCCAACATCTCCTTAGTCTTTGACTTGGGAGAGCATGGTCAGCACAGGGGCGTCTGAGTCTTCAGCCCTTTTCACCCAAGACGCCATTCTCATCCGCTACCGCCAGGGCACTGGTCACAGAATTTCTCTTTGACCCAGTTCTACTTGTTAATAAACGGTAACTCCAATGATCTACTATATGCAACTACCCTTTTATTTATAGATAATGTGGCTGAAGGTATAATCTATATAAAATTTCCATACTTAAAAGTTTCTTATTTTGGGGATTTCAGTTGGGTGTCAAAGTAATAGGAACAAAAAACTGTGTTTGGAAATAGTAAGAGCAAATCAAGTTTTGGAAAATTAAATGATGTTGGATAAAGGAGGACTTGATATTCAAAACAACTTCATTAGAAAATCAAGTCACAGAGAATATTTTTAAAGTGCAAACAACCACTCCAAGATCATTATATATGTAGAAAGATGTTATAACTTAAGATATACACATAAAGTTTAACTCATCAGCCTTCTCTGGTGTGGCTCAGGGAATTGAATGCTGGCCTGCAAATCAAAGTGTCGCCAGTTCAATTCCCAATCTGGGGCACATGCCTGAATTGCAGTCCCAGTCCCCAGAACGGGGTGTGCAAGAGCCAACAAGACATTGATATTTCTCTCCCTCTTTCTCCTTTTTCCCCGCTTAAAAAGAAATAAATAACAACTTAAAAAAAAATAAGTGGGAGAAGGAGAAGGGGGGAGAAGGTACAGAGAATAAGTAGCATAGACAGTAGATAGAAAATACATAGGGGGAGGGTAAGAATAGTAGGGGAAATACAGAATCTAAAGAACTTGAGACATGTGTTCATGAACTAAAGGGGGGGAATGGTGGGAGAGGGGTGTGCAGGGTGGAGGGGAAAGGAGGGGGGAATAGAACAAATGTAATGGCATAATCAATAAAAAATGTTAAAAAAAATAAAGTGTAATTCATCAAATTGATCTGATCACATTATATGAATGCAAACACAGACCACCACTACACTGTATTGTAATGAAGTCTCTCACTTTGCTTTGAGGTAATGCTGCTGGTTACTTCTTTCAATGGTCCACACGGTCAATGAACTTGGACTTGACAAGCACAGCTGGCGCCAGTTCATGGGGTTAAAAGTCATTTGGCTCACATCAACACCAGGTTGTGACTTCTTACACAAAATGACACCCGATTCCCAGTCCCTTAGAGAAAAATTGCATTTGGTAAAAAATAATTAGTTTGAATGTCATATCTTGAGAACATTTATCTAATTATTTGAATATAATTTATATAATTTGAGATAACTTATTATATAATTTATATAATCTATGACAATATCAATTTTTTTACTAACTATGATTACCATTATACTATATTTGTTAAAGAAAGCAAAATAAGCCCTGGCTGGTGTAGCTCAGTGGATTGAGAGCAGGCCTGCGAACCATAGGGTGGCGAACCCCAGTCAGGACACATGCCTGGGCTACGGGCCTGGTCCCCAGTGAGGGCCATGTGAGAGGCAACCACGTATTGATGTTTCTCTCCCTCTCTCCTTCCCTTCCCCTCTCTATAAATATAAAAATAAATAATTTTTTAAAAAAAGAAAGCAAAATAACTATTTTTAAAACATTATTCACATGCTACCAAGACTGTTTTATCTTCTTCATTAAATTTGAATTTAACTCATCCAAATCTAGAAAATGGAATATATCATCACATTTGCCCAAAAATAAGTGTTGGTGTCTAAAACTCTATATTATATATGAGTACTCTCGGGTTCTTGGTATACTCTATATAATGATGCTGATTGATCATTTACTGAGGGTTTTTTTGAAGACTATTTATTTACTTTTAGAGAGAGGGGAAGGGAGAGAGAAAGAGAAGGAGAGAAACATTGATCGGTCGCCTCTCATATGTGCCCCAGCCGGGGACTGAATCTGCAGCCCAGGCTTGTGCCCTGACCAGGAATCGATGGGTGACCTTTCATTTTGTAGGACGACATCTAACCAACTGAGCCACTCCAGTCTGGGCAATCATCCCCTGAGTTTTTAAAATCATAGTACTAGTTCTTCAAAATTGACTAATTCATTTATTCACTTATTTACTCAAGAGAATTACTTGAATGCCTACCATGAGCAAGGTCCCTTGCTAGAGGAAACAAAGGGAAGAATATTAATGCGAGCTATCCCCTCCTACTAGGAGCCAGCTCCATTCAGAGCTGTGACTGGGAAAGGGGAACTAATACGCAGCAAGCTCACTGGTCGTTTGGGTTCCTCCCGCTCTCCCCTCCTTTCATCCTTGTCACAAACATCCTGTCCATCGTGTCAACCATTCTATCGCTGGTTCTTTGGATCTTTTGACCTTCTGCCTCAGGTACCCGGCAAAAACTGCCATGCCTGGATGCATACAACTGAGAGCCCGGGCTGCTGGAGACGTGGGAACAAAGACCGAAGGACTATGTGTGTCAGTGACATTATAAATTCCTGGTTACCGCCCCCCATGGAGCCTCCGTGTAACCTCAGACCCTACTGTTTCCCTGGAGGTGCTCCTCCCCTATTCTCTGAAGTGGTCATTCTTAATACCCTGTTTTCCTGAAGCCTCTCACCTCTCCACCTTACTCTTGGTAAATGGCCCCGTTTTCAATGAAGAAAATAGAGGCCACGAGCTGAGAATTTTGCCAAATTCCTGCTATGAGCCTAACAAGCCATCAGGATCTGTGTCATTCTTCCCTTCTTTCCTGTTACAATGGAGAGCATGTCCCTCCTGCCGAAGGCCAGTTTCACAGCCTGTGCTCTGGATCCTACGAGTCTTGCACTCTTGGGAACATTAGTCTCTCCTCATTCCTCCTCTTCTTCATCTTCAGACTACCCTCTCCTAACTCCTTCCCGTCAACAGTTACATTAACTATTCATCTGTACCATCTTCTTTCTTTTTTTAAGCCCTCCCTCAATCTCATCCATGCATGTCTCTCTCCTGTCCCCTTCAAGCCAAACTTCTTGAGTAAGTTGTTCTTAATTTACTGACTCCTCTTCCTCACTCCTGCTCGTTCCTCATCGCAAGACATCAGCATCCCATCACCAGTGCTTCAGTGACACAGCTGTCTCCCAGACCCACCGATACCCATCTTCCTCCGAAATCCGACAGGCACTTCTCAGGCCATCTAACTCTCCTTCTGCAGGATGTGACTCTGCCTGTCACGACGACCTTCTAGAGTGACCCTTCGACTCTCTGTCACATACCTATTATGGATACCCCATACCGCTCAGGCTCCCTCTGTTTCTAAGGCCTAGGTCACAGGCCTAGGCCACCTGTTCTTACCAGGCTTACTTGGTGGCTGTCCAACTCTGTACACATAACTTCCCGTGGGTACATCCACCTGTGCCTCACCTCATGTCTGCTCCACAGGCCTAGGGGCTTCCCTAAGCCCCCGGGCATGACATGCAGGAGGTCACGATCAACCAAAAAGTGTGGTGAAGTTAATACCTTGTGCAGTGGACCTCTGACTGATGGGATAATAGGAGCTGGTGAGCAAACAACATCTCATCTCTTCCTCTCCCCTTCCCAGCCCACTGCTCATACAGCCTCTCAACAGACTACCTGGGAGACAGAGCATTGTACTTGGTACCCAGCGGTGGCCAGCAAAGCAATGCACACTTACAAGGGCCCTCCGCCTTCCCTGCCTTCCTCCCTTTTTCCTGCAGGCCTCTTTCCTGAGATTACACTCCCTGCTGAAGTGGCTGGTGAGTTTCTGACATGGCTCTGATTTCTGCGGAACCATCCTTCCTCCTGGGTCTGCTCCCTCTGGGTCTCCAATGAGGTTCCTCTTTCTCTTTAAGTCCTTTTTTTATTGGTGTTGCTCTAAGTTCTGTTCAAAGCTCCTCTTTAGGTATTCTTACTCATTTAGCACTTTGACTACTATTCTGATTTAACAACTCCCAAACATTTATTTCCAGCCCTCTACCCTGAGCTCCTGTCCCAGGTATCTGGCAGTGGCATGTTGTGTCCCTCAATATCTAGTCTCCGCATCTCCCTCCGAGTAACAGAACCCCTGGTTTTTAGCCAGCCACACAGTCACCCACCATGAGGACATTCCCCAGCCTCCCTTGCAGCTCAACATTGCTCGTGACTAAGCTGGCCAATGGGATCAAAGTGTCAGTGATGTGTGCAACTTCTAGGCTATGCATTCCAACAAACGTTTGTGCTTTTCCCTAAACTTTCACCTTTTCACTGGCTCTCAAAAATACACAGGTGGTGCCCCCACTTCAGACTAGAGATGAGGGCAACACCCTAGGAATGGAAGAGCAAGATAGTGCCAGGCTGGCCCCGTACTCTGGGGAGCCACCATAACAGCCTTGAGCTCTCGCACCCAGACTACTGCAGGTGAGAGGCAGTCACTTGTGTCTTAATTAAGCCACTTTTCAAGGGTAACCTGGGCTTCTGTGACAGCACCTGAACTTAAATCCTAACTGATATATCAAGTGCCAACTAAACATGTCCATTTATCTCAGGCACCCTGAACTCAGCTTCTCTCAACTCATCTCCCCTCCTCCTATGTATGACCTTGACATCTTTCTGAGTAACACTGTAAGATCCCCGAGTTGACCAGGTCACAACTCTGGGTAGAACTCTGTCTGGACTGTCACACTCTCTCAGCAACATGTCCGATATTCAGCCAGCCACCAAGTCCCATGGAATTGCCTTCTAAACCCCTCCCACATATCTCCACTTCCCTCCGTCCCTGCTCCCCCCACCCTGGTCCACACTGCAATCATCTCACTCAGATCGCCACAGCTGATTGACGCTTGTCTTATTTCCCTCCAATATACCTTCCATGTTACGGCTGGAAGGAGTCTTCCTACGTGCAGATCTGATCATGTTACATCTCTGCTTAAAACTCTTTCATAAAATCCTCCCACTGATTTTAGGGTAAAAGATGTGTCTGCCCACTAGCGTGGCTTATGTAACACAGAGGGTTAGTAACCTTCCCAGGATGCCTGGGACAAACCCGGTTTAGGCCTGTTGTTCTATATTAATTATTAATAACATCCCCTTTCACTCTTGCAAGTGTCCTGATTTAGATCATAAACTCTATGGTCACTTATTTACAAGGCTACTCATGAGCTGCCCTCAGAAGACTGTCCCTCCAGGCTTGTCTCCTATGGCTAATATCTTTTCCTCATCATTATGTTCTCTTAATAACTTAATTATATCCTTACACCTGCCGTATTTTGCTCTGGCCTCATGATCTTTGCACGTGCCATTCCTCTGCTTGGAATGTCCTTTCTCTCCTCACAAGGCTGTCCCCCACTCATCCTTTAAATATTGCTCTGGGTTGAACTGTGTCCCCCAAAATTCATGTGTTGGTATCCTAACCCTCAGGTTCTTGGGATATGACCTTATTTGGCAATAGGATCTTTACTACAGTTAAATGGGGTCATTTAGTGTGGGCCTACTCCAATGAGTAGAATTCTCGTAAAAAGGGGAAACTTGGAGACAGATACATGTACAAGGAGAATACTTGAACGTGAAGAAAGTTATGCACAAGCCAAGGGGAGAAGCCTGGAACAGATTCTCTCTCATAGCCCTCAGGAGGAACCGATGCTGCTGACCCCCTGATCCCAGACTTCTAGCCTCCAGAACTACTACGAGACAATGAATTTCTGCTATTTAAGCCTCTCAGTTTGTGGTACTTGGTTAATGGCAGTCCTGGCAAATAAACACATCCATCAACAAGTGAGTGGATAAACAAACTGGGATATACCCACACCATAGAATAGAAAGGAATGAACTACTGATACACATAGCGTAAGAGAGTTGCAAAATGAGATAATCTAAAATAATCATGTTGCATGAAAGATGCCACACCAAAAAGGGAGCGCATATAATGTATGACTTCCTGTTTATGAAATTCTAGAAAACACTAATTAAGAGTAACAGAAAGCACGTCAGTGGTGAACTGGGGGGTAGAGGACAGGACAGCAACGGGGTGAGGGCACATGTGGCAGCGGCCAATAAGTCAGGGTCCGAATGGCACATGGACACTCCTGGGGGTGACGGACACATTTATTATCTTGATTGTGGTGATGGTTTCATGGGTTTATTCATAAGTTAAAACATCAAATTGTATGTAGGTGTATGCAGTGTATTTTATGCCAACTATACTTTAATAGAACTTTTTTTTTTAATTAAAAAAAGAAACTGCATAAACTAAATGTGGCTCACTGAACCTATATATTACATTTTTATACAAGAGATACTAGTGTGTAAAAAGCATCCTTGGTCATTTCTGGAACATTCTGCACTTCCCCTTACTAACACTCCCCTGAAGGAGTTTATATCAAGGATGGAAGAGTAAGCACAGCTCTGAGGCTGGCCATGGCCGACCCAGCAAGGACCACAGATAGGTCTCATCCAAAGCTATTCACTGTGCTACCGGCAAACATGTCATAATGCTCCCTCTCTGAGCATGTGACTGACTGTTCTACTGTCTCTAAAAACTATTACTTCAAACTGAACTCTAATGTAGAGACCATCTTAATTTCAACATTAGTGGGGAATATGCAAACAACTCAAAGGTACTATTTACTTTTGTGTTAAAATTTGTAAATTAATTTTGTTAATTTTTGTGTAAAAATTAACAAGATGAAAGTTTATGCATTTATAAATGTATCCTTTACCTGACAAAGGAACTATTATAACACACAAATGAAAGAGGAATATGGTAATTAATTTAGCTCTCATAGAGCTTTTCCCCTACCAAATTTTATGCCTAAAAGTAGTAATTAATATTATATGTTATGATTTGGACTTTTACTACTTCCATTTTTCCTTGTTTCAGATTTTTTCATGTATCTGTCTTGCAACAAAATTCAGAAGGACAAATAACCTAACTTTCAGGGAATTTCGTAAATTCCTCTAACAAGTTAAATGAAAGGAATTCTGTAGGATGCTGGAACTTACCAGAGAGCCAATTCAAATTCTGGGAGAGAAGAGTAGCTAGCCAGGTAGTTGCCACAATAACTGAACGCTAGTAAAGTATAGTCCAGAAGAACATTGCCTAAAATATAAAATTCATTGTAAGGGTTTCATTATCATATTCTGGGATTAACTATAATCTATAATTTATTTTCCTTTTCTAGTAAATTTCATATAATTAAAAAACATTTAACTCTTGGAGTAAGGGTCTCCTGGCTGATTTCTAACCCAATAAACAGAAAGCTAACAGTAAAGATCCATTTTTTAAAGATATTAGAGTGAATTAAGACCGTTGGCTCACTGCCCCTAGACTTCAGTGCCCAACTGAGCAATGCCCACACTGCAGCAAGCACATCCCAGTGTGATTTGAAGTGACCCAAGAATCATAAAATATTCCATAAATATATGAAATACTGTAACTAAAAACATTATTCAAACAACTTTATATACCTTGGGGAGGTGAAATAGTTCTAGCTTACTTCTGTAAGCTCAGGACTACCCAGGTGACAACTCTGGGTAGAACTCTGTCTGGACTGTCACACTCTCTCAGCGCCATGTCCAATATTCAGCCAGCCACCAAGTCCCATGGAATTGCCTTCTAAACCCCTCCCACGTATCTCTACTTCCCTCCGTCCCTGCTCCCCCCACCCTGCAGTCATCTCACTCAGATTGCCACAGCTGATTGACATTTGTCTTATTTCCCTCCAATATACCAGCTTGCTTCTGTGTCTCCATACCTTAGGTCATATCTGGCCCTTAGCTTAATATCATCTAGTTCTTCAAACTACTATAGAAATTTATATTCTCACTTGCATCTATAGTTGAAGAGATGAAAATTGACTTTAAAAGTCTTAGCAACGATGTGTTAAGAATGTACACCCTCAGGATGCTAAAACAAGCGTCTGCTTCTGCCTTTGTATACAAGGCTCTGGTCTTCCTCCTCTATCGGCTGTGCTTCAGCGCGGCTCCGTCCGTGAAAGCTTTACCTTTTCCTGTGCCTGCCTTTTTTCATTTGGTACATTCATGTCTCGATGGCTACTTCTGTGTATTTTTAATGGTTCTGCTGTTTTTCACCTGTCTCACTTCAATTGACCATAACATAATGCTAAACTCTGTCATTTATTGAATTTATTTAGCCTGCTCTAATTAACAAAGAAAACAGCTTATATATTTTTTAACATTCAATATATAAAAATAAAAAAGCTTATATTAAAAAAATTCAAACATACAAAAATAAAAGTAAATTTTCTGTGGGAAAGAGGCCTTACTAGACTTTCTATCCTTGCTATATAGACATTTCCTAAACTGAAGCTTATTAATTTTATATTTCCTTTACACTTATTGGAAATTTTAAAAAATGCATTTAAAAAATTAAATACTTTTGAGTTTTATTGTTGTTCAAGTACAGTTTTCTGCCTCCCCCCACCCCTCTCCATGATTTTTGAAAAAAATGCCTAAAAGGAAAAATATATCCTTAGTAATTCTATTACCAAATTTGGTATGTTCCTTTCTGGTATTTCCTTCTGTGTTTACTTATAAAAATAGACATTTTTTTCTTTAAATGTAACTTTGCTTTTTATAGCTGCAATAAACATGGTTTAAGTGTTATACATAATACTTTATTTTTATAAGGAAACTTAAATTATACATAATGTTACTCTGGTTGGTTTGTTGTTTACCTTATACTGAGCATTTTATAATTAATAACGTGAACTTTAATGTACACATAATATCTCTTTATGGAATATTTTAACTTATTTCACTACATTCATGTCATCTGAGATGTAAGTTATCTCCAGTCCTTTGCTATGAGTGCTTTGCACCATATTTGACAAACCTTTGACCACATTTCTGATTATTTTCTTAAAAGTGAATTCTAGTTCCTGAAGTGGGTTTAACTGAGTCAGATTAATATTTACCTCCCAAACAGATTGTTATCAATTTATATTCCCAACTTCAGCAAAAGAGTGCTACTAATTTCACTGCACTCTGCCTAACAGTTATCAGGTTTAAAAAAAAATGTGCCCTGGTTGGAGTGGCTCAGTGGATTGAGTGCCAGCCTGTGAACCAAAGTATTGAGTGCCAATCCCTTTAGTTTAGCCTGTAAACTAAAGGGTTGCTGGTTCAATTCCCAGTCAGGGCACATGCCTGACTTGTGGGCCATGTCCCCATTAGGGGGCACAAGAGAGGCAATCACACATATAGATGTTTCCCCTCTTTCTCCCTCCCTTCCCCTCTCTAAAAATAAGTAAATAAAATCTTTAAGAAAATAAATTGTGACCTTGATAAGCAAAAAAATCTCATCTTAATTTAAATGACATTTTAAAAAATGAATGAGATGAAACATTTCTTGATGTTTTTGATCCTTTGTAGTTCATGGTAAGGGCAAGTTCCTTTTCCATTTGTTCTAATGGGATATTTATCTTTTTTTCTTATTGTTTCCTAATGCCCTGAAAATATTTGATCATATTTGTTCCAAATATTTTCCTCAGTTTATTATTCATCTTTTGATTTTCCATGGTAATTTTGGTATTCCTAAACTTAAAATTTGTATATAATCAAGTATGTCAATCTTTCTGTTTTTAATTTTTCCTTTGTGAAAAGTTTTTCCTCATCTTGAAATCATTTTAATTTTCTACCATATTTTCCTCTACTTTTTAATGGGTTTGTTGTTTATATTGAACTCTCTTAATTTCATCTGATACTTATTTTAATGTACAGTATAACATAAGTACCTAACTTGACACTTCTGTTCAAATAGTTCCTTAACACCATTGTTGGACAGCCCATATTATTGTGTGTGTGGGGGGGGAGTGTCTTCCACCATATACTTAGCTTTATATATTCTATAATCTGTCCCCAGATTTCAACCATTTCATTCATCTGGTGTTCTCTGCACCAATACCACACCCTTAATTACTGGAGCACCATGATAAAGGAGCCCTCTGCTTTGCCATCATTCTCTTTCAATTTCCATTCTCTCTGATGTACTTTGGAATCATTTCATTGAAGTACTCCTGCCTTTCTAAAAGAGATGATAAACCTATGAATTACTTTCTATGAAAAATATAAAAAATATATTTATCATAACCAGACTTTCCATCTAGGATTGTCTCTGTATCTTTTAATATATTAAATCAGTGACTTTTGTAGTTTTTTTCACTGAGGTCAATCACATTTTTTCTTTGGATTTTTCCTAAGCATCCAAATCTTCTAATTGCATGGGTATTTATTTTGAAATCAGCATCTTACTGAGCCCTCTTTTACTGGTCCTAGTAGACTACTGCATTACCTACTATCTCCTTTCCCATAGCTATAATTTTTCTGTTTCCTATTTTGTTGCATTGACTAGAACTTCTAGGTGATATTAACTAATAACAGCAACAACTGGTATCTTTGATGACTTACTCCTAATTTTATTGTGAATACCTTTGGAGTTTTCTTAATTCATATGAATGATGGCTATTGGTTTGAATTAATTTTTAATTTCGTAGACAGGCTAGAACCAAATCACCATGCTGGGGAAAACTGAAGATGAAAGGTAGTTACAGTTCACATAACAGTTCCCAGTGTATGAGTGGGTTATGTTTTAAAAGTTGTTTTAATCTGTGAGAACACAAATTTCCCCTCAAATAAAATGTCAAATTACAGTGAAGTTCCCTGGCTTGACCCAAACATGGACTTGACCCAAAAGGCTATTGAACTAAGACCAGGCTTCATCTCTCCTGAGATTTCTGTCCATGGAGTGTTAAACGAGGGACTCATTACATGGGCTCCAAAAGATGTGCAGCAGCCTGGTGCGGGTCAGCTGGGTCTAAGAATCTGAGTCAGTAATCATTTAAATGGTAGACAACATTGATTGACATACATGCGAAATATGTCCTATATAATGACACATCATTTATAACATATAATCTCACTTATCACCACAGCCTTAACAGGATATATTACCATTATCTCCATTTCACAGAAAAGGAAATTGAGGCTCAGAGACTTATCTTTAGAAGTTATACTACATCAATTCACCTGGATTTTCAATAAGCTATCAGGAAAGGAAAAGAAGCCCTAGCTGGTGTAGCTCAGTGGATTGAGTGCTGGCCTGTGAACTAAAGGATTGCTGGTTCAATTCCTAGTCAGGGCACATGCCTGGTTTGCAGGTCAGGTCCCCAGTAGGGAGAGCGTGATAGGCAACAATACACTGATGTTTCTTTCCCTCTCTCCCTCCCTTCCCTTCTGTCTAAAAATAAATTAAATCTTTTTAAAAATTGTTCTGAAAAAGGTTTTTTTCAAACTGGATTTAGTGCTGTAAGTGAGTCTTCTAGCTCATGTGCACATGAATCACCTGGGGAATACTGTTAAACTGCAGATTCTAATTAAGTTAAGTGCGGGTTGGGAGCAGAGTTTCTGTATTTATGACAATACCTTAGGTAATGACCATGTTGAAGGTAAGCAGACCAAACTAGGAGTAGCAAGGCTCTAGCCCAATTAATTAAAAGTCCTCTGTGATCAACCTGATTCCTTCTTTTAAAATGTGTATTATAAAAAAAAGGAAAGAAAACCTTCCAAAAATGCTTCATTTATAAGAACTAGATTTAGTTACACCTTATAACAAAATCCTTCAATTATGGCAGAGGAAGGGTCTTGCAGGATACCTTTTAATTTGGTCCTCTTGGTCAATCCTGGAAAGTTGTATATGTAGATGAGAGGTTTTAGTTTCCGGTCAGAAAAAGCCACAACTTCATAAGGAACGTTAGTTGCCACGACGCCCACAATTCCATTCATACACTGGAGTACAGTTTTTTTCTTGGTTGCAATATTAATAAATATTATGAAATTGCCACTAGGGTAACAAATGGTGCTGTCGTTGACAAAATGAACATCCTGCTTAGGGAATCCTTGCACCCATCTTTAGGGAAAAGATAGATCACCATCAATACAATACATTCCAAATACTTTCTTCTATTTGAAAAAGCAAACAAAAGGCCATCAAAATCCTTGATACACTTCTATTCTATTTTCACCCACTTTCTGCCCCAAACAGAGACAAAAAGAACACTTGTGCCGGCTGAGAGGCCAGGTTAAATGTAAAGAGGTCTACATTTTAGGTCTACAGAAAATTAAATGTAGACCTAAAATTCCACAAGTCTCAAGAGCCTTCTTTAGAAAACTTTTTCAGTGAAGCAAATCCTCTGACTAAGCCTGAGAAAGTCTCAGAAGGATTTTTGGAGTCTTGTATACTTGAAAAAAGAAACAGTGAAAACAACAGAGAGAAAAAAGCTTGATCCTAATAGAAAACAGGGTGTATCTTGGGCCATTGTTTTATGATTACCTTTGATTTAAAAAACAAACTTTATAAAGAAAAAACAACTTTGAATAGGACATCCTGCTTTGTGGTTGTAAGCAAAGTAGGAAATGTTCTTCTTTAGAAATGTGTAGCCATATTTAGATCTAAAAATAAAGATAAATGTAGAAAATAAAAGAAATTAAGCCAACATGAGTGAAAGGTTACAACAGAAAAGAAACATTTTTAAGTACGAAGGGCTGGTGAGTATATCCTAGAAGTAAGGGGAGTCTGAGATGAGGGGAAATTCTAGTTTTATTTAAATATTAAGGATATGGTTAAAGATAGATGGTGAAGGTAAGAGAAGGACACTGGGTTGGTCAGAAATTTCAAGAGATTGGAGAGAAGAGGCAGGACCAGGGGAGTATGCTGTGTGGAACAGACTCCAGGTAACAGACATTCTGCAGTGTGGAAGGAAAGAAATACCACTTTCATCTGTGCAGCAGTTTATGCTTTTCAAAGGCCACTATAAATACAAATAAATCCAAAATTAGTGATTAGGAATTAGAAGGAAGAGAAGGATGGCCCTAAGTTTGGAGGAACATCACCAAAGACTACAGGTATGGAAGGGGGGCTCTCATTGGAAAGGAGGGGGTGGGGTTACTTATGAAAAGTCGGGTTAAGCATCATTGAAGGTAACACTGGGCTAGGAAAAGGAGGCAGAAATGGAAAGTCCAGGAGAGGGATGCTGGGCAAAAGAGCAAGGGGAGGGGAAAATGAAAGGGGGCGGGGCAGGGAAAGAGATGGAGATGGGTCATTAAATAATCGTTTGACGAGGTCGAAGTTTCGGGGTCCACAGAGTGGGAGGCAGAATAGCGTAGGAAAGCGATCAAAATCAGAGGAAGAGTTTCCAGGAGACCGAAGTCAGTCGCCGGGTGGCGATGCCGCACCTCACGGACAAGGACGCAGTGTTGGCGACGAGGGCGTAGGTGCTGTCGTCTACTTCCCGGCCTTGAGCCATGGCCCGTGTATCTCAAAACCGACCCCGGGCAGCAATCGCTAGACCCGGGTTCCCTTTCGCAGCGGTTACTCCGAACCCCCAGGTGCCCGTCCGGTGCAGCTCTCCACTGTTTGCGTGGTAGTCCGGAGACTGTAATCCCTGCGCCCATAGGCTCTGATCCTCTAGCCTCCTGCCTCTAGAGGCGAGCGGATTGGTGGAAGCCCTGAAGCGTATCAGCCAATGGGTGAGCGACTAGGGAAGCGAAGGGCGGGTCCCTCGGAATAGGTGCTGGAATGGCCCTACTCTGCACGTGGCAAATAATTACAATATTAATAAATGTCAATAGCTGAAACTAATATTGAGTGCTGGCCGAGCCAGACGGTGCTACAAGCTCCATACAGGCATTGTTTTATTTAATCTTCAAACTCCCCATCGACCCCATTTTACAGATAAGGAAAGTAGGGATAAGAAAAGTAACTTGCCTAAGACTACACAATTTAGTAGGATTTGAAGCAAATTCTAATCTAAATCTACAGTTCCAAGACTTTCATTGTTATATTACACTTTCACACATACCCTCTGCTACTTAAAGGAGGCAGATAGCTTCTGAAAATAGCCTGATCGAAGGGTCAGCAGCTTGTCCTTGCTTCCTCCCTTCCCCTTCAGACCCTTCCTAGCCCTCTCTTAAATGCTTTGCCTTCCCTTCCCTCCAGTCCTCCGCTTTTCCATGCCCTCTCCTTCCCTTATTTAAGTCCCTCCTTCCTGTCTTGCCACCCTCTCTCCTTCATTTCATTCACAAATATTTACAGAGTATCTCCCTTGCATAGTGGCACTCATTTGGAACAAAATACTCAGCAAAACAGGTAAAATTCCTTCATTCTTGGAACTTAGAGACTGGTGGGTGTGCGGGGTGGGTGGTGTATACAGCCACTTCATCACACAAATGTAAAATTATAGTTTGAATTAAGAATTAAAGGAACATGATACAGGAGAGCTTACGTTGGGGTCCTCACCTAGTTGGATGGGGGATGTCAGAGATGGTTTCTGGGTGAGCCCGTGCTGTTTTCACTGAGAGTCAAAGGATGAGGAGTGATTGCTGGGAGGTGTGTGTGGGGGGGCATAGTGCAGTTTTTGGAAAGGTATTAAAGCAGGACAACAGATTGGATGAACTGGGAAGGGTAGTGTGATTGGAACAGAGGGAGATGAGTAGAAAATACTGAAGGAATGGCTGGAGAAGAAGCCAAGGGCTAGGTAAAGATCAAGTTGAGAATTCTGGTCTTTATCCTAAGAGCCATGGAAAGGCATTACATGGTTTTGATCAAGAAAATTATGATCAAATTTGTTTATAAAAGAGTATTCTGGCTACAGAAGCATTATCAATTAGGACATTAGGAAGAATAGAAATAAGATCTAATAGGAGTCAGTTTCATGGTCCTAACAAGGTGACCCAGAGCACTACTGGCATTTTGGGCTACACAGAGGTGTAACACACAAACCTCACGTTCTTCAGACACTAGGCAGTCTTTCATTTCAGGGATGTGGGGCAAAAGTGGAAAAGCGTTTCTCTTAGGCGGGAAAGGGGATTAGTCGCAGCCATAGGTCTTTAGGGTTGCAGCGGTGCTGGGGGGAATGTTGAGCTCCATACCCATGTGACAGAGGGGCAGGCATGAGGTGTGAGGCGCATAGAAAGGGCACAAACTGCCGTGTCTGTAGGTGGCACTGTGTCACATGTCTGACAAATTATGCACTAGTGAAAGAATAAATAATGTAGAAGGAAAACTTTGTAGGCACTGTTGAAAAGGGGAAACAGTGGAGTTAATAAACAGTTTGATAAAATTACTTTACTATGTATAGGGTAAGTGGAGGCAGTCTGGCTTCCTCATCCAGGTGTCTGGGTAGCTAAGGGAAGCAGTGTTCCCACAGCCTAGGAGGCCCCTGATAACCAGTGTTCTCATAACCTTGAGACTGGGTCTGATAAACTGTTCCCATAACATGAAGTGAGCTCACATGTGCAGAATTATGTTATGCTATATAATTTCTGGCATCTTGCTGGCTTTGTTCCCCTCTCATACTTAAACAGGTAGGAACTCCCTGCTGGGGGTGGTGATGATGAGAGACACACAAGGGGACAGGTGCCACAACATGAAACATGCAAATAGACACGCAGCTCGCAGCATTCGTGGCTCACCCACCCGTGAGTAAAGGCATGCCAGACATCCCAACGGCTCCATGAATATTGTTGCATCTGCATGAATACCATGAACCTGCCTGGCCTTAAACGGTGGCAACACACCCACTCTGCCTACTCCTTGATATTTCTTGCTTCCAGAACTGTGACAATAGATTTCTGTTGTTTAAGCCACTCAGTTTGTGGTACTTAGTTGCCCCGGCAAATTCATAAATACACGGATAGGGTAAGACTCAAACCCAGGCAGGAAGGCTCTGAGACAGGTGTGCTTATCATGTACTTTTTGTCTCTCCTATAATAGAGCTAATCAAAAGAAAAACAGACCAGCCCCTCTTTCCGTCTTGCAAATAAATGACACAACAGCCATCACGAGCTCTCAAATCTAGGCAGACTAGAAAAACATTGACTACCCTTTCCCCACAGCTGTACCTTGTGCCCTGGAATCCCTTTTTCCTAACCCCTAATTTAAAGTGGGGCTGGTTGAGCAGTGCTCAACCCAGATATTTTTGACAGACATATGGTATTACAGAACAGGGGGGCCAAGGTTCATTACGTCTGCTGCCCTATTGGAAAGATGTCTGTCAATGCCAGAGATTTGTGAAAAGGAAAGGAAATGTTTATTTAATGTTATACAGACTTAAAGTAGTGACCTAACATCTTCATTTAAAATATCAAATTCCTTTAAGATACCCATAGACACACACAGTACTTCCTTATCCCCCTGCCCTAATTTGAGGTACCTAACTCAGGAAAAGAAGCAAACATCTGTGTTTCAAGCCGCTGGCACTATCAGCTGTGTTGCCATCCAGGCAGGATCTCTAACTAATTTAAAGCCATGTGGCACCTTCTCATGCTCTACTGACAAGAGTTCTTTGTATTCATTTTCTTCCAGGCAAAGTCTCTCCTGCTTCCCAGGCCACACGGCCAAAGGGAGCACCCCAAAGCCACGTGGTCCTCTTCTACCAAAGCTGCGGGGGTCTGTACTCTGGCCCAAACCATGTGGATCTCTCTGCAAAGCTGTGGAGAGGGTCAGGTCACCACACTGACAAAGCCAAGTGGTACTCACTCCAATGGCTGCCATGTCTGGGGTTTAAATCCCCGTGCCGATCTTCCTCTGTTCCTCCATTTCTGACTCATCCTACAATCAGTTACACCTGCCACTATTTCTGTATATTACAATTTTACTGGGCTGCCATCATGAGTCTCGGCAGATATGGCCCCGTGTCATGGAACCAATCTTCTCCAAGCTCCCACACAGGTGCTGTACTTGGGGGACCTGCCCCCAGGTACATCTTGGGGGGAAGTGACTTCATTCCCCTGGCTCCAAGCCTGGCCACAGCCACTTAACATATCCAAGTGACCCGCCAAAGGCTATAGATATGTTAAATGACCATGCCATGATTTAGCTGCAAGGCTGTGGCTGTACAAAACAGCCCTGCATGTTCCTGCTCCATGTGTCCCTTCCCCCAACTCACACCTGTGAGGAAACGGGTGAGGACATCTTATATGTCTCTCCAATATTTCCTAGACTCCTCGAGTTCTGGACCCCATTCCAAATCCCTTTTAGGGGCCCCCCTCTTGGCTGCACCCTCTAACAATGGGACTAAATTTACTCTGCCTGCCTGCATGACTCTGAGACTTATTAGAGCTTCAAAATCCACATGTTTAATAAGTTGTTGAAAGCAGCACCATCTGAGGTTAGTAATACCCAGATTTGGGCCATTTTCTTTGGATTAAAATTAAAATGATGTGTCCTATGGGAACAGTAGGAACAGTGGCCCTCCCAGTAGTCATATTAAGCTAGTGATATGGGCATCTTTGAAAAAACCTCTGTTTAACCTTTATTTGCCCAGGCCCCAGGCGTCCTAGACAGAATGATGGGGCCGTCTGGGAGGGCGGGTGGCCAGTTAGTGAGGACAGGAACTGGCACCCCCGCTGATAGAACAATTATCACATTCTGTTTCTGTATCCCACATTTGTCACATAGACAGAAAGACCCCCTAATCTATATATTCCCCAAAAATCCTTTGTTCGGGGCTCAGAATTTGGAAATGACTCTTCTGGGCCCGTGCACGTTAAACAATAAACCTCGTACTCCAGAATCCCTCCGTGTCTGGTTGCTTCGTTTTCTTATAACACTAGTACTGACAGGAGGAAAAGGCTGTCCACGTGACTGGGCGACCTGTCACTACCATGGACAGGAACCTTTGGAGAGCATGTTCTGGAACCGTGAGCGAAACCTGGGCCCAGGCCACAGGTCTTGAAGTTGCGGAAACCTTGGAGCAGAGGGGGAACTATGAGCTGGTTCCTGCCACGTGAGGGAGGCCGGAGTGGGTTTCCCAGCAGGGTCAGGGAATATGGGAGGTCAGGGTCAGCGTGGACCTGCGTAGAGGGCAGACCAGAAACCATCATCATCAGGGGTTAGGAAATGGCTCCGGTTTTATTTTGTTTGTGTGTGTGCGCGCGCATCTGGACGTGGATGCATCTCATGGCCCGCAGGATACCTGTTGGTGCAACTGCCAGCTTCAGGGTTTTATGCACTGTCCCCACAAAACCAGGAAGACCAGCCTTGGGTCTGGGCGCAACGGAGGGAAGTGGGGGCGACGATTTCCCCCGAAGCGCTAGGGCTACCATGGGGGCGCATTCCTTCTTGCAGAGGGTGGGAAATAAAGCCTGGCTTGGCGTTCGGGGTCCCTCCAGGGTCGCGCTGGGCGCGAGCTCGCTCTAAGTGGTCAAAGCCGCACAGGGTCCTGGAAACACAGCGCAGGCGGGGCTGGCAACCGCTCCCAGTTCGCCCTTCTGAGAGGAGAGAGGGAGGGGCCACTACTTCCTGAAAACCTTGAAAACCCAGTGTGCGAGCTAGGCCGACGCAGCGCCGAGATGTCTGGAGGGTCAGTGAAGAGCCTGGGGAAGGGTAAGGCCAGCCCTCCGCGAGAGGTGGGGGTGATCTCGGCGACCCCTAGCCGCAGGTCGAGTTGGGGCTGCTTTGGAGCTGAGCCTCTGTGCAGGGGCTTCCTCCGGTGGGGAACCGGGAACGGGCTGGGGGGGCAGTGCCCCAGGCCTCTCCGCGTCCGGTCCCCGGGGCCGCGGAGAGTCCTCTCCAGTCCCCCTCCGGTCCCTGCGGTCCGGAGGCTGGGGATCCTGGCCTCTCTCGGGACTGTAACCGCCTCCGCTTCTCCTCCGCAGGAAGCGCTCCCCCAGGGCCTGTCCCGGAGGGCCTGATTCGCGTCTACAGCATGAGGTTCTGCCCGTTCGCCCAGAGGACGCGCCTAGTCCTAGAAGCCAAGGGAATCAAGTAAGAACCCAGGCCCGGGGCAGCTCCCCGCGCCAGCCGGGAATGAGCTGCCTCGGGCGGCGAAGGGTGGGAATCTCGAATAGGGCCCCAGGAGCTTCCTTTGCTGCAAAACAAATGACTATTCTCAGCCTTTTGGGGAAGACGTAGCCTCTCCCTGAGGAGGGAGGCGAAGGGAAACGCCATAGACCCCAGAAGTCTAGGACACTCCATTTAGATTAACCTAACCATTTTATGGATTAGAAGAATGGGCTCCAATTAAGGTAATGACTGGCAGCAGCCCTTTGAGCTCTTGTGGACCTCTAATTCCTGGTCCACTGCCCTTTCCGATTCACCTGACTCCCGTCCGGTTTATCTGACATACTGTTTGCTGTTATTCTGAGTATATCATTTCTTATCAAAGTCAATAATTAACCCAGTACAGAATGTATACTTTGACTCTCCTGGCAATGTGTGCTGTTAACTATACTGTACACACCCTACAGGTTGGGTTGTTGGTTGAGTCAAAGGGTCTATGCTTAAAAATTCAGTCCTCTGTGGAGCCTCATCGAGAGTTGCATGGTTATTAACATGGGTTAGCCATAGGAATCATGCAGTAGTCGCTTGGTTTTTCTCTGCAGACGTCAAATAACCATTGGAACTGCCCCCTTTCCAATGACTTTTGGAATAGGTGAAACAGACATTAGATACCTGTGGGGTGGAAGTTTAAAATGTAGCCCCCATTCTAAGAAATTTTTCATCTATGTGCTTAGGGTTTATAAATGTATTTTAGTCTTCTAGGGAGAGAATTAGGCAGGCAATTCCTGCCTAAAAGTCATATAAGATGTATTCTAAAGGAAAAAAATTATTTACGGATTAGCCCTCACCTCATCACTAAGATTGGCATCTTATTTGGATGAATTGATCTGAATATATAGCAAAATACTCAACATTTAGTAACATTTTCCCAAAACACTATGTTATCCAAATACTATAATATTTGCTATATTAGTCAGAATTCTTTTATTGCAAGTAAGAGAACTGTAATTCAAACTGAAAAAAGATATGTCTTGTGCTCATGTAATTGACAAGTACATGAACAAGATGCAGCTGAATTCAGGGCACAAAGACTGGATTATGTGCCCCTCTGCAACTCTGGTTTGAAAACGACTCTCCCTTACTTACCGGGAGTTTTCCAAAGAAGAGTTAAAATGATTCTTTACCTTATTACTGTGTGTGTTGGGGGTGAAGAGTGGTGACAGTTGCCAGGTAATGAAACAGCAGGGGTGTATTAAAAGTCATGGATCTGTTGCCAGGAGACTTTCATCAGGTTTTTTTTTTTTGCCACACCCTGTACCACTACATGTTGGGAACCGCCCTGCCTGGTTTCAGGAGCTGTAACCCCCCCATGGCTAAGGCTGAGTGAGCGACCTTTGGACCATAAGCCACTAAGGAGACAAAGCTCATCTCCCGGGCAGGAGCATTGCTTCTGCTCCTTTTTTCATAACTGGCCTTCAGTGCTTGGTCGGTTAGCCAATGATGGGTGAAATTCCTCATGGGAGGACTGACCTAAGACAGGCATGATCAGGTAGAGGTCCCAGGGAAGGACTTGAGGGGCTATGGAGAAGGGGGGTGATGGACCCTTGCCCCTTGGCTTTGACGAAGCCTGAGTCAGTCTGTCTTCGAGAAGTCTCTGAGAAGTCCTTGGCTATCTGCCTCCCCTGCCTGACTTAAGCCTGAAACAAGGACAGAGGGTGGTGCAGCCCTGTGCTGGAAAGGGCGGGCTCCCTGGGTGATCAGGCCTAATAAAGGATATGTAAAATCCTGTGAAGTCTGCTTTGCTAAAAATGCTCTTAGTTAAATGATAAAGGCCCAAACAGGAAATGAGTTTGTTTTCCAAAGTTTTGTAGCCTTTTAGCTGGTAGACCCTGACTCAGAAGAAGCCCTAATAGTTCTTTGTATGCTATCTACTATTTGGTCCTTACTGCCTGACAATGATTAATAAGTTGTACCTGAACTCCTGAGCAAAAAAACCCGATAAAAGCCTGTCTAGGCAAGGGTCGAGGCACTCTCCCCTTGAGAGGGTGGCCAGACTGTTCTGAGGCGCTTCCCCCTTGAGGAAGTAGCCGTGCCATCCCTTTTCCTCCAGAGGACTTGGTAGTCCGTGTGAATTTGTCTCATGTCTCATCCATGACCCTGTGGGCACCGAGAGCTGGTGCCCAAGTCAGCTAGATGTTTACCATGTGCTATAACCTAACAAAGCACGGTTTTCTTTAAAAGGTACGTGTTCCAACTTGTGGCAGGTATGTTGACTTGTTGACTCACAATGTCAGGTTACCGCCAAATGCTTTTGTTCTGAGAACCTTCTTTATCACAAATGACCTACCTTTTGTTTTTTAAATATATTTTATTCATTATACTATTAGTTGTCCCATTTCTCTCCCTTTATTTCTCTTCGCCCCCTTCCCGTCTGCATTCCCCACCCCCTGCCCCAGTTCATGTCCACGGCCTGTACATATACGTTCTTTGGCTTCTAAATTTCCTATATTAATCTTAACCTCCCCCTATTTTGTACCATTTATGCTACTTATTCCCTGTACCTTGTCCCCCATGTTCCCCCCTCCCCCTCCTTGCTGATAACCCTCCATATGATCTCTATTTCTGTGATTCTGTTCCTGTTCTAGTTGTTTGCTCAGTTTGTTTTGGGGTTTTTTGTGTGTGTTTTGTTTTTTATGTTCAGTTGTTACTTGTGTTTGTTGTTCTTTCACTGTTCATATTTTTGGTCTTCTTTTTCTTAGATAAGTCCCTTTAACATTTCATATAATAAGGAATTGGTGATGATGAACTCCTTTAACTTGACCTTATCTGGGAAGCACTTTATCTCCCCTTCCAATCTAAATGATAGCTTTGCTGCACATAGTAATCTAGGCTGTATGTCCTTGCTTTTCATCACTTTGAATAGTTCTTTGTTGTATGTTCATTGTAGTATGTCTAGTGCCTAGAACACTGCTTTATTCACTCATCAAATATTTACTGAGTGCCTGTCTGAAACTATTTATATTTTCTTCATAGCATTCAAACCTGTTTTAAATTTGCTTTTATGTGTTTATTAAAATGAACAAGGCACATAAGATCCCTGATGTCATGGAGCTTACTTTCTAGGGAGTTGACATAATAAACAGATTGGTAGTGATCAAAGTAATTTCAGATACATATCAGTTCAATGAAAACAGTAAAACAAGATGGTCACATAATGGAGGCCCTCAGCAGCCTCAGAATGGGTGGTCAGGGAAGGCCTCTCCGTGCATCTGGTGTTTGACCTGGGAAGATGGGCAGAGAAGGCAGAGGACTAATAAGTGTAAATGTTCCAGGTGGGAACGTGTATGGCAAATTCAATGAATATAAGAAAAGCCAGTGTGGCCAGATCATAATGACCAAAAGGAAAGCTGTAGGAAACACGTGTGACAAATCAAATGTGCCTCGTGTATCCTGGAATGTGACTTAGAGTTTATCCTTTTCCCCTTGAGCAACAATTGGAGGGTTGTAAGCAGGAGAGTGGCCTAATCTAATTTACTTTTGTCAAAGCTCCGCTTGGCCGTGCATACAGAATGGACTGTAGGGAGGCCATGGAGGGAGCTGAGGGGCTGGTGGGGACTATTATAGGGATCCAGGTAGTGGATGATGTTTTGGATGAGGTAGTAATGATAAAGCTGAGAAATGAATAAGGTCACTATGATTTGGAGGGCTAGCTTACCGGTCTTGCTGTTCCATTTGACTTGAGGAAGAGGGTGTAGGGGGCAGGAATCGAGGCTGAGTCGACTCCTAAACGGTGGGGTCTGATCAGCTACGTGGATGGTAGGACCAGTGAGGATTCATTCAGAAGTTACAAAAAATGTTTCATTCTCTTCATTGTCTTCTATTTGCCTTTCAGGTATGAAGTTGTCAACATCAACCTGAAAAATAAGCCTGAGTGGTTCTTTAAGAAGAATCCCTTTGGTCTGGTGCCAGTTCTGGAGAACAGTCAGGGTCAACTGATCTATGAGTCTCCCATCACCTGTGAGTACCTGGATGAAGTGTATCCAGGGAAGAAGCTGTTGCCAGAGAACCCTTATGAGAAAGCACGCCAAAAGATGGTCTTTGAATTGTTTTCTAAGGTGTGTGTATAAGAAATGTCAGTTCCTATTTGAAAAACTTTTTTTAAAGCTATATCAGTGGTCATTTATGGTTCATTAATCTGGGAAAGGAAAACAAAACAGGATTATACTCATCTGCCTTGACGTGTCCCACAAGCCCTTCCTCGATCGGTTCCTGTTTACCTCTCCAAAGTTACCCCTGTTCACTCTTGACATGTTATGTTCCAGCCACACCAAATGTTTTCAGTTTTCCCACACTCACCACCTTATCAACTCTTGCTGGCAGACTCTTCCCCCTTCTCACTTCTCCTGGTTCTCTCCAAACCCTCTTTCCTGTACCTACTCACACACTGCTGCCTTCTAGGAGCTTGTTCAGAGTGGGTGAGTGCCCAGCTCTGTGATCCCACGGGCACGAACACTTCCCTTTGGGGATCGCCTGCCTTCTTGCGTGTGTTGCATCAGGGTGTTACTGTTGACACACTGCCTAGGTTTGTGACCAGCCCTGCCACTTTCAAGTGGTTTGCTAACTTACTTACTGCTTTATCTCTGTGTTTCAGGTCATAATTCCTTCCTCATAGATAAAAATCAGTTCACATGAAACACCCAGATTCAAGACATGGTAAATCTCAGTGTTAGTTCTTGCTGTTCCAGCCAGTGTCCAGCAGTGAGCTTCTTTGCTCCATGTGGACAGTAGCATGGGGCTGACTGAGTAAATGGCATTCTTGTAGAAGAACTGTTTGTATCTGAATTAGCATCAATGTGTAAATTAGTTCAAGCAGTTAGTATTAACAAGGACATGACCAATAGTAGACAAGAATAGCAACATGAGGTTATGTGTCTGTAATCCTGTTATCCTGTTAGCATAAGTCGCCATACACAGTAATACATGGTCTCTAGACAAAGAAATGGTTAAAGAAATACGGTGAAGATAGGACTTATAGGGAAGACCTCTTGTTTAAGGAGACAGTGCAACGGGAAGCCAATGGAAAAGGAAGAAGGAATTGTCTGGCTTAGCAGGATGAGAGAATAGTAGAGATGGCTGCTATTAAAGTTGATGAACAGAGAATAGGGCAAATTTACAAGAAAGGTGGTGGAGAATTTTTTTTAAAGTAACAAGAGATTCATTGTACTGTTTAGAAAGAAAATGAGCCTAAAAGCTGGAGATGCCCACTATTACTTTTATACTCACATTCGGGAAAGAGGTGGTCTTAGATGGCATGTGACCCCACCCTCCTGGCCACGGCTCAGCGAACTAGAAATGCCCCCATGTGCATCCCCAGCCCAATCATCTTCTTGCCTAGAAACTTGGACCTGAGACAGACTAAGACAGTAAAAGTGGGGAAGTTTTGAATGAAAAAATATGTATATATGTGTATAAAATTAGAGACTTGACCAACCCAAGCCACATAGGGAAGTGGACATTAACACTGCAAAGGGACCTATATGTGGAAAATAATACAGAACAGACATGTAAAGAGAAGCAAAGATGAATGAGCAGGCAGGAAATGGGGATGGAAGGGCAGCCTGCAAACCTTCAGTTCCAATGAGCGAAGCTGTTCTGACATCCATGGGATTTCAGGGGATTCGCCTGTATTTTCAGAGCAAATGCCTGTTTACTTAAACTGGGATGAGTGGACTTCTGTCTCATGCAGTGCGATGATGCCAAACACACAAACACCTCCGCTACAAGCAGTAAAGCGTGTGACACTACACCTGTCAGGTCTCCAGGCAGTCACTCCCCTTTGAACAGTCTTCTCATGTCCTCCGCAAGGCAGAGATCAGGAAAAATTCTCTTCCCCAGCTCCCTCTGCAGCTGGGGCCCAGGCCTGCAACCCAGGCTCTCCCTGTCAGATACACGCATGGTAGAGTTCAATTCAGAAACAATCAATGTGAGGAAATAGGCTTGGTGTGGGGCACTGGTTCTGTTGGTGAGAGTGGCTGATGGTATGGCTTCAGGCTTTCAGGAGCCCTGGTGGTTGCCAAATTAAACTTCAGAGTAGCAAGGGCTTCGGTGATAGGGGCATTAGTTACCTCTGAGTCATTCCTGATAGTGGCACAAACCTGTAGTTTCAGCTCACTGGTCACAGTGATGCTTTCCAGCAGGTCAGTTTGAGCACGATTTTGTAGTGTTCCAGCTGAGTTCCAAGCCTGTTTGTTCAGCCCCCCGCAACAATTCTGAGACACTCAGTGTCCTTTAAAGATATTTTTGGCTCACACTTGCCAGAGTGGGCTCTGTTATTTGCAACTTATAAAATCCTGTTTAATAAAGCACCTTAGGCCACAAAACCATTTCGAGGATGAGCATATAACCTCTGTGAACACAGGAATGGGTGTGCCCTTTAAGTTTCTAGACCACTGACACTGGGACTAGAAGGGTTCTTTCGTGTTTTTACGTGAGGCTGGTATACTGAGCCCCCACTGATAAACTAAGAAATTATTCTCTGTCTAGGTACCATCTTTGATAGGAAGCTTTATTAGAAGTGAAAATAAGAAGGACTGCTCTGGCCTGAAAGAAGAACTTCGTAAAGAATTCAGCAAGCTTGAGGAGGTAATCAGTCGTGTCTCTCAGCTTTTATCCGAGTGAATGATACACCGCATCAGCTCTCTTCCTTCTGCTCTTCTGTTCATATTCCCGTTTCCCAAATTGTTTTACAGCAGTTAGTGATAATACCAAATAAGAAAATTTAGATTATAACAGATTGCTATAAGCGGTGTGTTTAATGTATAATCCAAAAACACCAAAAAGTATTTTGTCATGAACTTGCTCTTAAAACATTTTGTTGCACTGATGTTAAAATAACACGGGAAAGAAGAAATTCACCAACATTTCTGTGACCTGTTGTTTTTCCATGCTGTTTCCAGTCCTTGTCCATATATTTCTAAAAAATGATTAATATAACTAATCAGAGCATAGATTCCATTTTGTGTTCTTTTTTATACTTAGTATTAGATAATAAGCATTTCTCGCCACAAAGAATTTGCCATGAATCATACAGACACTTGGCAAAGCCCAGATGTGTTTTGCTTCCTTTGAGGGATGGCTGCCATTTTGTGTCTTTAGATCAAGTCTCCTCTTGGTCTTGAGACATTCCAAATACTCAGGTAGATTTAAACAATCAGTGTACAATGCAGCATGTTATATGGGCCCTGAAAAAGACTAGAAGTTTTATACAGGTAAGTTGGTTTGGTGTTGATGAATCAAATAATATTCTCAGTCCCCCTCCCCTTGACAAAACCATAATACCAATTCATCTTAAACTTTAGAAATGTACTATTTGTGCTTTGTTTTCAAATAATTTTATTTAATAGTTATTCTAGTTATTTCCAGTATATTTTAGGTAAATTGTTTTTATTTGAAGGATTATCTGCAAAGGACCCAAAGAATAAGAGTATATATAGCTTGATGAATTTTTAGAGTGACCATAGCCATAGAACCAGTACCCATATCAAAAATAAGAGTATTACTTTTGGCTACTTTCTGTACTCTACAAATGGAATAACATAATACGCACTTTCGGGTCTGGCTTCTTTCATACAGTGTTAGGTTGTGAAGTAGTTCACACAACATCAGTGTTGTGTGTAGTTCATTCCTATTCTTTGTATAGCGTTCCAGTGTATGTCTGTGTCACAGTTTTTTCTCCCTTTTAGTCCTGGTGGACAGTAGACATTTCCACTTTGGGGCTATTAGAAACAGTACTACAGCGAGCATTCTTGCATGTATCTTTTGGTGAATATGCATTCACGTTTGCAAGTACAATTACTGGGTTATAAAGTATGCATGCTCTCAGCTGGAAAACATCGCAGTACTGACTTTCATTCGTGTCCGCAGTGGTCCCATGCCCTAGCTAACTTTGTCTGGTTCATTTTAGCCATTATGGATGTGTACTGTCCTACGTTTTGGTTCTAATTTGCATTTCCTTGACACCTAATGTAATCGAGTGCCTTTTCAAAGGGTTATCGTCCATTTCGACATCCTTTTTTGTGAAGTGCAAGTCTTGCCCAATTTTCCAATGGGTTGTTTGCCTTTTTTCTTGATTCCCAAGAGTTCTTTCTATATTCTGAATACCAGACCTTTGTTGTATTACAAAGATCTTGTACTGTGTTGCTTATTTTATTTTTCATCACTTTTTAGTTTATCTTGCTGATTGTTTTGCTTCATCTGAAAACAATAGATTCTAAAGCTTAAACTGATCAAATAGACAAAAATTGAACTTGGACATGTCAAGCAAACAGGGCTACGCTCACCATTCTGTTGAACTCACCTGCATCTCTGATGATGAGTCTTCCGAGATGCACAAATAAGAAGTACTCTTATGCTGTTTGATGTTCAGGTTCTGACCAACAAGAAGACAACCTTCTTTGGTGGCAATTCACTTTCTATGATCGATTACCTCCTCTGGCCCTGGTTTGAACGGCTGGAAGCACTGGAGTTAAATGAGTAAGAGTTTTGAATATTATGTGAATAATTTAGGAGAATGATCATTGGAATAGCATATGTTGACCTTATTTCTGAACAAAAGTGAAGATATTTTATACAACTGTTATGAATGGAAAAAAGCGGGCAGGAGGGAAAGGCTTGGGCATGTCGTACATCCACCCTCGGTGCTGCTTCCCACCCCGGGGGACAGGTGGCAGTTCTGTGACATTTCGTAAAAAGTTTTAACAGCAATTTACTCCTTCCCTCCCGGGTAAAAATTCCTAAGGAAGGTTTGGGTGGGTGAAACAGGTGAGGGATTAACAAGTACAATTGGCAGTCACAAAATAGTCACAGGGTTGAGAGTACAGCATCGGGGAGATAATAAAATCACAATGACTGGGTGGTGGTGGATGGGTGCCGACTTATTGGGGGATCACTTTGTATGTTATATAATGTCTAAGCACTGTGCTCTACACCTTAAATGAATGTAATGTTGAATGCCAAGTGTAACTGAAAAAAATCTTAAATCTGTAAGGATAAGCCTCTCCCTTCTGCCCCCTTTTTATAAGGCTGCCATGCAGGATTGTTATGACCAACGCTGCCTCTTATTTACCAGTAAGATTCCCATACTGGTTTCCAAGCTCCACACTTTGAAGCTTGGCAGCCACCTTGGCTCACTCCCTCTTAAAGCTTAGAGCTACTCAGGGTTACTTTTAAAAAAATATTCTTTCAAAACAATTCTTTAAATTTTAAAAGATTTATTAAGACATTAAAAAAAATTAGGTACAGCCCTGGCTGGTGTGGCTAAGTGGATTGAGTGCAGGCCTGCAAACCACAGGGTTGCTGGCTCGATTCTCAGACAGGGCACGTGTGTGGGTTTTGGGCCAGGTTCCCAGTAGGGGGTGCATGAGAGGCAACCACACACTGATTTTTACCTCTGGTTCTCCCTTCCTTCCTCTCTCTCTAAAAATAAGTAAATAAAATTTAAAAAATAAATAAAATAAAATTTAAGTATAGTTGGTATTTGTGGACAAAAAAGGGCCATATACTTAACCTGACAAACTCAGGGAGGGCCTTAAAAACTCATAGAGACCAACAATAACCAATTAGGATGGTCTGAAATGAAAGGTTTTAAACAAAAAGCAGTTTATGGTAGGTAGTCATGTCTGTCCTAGGCTAGAATGTTCCCTGACAAAGGTCATCTTCACCTTAACTAAGCCTGTCCATTGTCCTTTTGCATCAAGGATAACATACCTGATAAACACACCTTTGCAAAAACAAAGTAATTTCCCTTTTACCAGGCCCCTCAGAGCACGGGCACCACACCCAGAGACCACAGTCCTCTCACTGTCATTGTGGTCATGTGAACTGCTGTTAACTACCCTGTACCCACCTGTGTAAAAGAAGTATGTGTCTACCATTTTAATCTTTATCCAGTCCCAGAAGTTTCCCCACTTTGCTTCCTCCCACCTTCATTATCTTTCACCCGTGGATTTCATGTAGACCACGTACATCTTCTCTTTTGATTGTAACATATAAAGCAGGGTGCAACACTGCCATTTTCTGGAGCGTTTTCTCAACTTGCTGAAGTTTTGCTTCCTGGCCGTTGTCATCAGTTTGGCTCAAATGAACTCATAAAAATTCTCTACAGATTTGAACATATTATTATGCTCACAGTATGCAGTATTAGGTTTCAGGTATACAGGATGATTCGACATTAATATACCTTACAATGTGATTAACACAATAAGTGTGCTGATCATGTGTCACCGTGCAAATGCAGGTACAACATTATGGACTATAGTCCCCGTCACCCATCCTCACCACTTCCCCTCTGGCGTCCATCGGTTTGTTCTTTTTCTTTTTTAAAAAATGTGTCAATTACAGTTGACATACAATATTATATTAGTTTCAGGTGTACAACATAGTGATTATACATTTATATAAGTTATGAAGTGAATATCCCAGTAAGTTTGGCAGTATCCATCTGATCCCACACATAGTTACTACATTACTAACTTTATTCCCTGTGCTGTACTTCACATCCCTGTGACTGTTTTTGTAGTTGGCAAGATGTACTTTTAATCACTTTTTAGTCATAATCTGAACATAGATGGGTTGTTTTTCATGTTCTCATTTTAAAAAGTTGCCACTCAGATTGGAATAGTCTCACACCAAATGAGCAAGTCATTTCCTTTTGGAAGATTCCTGTTCTGTAAAACAAAGACTTCTACAGTATGTTCCAAAACTAATAGTCATACCTCAGAGAGATTGCAGGTTCCATTTCAGACCCCTATAATAAAGCAAATACCACGATAAAGCGAGTCACATGTATATTTTGCTTTCCCAGTGTATATAAAAATTATGTTCACACTATACTTTAGTCTGTTAAGTGTTCAATAGCATTATGTCTAAAAAAGAACAATGTAAATACCTTAATTTAAGAACGCTTTTTTGCATAAAGAAACACTCACCATTATCTGAGCCTTCAGTAATCTTTTTGCTGGCCAAAGGTTTGCCCTAGTAACATCAAAGGTCAGTGATCATAGATCTCCATAACAAATATAAAAATAATGGCCAGGGTTTGAAATATTCTAAGAATTATCAAAATGTGGCACCAAGTCACAAAGTCAAGCAAATGCTCTTGGGAAAAGGCGTGGTTAGACTTGCTCAGTGCAGGGTTACCACAGACCTCCCTTCAGTTTGTAAAAAATGCAGTATCCGAGAAGCACAACCAAAGGAGGCCTGTCTTATTCTATAATTACATGCATTTTAAAGAAATATGTTTAACGAACTACTTTAAAAGGCTAGAGGAGTACAAAATGACACTGATGACGATGACATGTAGAAGACTTGGCAGTGCCTTCCTGTGTAGTCCAGCTAACACCTTCATGCTTTCCATCTCCCGCAGGTGTGTGGACCACACTCCAAAACTTAAGCTTTGGATGGCAGCCATGAGGAAAGATCCCACTGTATCGGCCCTCCTCACCGATGTGAAGACCTTCCAAGGTTTCTTAAATGTCTACTTGCAGAACAGCCTGGAGGCCTGTGACTATGGTCTTTGATGGGGGCACGAGTCAGTGAAGATGTGGCCCTGGCTGGCGTGGCTCAGTGGATTGAATGCCAGCCTGCAAACCAAAGGGTCACCAGTTCGATTCCCAGTCAGGGGACATTCCTGGGTCGAGGGCCAGGTCTCCAGCAGGGGGAACGTGAGAGGCAGCCATATATTGATGTTTCTCTCCCTTTCTTTGTCCTTCCCTCTCTCTCTAAAAATGAATAAATAAGAAATTAAAAAAAAAACCAATGAAGATATGTCTAATGTTTTCCTTCACTAATATGAAAAATAACATGCTTTTATTTTGCCAAGTGCCATCATGTCTCTTTGGATCCCCTTCCCTGAGTTGACATCGTGGCACAACTGGTATTTCCTCAAGGCCCTCCTGCAGAAACGTAAACACACTTCCTGTTCGGGATGCTCAAATCCTCCCTAGTGAGATTAGACTGCAGTCTAGATTTCAAACTGCCCATAAGACATTTCCACTTGGATACCCTGTTGTCATTTCAGGTGATGCCCTTTCAAGTTTGTCTTTGAGGTTCTGAATTGAGAATTTATAATTCCTCATTCTTTCCATCATCAACTGAATTCACGCCCTCTTTTATTCTTGTTCTGACCAATGAAGACCAGACCTATATCACCTCAAAGCCAAGTAGGTGACTAGGTGACCTGTTACTTAGTCTCCAATATCCCATCTCCCCTTCAAATGCTTGTTACCAAATCCCATGCTGGGCACACACACCATTAAGTACAGTGAAGACCACATCCCTCAGTGCAGCATATAAGGCTGAATGAATAATAGGTAATATTCCCATTCAAAAATATCAATGCCATCTTCCACACACTTCCATAGCCCATTGAGCTTCTAATTTTTATCATCACATCAGCTCCATGAAAATGTGGGTTGTAGAGTATCATTTCATTCCACAGAGGATTCAACTAAGGTCCCAAGGTTAATACCTGGAGAACACCTAGTACCCTGTTATTACTATCAAAATTATGGGGTGCACCTTCAACCCGCTGGCCTAAATACAGCCTGGTTTCCTGTACTCATTTTTAAACGTAAAAGCACCTAATAATCACCGAAGGCTCACCGCTCCATTTGTGATTCAGTAAGTAGTAAGGTCCCGGGTGGGCCAGGTGGTCCACATTTGAAATGAGCCCCCTCCACCCGGCCCCCACCCGCGTGGTGATGCAGGCGATCTGGGGGCCACACCCTGAGACACTGGTGACAACTGGTGACTTCACAAATGACCTCTGGCCGGCCACTCTTGGCCACCAATGCCCAAGCTCAGGACACACCCATTTCTGCTGTCGTCAGCCCGCCCCACCCTTCTAGGTTCAGGTCGGCTGCGGGACGGCTTCAGTCGGATGTAGACCCGGGCGCTGAGGTGCCACGGACGCCGCTACCTGCCCAAGGCACTCGTGGGGAATCACTACTTGGGTACTGCGGCGCCTGTAAGGCGGCTGCCCTTTGGCTCCGCTCGGCACTGATTGGCCGGAGAGCCTCCAAAGGCTCTTAGGATTGGCTGGAGCTCTGGGCATCGCGGCCAGTTGGCGGGTAGGATCTCATTCTAGGGGGCGGGTTCCACCGTCGTTCTACGTCCTGTTCGTTTGCGGCAAGTTGGGAGGTTCCTGGGGCCGTCTCTCCTGCCACCTCCACCGGCTTGGTTCGGGCAGTTTTGGCCTTTGAAGGGGAGAGGGGTGTAAGGTCAATTCTGAATTTTAGGGTTTTCCACGAATTTCAGATCCCAGATTAGGATTGCCAGTGTTTTATGTTGCCTAATACTGTTAAAAGAAAGGGCAACTACTTTATGTTCACAAAAGTTTCATCCAAGAATTTAACATCAAAAAAAGTACAAGGGCTATATAATCCAAGATTGAAGAACAGGTCTTTAAAGTGAACACCTTTAACTCAAGGGGCAGGGGGGAACCCCTCACTAAATTGTTTATTTTTCTGATTTGTCTGGAGGCAGGTAAGGACAGCCCAAAATCATGAATTCTAGTCCCTGCACTTGGGCACCACTAGTTCAGCTGCGTTAGAGGGCACCGCAGCAGGGGATTTCGGTCTCAGGGGATGTCTTTGTGACCCTGCTGTATTTCAGTAATCATAAAGATAATAGCTAATGTTGAATGCCCACTAGGTAAGAGATGAAGGCTAAGTATTAAGCATTTTTCGTCCAGCACCTGAATGAATCTTTCCCAAAACACTAGTTGATGTGTTGGTACCATTAACTACCAGTTAATGAGAACCCTAGGGCATAGAAAGTTGCTGTGATTTGCCCAAGGTCATCCAGCTAGTAAATGCTGAAAAGATTCATTCAGCCTGAACTCTTAGTCATTTATACCACTCTCGAGATAAGAGCTTGGGTATACTTCTGCCCCAGTCTCTTAATCAGCTGCTAGCCTTTAGAGAGACTGGGCCAGGAGAGGATAGCAAGCGCCATTTTGACACACCACTATTATACCTGAGATTTAACAGGAAGTGTTGCTGTTCTTTTCCTAACTCGGTCTGTTCTGTTTGATTTTACAAATGTTTGGCTGACTTCAGGATCTTGCAAATCTCCTTTTTTTTCATTCAAATGTAACTATATCAAAATATTTTTTTTCCTTTAAAAAAATTTTTTTATTGATTATGCTGTTACAGTTGTTCTATTCCCCCTTTCATTCCCCTCCACCCTACCCCCCATCCCCACCATTACCCCCCCCTTTAGTTTATGACCATGTGTCTCAAGTCCTTTAGATTCTATATTTCCCATGCTATTCTTGCCCCCCCCAATCTATTTTCTATCTACTGTCTATGCTACTTATTTTCTGTACCTTCTCCCCTCTTCTCCTCCTCCCACTCCCCTGTTGCTAACCCTCCTTGAGATCTTCATTTCTATGTTTCCACTCCTGATCTAGCTGTCCTTTTAGTTTGCTTTCATTTTAGGTGTGGTTGTTAATAACTGTGAGTTTGTTGTCCTTTCACTGTTCATGTTTCTTTAACTTCTTTTTCTTCGATAAGTCCCTTTAACATTTCATATAATAAGGGCTTGGTGATGATGAACTCCTTGAATTTGATCTTATCTGAGAAGCACTTTATCTGTCCTTCCATTCTAAATGAAAGTTTTGCTGGATAGAGCAATCTTGGTTGTAGGTCTTTAGTTTTCATGACTTGGAATACCTCTTTCCAGCCCCTTCTTGCCTGTAAGGTCTCTTTTGAGAAATCCGCTGACAGTCTGATGGGGACTCCTTTGTAGGTGACTGTCCCCTTAGCTCTTGCTGCTTCTAGGATTCTCTCCATTTTAATTTTGGCTAATGTAATTATGATGTGCCTTGGTGTGTTCCTTCTTGGGTCCAACTTCTTTGGTACTCTCTGGGCTTCCTGGATTTCCTGGAAGTCTATTCCCTTTGCCAGATTGGGGAAATTCCCTTTATTATTTGTTCAGATAAGTTTTCCACTGGTGGCTGTTCCTTTCCCCCTTCTGGTACCCCTATAATTCGGATGTTGGAGCGTTTAAAGATGTCCTGGAGGTTCCTAAGACTCTCCTCATTTCTTTGAATTCTTGCTTCTTGACTCTTTTCTGGTTGGCCATTATTTGCTTTCTTCTGGTCCACTCCATTGATTTGAGTCCCAGTTTCCTTTTCATTGCTATTGGTGTCCTGTGCAATTCCATTCATTTCAATTAGTTTCGCCTTCATATATTTGTCTAATTTGTCGGTATAATCAACCAGTTCTGTGAGGATCCTGATGACCAGTGTTTTAAACTGTGCGTCTGAGAGTTTTGCTATTTCTTCATCGCTTAGATCTATGGTCTCTGGGGCTTTGAGATCTTGCGACATTTTTGGTCTGTTCTGGCCCTTTAAGTGTGAGAAGCGGTGCCTTGGACTCCCAGGTCGCTGGGTTGTGACGCTGTATGTGGGGGCGTGGTCAGAGCGGGGAAATGGCGGCTCCCTCTGCTGTTTCTCACCGCTGGGTGAGAAGCAGCCCCTTAGGTGGTTCACCAGGGCCGGGCCACTCAGAGTCGCTGGGTTATGACGCTGTATGTGGAGGTGGGGTCAGAGCAGGGAAATGGCGGCGCCCTCCACTGCCGCTTGCTGCGGGGACCTGCCAGGCCCCGGTCCAACTGCCCACTCCCTCGCCCGTCCACCCGCGCACAAATGCGCGACCACAGTCAACACGCAGCCCCGCTCCCCCACTGTCTCCCCCGCGGTTGCTCGCCTGGTCGCTGGCTCGGTTGCTCACTAGGTCCAACCCTGTGCCTGGATTCCGCGCGCCTGAGTCCGTCTGACCAAGTCCTCGTGTGCAACCCCGCTCCGCCAGCCGCTGGTTTCGCCCCTTACCGGTCAGGCTGAAGAATTTGTTGTTAACGGACTTCCGTTAACACAGGTATGAGAGAAAAATTTTGAAACTCTGAAAAACACAAACTCCACTTCTATTCTCAAAATAGAGACTCATTTAAATAGAGCGAAGAAGTTATTTCTGTGGTGGCATTCTTTTCCTAGAAAGCTTAAGCTATTATTACCCATGACTGAAGGTCCCCACCTTTTCAAATAGATCCGATTATATTTCAGGTAACTGAAAAATAGTTTGGAGTGGGTTTAATATGGCTTTGTTACCATTTGTTTCTTGCTTGAGTGAGTCAGTATAATAGAGGTGTAAACATAATAACGTGGAAGGAAAATTTGCAAAGAGGATTTCAGAGAGGTACCTATTGTATCTGCAGAGGTACCTATTTCAGAGGTACCTTAGAAAGGAAGTAGGGATAAGCTCAAAGGTCATAATGAAAATCTTTCCAGGGAAAACGTTAGTGTTCAGTGGTAAGATTAAAAACCACATTACTGAAATGTAGCATGCAGCATTCAACCCCTAGTCAGCTGGCATTTAACTGGTAACTGGTAGAAACAAATATTCCGAGGTGAATTCTAGTTCCGATATGTTTTGCAGACCTGAATTGCATGCATTTCATTTTTATGAATACAAAATTGGAATGCATTGTGCTATTTAAAATGTGTTCTTATTTACTAGTATTAGTTATTAATTTTGAGTACTTACTGTACCGAGGATGGCCTGCCTGATTTCATTCATTATTTAAAACCCATCAGGAAGGTACTATTTGTATTCTCATTTTACAGGTGAAGAAGATGAGGGTCAACAAGGTGAGAGACAGCTGTCTAAGTGCCAAAGCCAGGGTTTGACTATAATGCCAAGTGAGGACCTTGACATTGTATTGCTTCCCTTCAAAGGAAGAACTGTTTGCTATTCTCTAACAACACCAAATAGACTTGCATTCCAGAGTGGGGCTTCCCCTACACAGATGTGATAAACAGCATTTCCCAACTCTCAGAGTTGATTTCCCTTAAAAGGTGGGAATGAGGGAAAAAAAACAACAACTTGGAAATGTGTTCTCTTTGGCATAGTGAAAGATGGGACTTTTACTTTACAAATGGGGTTCCCAGTGTGGCCATTAATAATTCATTCTCAGGGCACTCCAGCAATGAGGAAACTCAGGCCGGAGAACCGAATCCAGGCCTCTTGCTGGTTTTTGTAGGGTGTAAGAGCTAACGATAATTTTTATATTTTTAAATGGTTGAACAAATCAAGAGAAGAATCATGATTTGTGATACATGAAAATTATATGAAATTCACCAAGAGTAAACCTTAATTTAAACTATGGACTTTGATGATGAAGTGTCAACATAGGCTCATCAATTGTAAGAATGTAACTCTGATGCAGGATGTAGTTGATGAAGGAGACTGTGTATTTGTGGTGGTAAAAAAATCTATCTTGTGCTTGGTTTTCCTGTGAACATAAAATGCTCAAAAAATAAAGTCTGTTAAAATTCAGGGGTTGGAAAAAGTAGATTTATAGTTGTGGGTACACAAAACAGAATTATTCTTGTATTATTATATATTATTTATTGTATTATTCATTTGAATTACAATTGTGAGTATATATATATATATATAATTCAAATTTAGACTCCATAAATAATGTTTTCTTGGAACACAGCCAAACCCATTCATCTATATATTATTTATTGCTGTTTTCATCCTGTAAGGGTTGAGTGGTTGAGACAAGATGACTCAGAAAGCCTACGATATTTACTAGTTTGACTTTTTCACAAAGAGCTTGCCTATGTCTGGTATAGACTAAGATCCTGTTTGGAGTGCTCACCCAGGAGTCAAAGGTCATAATCCTTCCTCTTAGTAGTTGTGAGGCTTTTGACAAGTCACCTAACCTTACTAGTTACTCTCAGTTTACTCATTTTTTAAAATAAAATAATGATAGAACCTTCATGGGACAACTTTACATATTGAATGAATGAATACACATAAAGTATGAAATACATGTTAGTAAGAACTGATTGTGTGATTTTGAGGATTTCATATTCTTTTAGAATCTGGGTACATTTTCTCCCAGTTATTGGACGTCTGCCTTCTTTCATGAGGGATATGTTTCATGCCCATGAGTCATCTCCTTGTCTACGAGAAGCTCTCACACATCATGCTTATGTTTGTTCCTTCTATTCCCTTTCAGTTTGTCCTTCTTGCTTAAAGTTAGTTTCCGAACAGTGGTTTTCCTCTTTATCTTGCAACATATAAAATTGCTGACATACATGCATTTTCTTTTAAAAGGAAATTGATTAAAACATTTTTGCCACTCCCAATTCTTATCAATCAATAGCAACTTGTCACGTCTCACATGAAATCACTCTGAATGACTTAGCAAAAAATGTAGTTGAGTCACTATTCTGAAGAATTTCAAAGATTCCTACTGAGTAGGAAAAAAATGTTAACATTATGAACCAAGAATTTCTGGATAGATTGGAATTCCAAAGGACAAACCTAAAGTTAGCAGGGGCAAACTACCTCTCTCCTTCCCTTCCCCTCTAAAGATAAATAAATAAAATTTTAAAAAAAAAGTGACTGTTCATAAGCTATATAATTAGGTTCTGTCTTTTAGTAAAACATATTGAGACTCATCTAACATTTGTTGAGCCGCCATTATGCACTATATTTTTTTCCAGGATTTATATCCTTTCCCTTCCACACGGTTACCAACTTTCGAGGCCCAGACAATGAGTCAGGCTTTGGACTTTTAAGGTTCAACCCGCCTAGCTGGTCACATTGGGCAAATAATCTCATTTTTCTAAGGATATTTTCTATGTTGTGAAACAGGGAGAATAATAGTTACCTACCCGAGTAGTTGTGGGAATCAAGTAAGGTGATCAATCCATAGAAATCATTTAGTCAGTGTGAGGCATATGATACTTTTCTTTCCTTCTCTACCCGTGAGCCCTATAAAACACATATCTAAGTAATTCCTATTTCAGCTCATCCTGTAAAGTCAAAGGAATTAGCTTTCTACCTGCTAAATTTCAGGATCTCAGCTTTGTAGGGCAGAGCAAAGCCTAGCTGCCTCCTTAGTCAGAGCTATCCAAGTGGCCCTTGTGTTGCCCGGCTGTTGACAAAGTCTTTGTCACGGTTATGAAGGGTCTGCTCCGGAATTCACTCTGGGGTCGGGGAGAGCTCACCAACTTTTCTTTGCTTCTAGTGCCTAATTCATTATCAGTCTTTCATAGCTTAGGTACAATGTCACAGATAGGTCTGGGGCTAGGGTGAGGCCAGTGAGGTGTCTAGGGCACACAGTTTAAGGGGACACTCTCAGGGGCGTGCAACATCTCAACACTAACAAGTTTTTCTTCCTCTCTGCGATAGCATGAAAAAGTTTGGCTTTATTTTTTTAAGTACTCATTATACAGGCAATGGTCTTAGAGATGCAGGAGGGGAGACTTAGAATGGGAAGGAAAACTTTGGTGGTTACTCTGGTCAGTTTTTATCGAACTCCCTTGAAATACATGCTGGAGTTTAATGTCCATTCTTCACAGGTTCTTGGTGTGGAGAAGAGACCCACTGAATGGTGTATCCACGTGTTAAAAGCAAGGGTACTTCCCGGGTGTTTTGTTTGTTTTGCCCACTCCTACCTCCAAGTCTGGGGCGATGTCTCTATAGATTAAGGTATCCTACCTAGCTCGCGCCCCAGATCACTTCCCTCTCTGCCCTACCAGAGCCCTGGCACTCAAAAGCTGAATTTGGACAGGAGCTGCGCGGGAGCATCGCTGCGGTTGGAGCCTGCTGAGGTGGCGAGGCCCAGAGCCGCGGTCTGAGAGCACTGGGTGCTGCGCAGACACCTGGAAACCATGGCTGAAGATGCGAGCAGGGCCTTGGGGAAAGGTGAGTCTTCTCAACAGGTGTCCACGGGCTGGAGACGCCGGGCCTTGGCCTCCAGACCAGTGCGGTGGGTGGGTGGGACTTGAAGGGTTTCTCTGCCTGAAAGCCACGTGCAAAACCAGAGGCGGAGCGTGTGCAGCCCTCTTGGGGTCTCAGGGTTGGTGAGTGAGCCCATCATTCCACTGGGCTAATCCGCCTCTTGGTACCCGCTCCTCCTCTGCAGGAAGTCACCCCCCAGGGCCGGTCCCAGAGGGCCTGATCCGAATCTACAGCATGAGGTTCTGTCCTTATGCACACAGGACGCGGTTGGTCCTCCAGGCCAAAGGCATCAGGTGAGAAATGGAAGGTCAGCACCTTACAGGCACCCGGAGGGGGGATGTGTTTAAAACCTGGGGCGCCCTATCCTTTCCTTCTGAGGCAAAGTCAATACATGGTTAGTGAAGGCCCGCAGGCGGCCCTGGAATGTAGAGTCGGGTCTGCGCAGGAACCGTAGGACAACTCGGAGTAAACGGAATGACCGCCCCAGTGAGCTGGTTCCCTCCAGTAACGCGGGTGAAGGAAGGGCACAGCGCCCGCCTGCACTGACTGCAGCCCCCCCCCCCCCCCCCCTTCAAATCAACTGTTCTCTGTCTTCATTATGCTCACAGGGCATCCAGCATCTTTTTATCCCTCTTTCCTTCACCCTTTCCCCCAAAACGTATGTTGTGGAGGGGTAGGTTCTTTGTCTTTTTCACTACTGGGTTAGAGAGAACCTGGCACATGGTAGGTGCTTAAAATATTTTTTTGTATGAACGAACAAATAGTTCCAAACAATGAAATAGAAGGAACTGCTATCAGGAGATGTCTCGAAGGTTCCGACATACCTGAGGAAACGGCACAGACCTCCCCAGGAGGAGCTCCGCAAGACTCCACGCTGCAGGTCTGGGTTTGGAAGGCAGAGCACCTCCGCTGCAGTGGGGACCGCGGGATGCGACCGGCCTCTCAGCCGTGATGATATGTTGAGCATGTGTTACTCCCCGAGTTTTGACTCTTGTCTTGGAGAATCCATCATTAGGGGTGACTTCGGAGTTTCAGATTTATGTCGGAGAAATGCAGAGACTAATGCAGAGACATTTCCATAAAATTATGTAATTCTGCTTTGTTCAGGAGGATAGATGGCATTTATTTCCAGATTCTTCCCTCTTTCTCAGTTCTAATCGGCCCTATTGCTAGTTTATCCATTTGAAACAACTGTAGCCCGATGGTTTGCCCTCGGTGACAAACTGGCAGTTTATGAATGAATGTTTAGCAGTGTCCCTGGCCTCTGCCCATTAGATGGCTGTCATCTCTCCCCCAGTGTGACAACCAAAAAAGTCCCCAAGACATTACCATGTGCCCCTGGGGAATGGGGCAAGGTTACTTGCCGCGGTCCGGCCACAGCGGGTCAAGGGGTCCCACAGGTGAGGGTAGGCGTCGGCGCTGGGTAACAGACGACAACACGCCTCAAAGGACAGTGAAGCTCTGTTCTGTTTATTGCAAGTACAAGCAGGTTTTTATATTTTCATTTTAGGTAGTGATTAACATTTGCAGTATAACATCATTTAAGCAGAAAAAATTAATACAAAGGTAATCAGGAAAAGTATGAAAGTTCCCATAGATTCAGTTATAATAAACAAAGATTATTTTGACCAGGAGAGCTATTAATCAGACAATTAGAAGTATCTTATTGTATATTAAAGTTTCTCAGAATTTGTCATGGGGCAAAAGGATATGCTAGATTGAGTAGAGATAATAAGAAATTTATTATAAGGCCTTTGTGATGTCTAACTTAGCTATCTATCCTTTTCTGTCTAAAATGTTTCTCTGTGTACTATAAACTCTGACTCTTTAGTAACTGTTTCTACATGTTTAGTTTGTAATAACTAGCCAGCTTTTGTTATTTCTTTGCCTGTCTAGTTGATATATATTCTTATTCAAGGTAAAGGAGGGGCTATTACTCTAACAACTATTAGACATACAGGGACTTTATTCTCTGGTCAAGAAACTATTTTGTACAACTTCATTGGAATTATGTGAATCAATGAACCTGAAATACAAGTGTCTAACAATCCCACCACCTTTCGATCACCCAAACAAACATGTAAGGAGAGATAGACAGGAAATCCAGCCACAGTTGCCTCTGCCTTGCAGATCATCTCAACCGTCCCGACTGTATCCCTGGGCTGTGGGTAGGGGTCTATATAGTTTTCACTTGTCTTCTTGGAAGACCCTTTGTATCTGTGGGTGAGGAACAGTCGTGGGAAAGTCTTTCTAATCTGTTCTTCCATCCTCTCAACTGTTGGCAGCACAACCTGTGTTTGCAACAACAACCTGGTTCTTTATTAACTGGCCTTAACTGTTGATTTAAGAGCTCTAACTTGTTTTTCTTATTTCTGGTATGTTATGGCGGTCCTGATCGCTTTAACTTGCTCAAACCAGGGTAATTTATACAACTGGACATGTTTTCCCTTATGGTTAACAATTATATTACCCTGGCTGTCGTACACCCCTGTATAAGGGAGAAGGGAATCTGTAGGGATTTTTCCATCCTTTCAGGCAGTTTCGTGGGGAATAGTAATGTTTTCCCCTAAACTGTTCCCTCCTCTTTGGTGATTTTCACAGGAATAAGTAAGTACAGTACAATGTCCATACTCAGTAGCAAGAGTAAAATAATTAAAATAAAACAGCCAATTGTTAACCCATTTTGGATGCCACGTTCTCTTCTGGGGAGACGAATTCTTTGAACTCGAATCCTCCATGCCCGGACTTTGTCAGACAACGTGGCTTGGAAGAGGACGTGGCAGTTACTCCTAGCTGAGAACCACTGCTTTAGGGTTTAAGACAATCTGCTCGACTGAGCAGAGAATAATCTCATTTGTCTCCTGTTATACATATTTATTTATTTGATCCTCACAATGATGCCAGGGCATGAGCATATGAATCACCCCCATGTTACATCGAAGGACACTAAGCACAGAGAGGTTAAGGAATTCAGTCAAGGTCACAAGCTAGACTGTCCAGACCCCACAGTCTGATGCAGAATTTGTGTTTGTAACTGCTAACATTTACCATATTCTGTTGTGACCTGTTTGTAGCAGATTCGTATTTTCAAGCTCCAAAATATATGAGACTCTGGAGTGTGACGATTAAGTGTGGTGAGCTCTGAGTCAGACTCCTGGGCTCCAGTCTTGGTGCTGGTCCTTCCGAGTGGTGATGTTGGGCAGGAGATTTAATCCCCTGGAGTTGGGAATCGCAAAGAGCAAATGAGAAAAGGCATAGAAAACATTTAACACATCTTACTGTAGGAATGAAGACAATATATTTTATATTTTTATAATATTATATATTTTTCTTTGTAAAAGACCTAAACTTTAAAAAATGTTTTGCAAATTTAAATCTTATGAATTGATTACTTCTGCCTTAAAGATGAGTCCACTTGTGCAAATCTCTCGTTTTTGTTGTCTTGTGTTTATTTCCCTGTGCTTTTTAAGCCATGAAGTTATCAACATTAATCTGAGAAACAAACCTGACTGGTACTATACAAAGCACCCTTTTGGCCAAATTCCAGTCCTGGAAAACAGCAAGTGTCAGCTGATCTACGAATCTGTGATCGCTTGTGAGTACCTGGATGATGCTTATCCCGGAAAGAAGCTATATCCATTCGACCCTTATGAGCGAGCTCGCCAGAAGATGTTATTGGAGCTCTTCTATAAGGTATGCTCAATTTTTTAAAAAGCTACTTACACTCTTTTTTACTTTGTATTTCTTTCCCAAACTTCAATTTTAAAGCCAAGTCATTGGAGAACTTGTTTTGTTTGATACTACATGTGCATTAGGGGAATAACTGGTATGCAATTATAGTAGAGCCATCACCTCTGATATTAAAAATTAAAGTCTTCACTGATAGGTGCTTTGCCATTTGAACTAGCAGTCTCAAGGGGTATGATTATGGCATAGTTAAGACTGTGTGGCTTAAGATAGGAACATTGAAAGAGCCGAAAACTGGTGATGCTTTAAAGAGAATATTTCTAAGGTTTTAGGTACAAAAATATTGGGGTACAAAAAAGGCATTAATGCATGAAAACGGATTGCTCTTTATGCAGAGCAAGAGCACCACCAGTCCAGGAAATGTGGGGAAGAGAGAAAAAGGGGCACCTGGAGATAACAGGAAAAAAATGATGGAGAAACTTTGAGATAGTCGTCTTTGAATTGAGAAAAAAATAAACAACATATACTAAGGACTTATGACATGCCAAGCACTGTCCTAACTACCCTATACAGGTTAAGTTATGTAGCCCTTACAACTGCCCTTTAAGGTGGGTACTATTACTGTATCCATTTTTCGGATGAGAATACTGAGGCTTAGAGAGGTTAAGTGCCTGCCTGAGATTGTACAGTATGGAGGTTGCTGATCAAGTAAGAAGCACTCAAGAATCCTTTTCAAAAGCACCTTGTTTTACCAGGCTGCTATGACACCTGGATTCCCAGAACCACAGAGACACCTTTCAGAGGGAGCTGGGGAGCCGAGGTGTGGTTGTCAGCCTGTTAAACTGCAGCCACAAAGGTTCTGCTGTATTTTTAGGCAGAGCCGGGACGTGGAGTTCCCTCAGACTTCTCCACTAAGAAACCTGTGTCCTCTGATTAGATCCCGCATCTGACCAAGGAGTGTCTGGTAGCACTGAGGTGCGGGAAGGAATGCAGCAATTTGAAGCTAGCCCTCCGAGAAGAATTCTGCAACCTTGAAGAGGTACGAAAAGGGGCCCCTCTCCTCTTTAGAACCAAAAAATATGAACAGTAAAATGACAACAAACTCACAGTGATTAACAACCACATCTAAAAAAACAAAAACAAACTAAGCAAACAACTAGAATAGGAACAGAATCACAGAAATGAAGATCACATGGAGAATTACCAGTAGGTAGAAAATAGATGGTGGGGCAGGGAGGGGGGAGTGGGTGAAAATAGTATAAAAAATGTAGAAGGAAAAGAACTTATATGTATGACCCATGGACATGAACTAAAGGAGGGGGAATGAGGGTGGGAGGGGGTGTGCAGGGTGGAGGAGAATAAAGGGGGGGGAATGACACAACTGTAAAAGTATAATAAATAAAATATTTTTTTAAGTAAAAAATATACATGTAATAGAAAAATATACTCTCATTATTTTTAAAAAAATTGAAACACAGAAAACAGTATAAAAAAGCCAGTGAGATTTAAGTAGTCATTGGGTAGGACTTCTGGGAAAGCCCTTTAAAGGAGCATGGCCTTCTGCCATTTTTTTCCCCTTTCTGTTCTTTCTATAACCTGGAATTTGAATGTGATGGCTGCAGTTCCAGCAGCTGTCTTGTCATTTTGAGGATGAAAATCTTGCACTAAAGATGACAGAGAAGAAAGAGTGAAGGAGTCTCAGTCCCTGGTAATTTCATGAAGAAGCCATCAAGACAGATTTGAACTGCCCCTTCCTCTGGCTTTTGTGAAACAACAAACATATATTATAAGATAAATTAATAGCAGTTAAGTCCCTTTAACTGTTGGGAACTGCCCTGCCTGGTTTCAGGAGCTGTAAACCCCCCATGGCTAAGGCTGAGTGAGTGACCTTCGGACCCTAAGCCACTGAGGAGACAAAGCTTATCTCCCTGGCAGAAGCACTGCTTCTGCTCCTTTTTTTCATACTGGCCTCCAGTGCTTGATCAGTTAGCCAGTGATGGGTAAGATTCCCCAGGGGGGGAACAGCCTAAGACAGGCATGATCATGTGGAGGCCCCAGGGAAGGACTTGGGGGGCTATGGAGAAAGGGGGTGATGGACCCTTGCCCCTCAGCTTTGATGAAGCCTGAGTCCTCATTTCTCCTAATTCCTTGGCTATCTGCCTCTTCTGCCAGACTTAAGCCTGAAACAATGACTGAGGGCGGTGCAGCCCTGTGCTGGAAAGGGCGGTCTCCCCAGGAGATCAGGCCTGAGAAAGGATATGTAAAATCCGTGAAGCCCACTTTGCTAAGAATGATCTTAGTTAAATGATAAAGGCTCGGGCAGAAAATGTGTTTGTTTTCCCGAAGTTTTGTGCCTGACAATGATTAATGAGTTGTACCTGTATTCCTGCGCAAATTAAACCCAATAAAAACCTGTCTAGGCAAGGGTCAGGGCGCTCCCACCTTGAAGGAGTAACCATGCCATCCCTTTTCCTCCATAGGACTCAGTAGTCCGTGTGAATTTGTCTCATGTCTCATCCATGATGCCGTGGACACTGTGGGCCAGTGACCGAGTTACCTTGGTTTGTCCCTCCTTAGTCCAACTTCTTTGGGACTCTCTGAGCTTCCTGGACTTCCTGGAAGTCTATTTCCTTTGCCAGATTGGGGATGTTCTCCTTCATTATGTTTTCAAATAAGTTTTCAGTTTTTTGCTCTTCCTCTTCTCCTTCTGGAAGCCCTATGATTCGGATATTGGAACATTTAAAGATGTCCCAGAGGTTCCTAAGCCTCTCCTCATGTTTTTGAATTCTTGTTTCTTCATTCTGTTCTGGTTGAATATTTATTTCTTTCTTCTGCTCCAAACTATTCATTTGAGTCTCAGTTTCCTTGCTTTCCTGTTGGTTGGTTCCCTATACATTTTCCTTTATTTCACTTAGCATAGCCTTCATTTTTTTCCTCTAGTTGTGACCATATTCATCCAATTCTGTGAGCATCCTGATTATAAGTGTTTTGAACTGTGCATCTGATAAGTTGGCTATCTCTTCGTTTCTTTAGTTGTATTTTTTCTAGAGCTTTGATCTGTTCTTCCATTTTGGCCTTTTTTTTTTTTTTAGGTCTCTGCATGCCTGTTACTTAGTAAGGGGTGGAGCCTTAGGTATTCGCCTAAGGGTGGGGTAACCACATGGCTTCATTGTGACGTCTGTGAGGGAGGGGTCTGAGAAGAACAGTGCAGCTTTTGGCTGGCTTTCAGTCACTTCCCCTGCTACCCACAAGCAAAGTGGGCCCTTCTGGTGCTGATTCCCAGGTGGGGTGGCTTGTATGCATTCTAGGACCCTGTGGGTCTCTCCAGCAATATCTCCTGTGAGGCTGGGAGTTTCTCCCACTGTCTCATCCTTCATAGGAGTTTTCAGTCAGAGGCTTTGAGGTTTTATTTACCCTCACTGGAACCCTGGGTTGCGCGGTCTATCTCACTCTCCAGTTGGTGGTCCATCCGGTCCTTCAGCTGCTGCCTTGCCAGGAGTCCCCTCTGCTGGTCTCCACCCCTCCTACTGGTCTGGGTGAATGCTTCTTTAACTCCTTGGTTGTCAGACTTCCATACAGTTCGATTTTCTGTCAGTTCTGGTTGTTTTTTGTTTTTAAATTCGATGTTATCCTTCTTTTGGTTGTGTGAGGAGGCACAGTATGTCTACCTATGCCTCCATCTTGGCCAGAAGTCCCCTAAAGTTTTTATTTTACTTTTATTAGCATTTATTTTATGCAGAATTTACTCCCAGGCCATAAGTCTTTGTTTCTTCAGTTTCTTCTGGGGTAACTTTTTCTTCCGTGCAACCTCCTCTTCTGGTTTAGGGACAATCTGCTCTTTTTCCGTGAGGATCATCTCAGTGTGGCAGCAAGAGCTCATGGGTGAGTTAATCCGCCCACAAGCTCTGCCACGTCTTGGGAGCTTTACCCTCCTGGGTGTGCTCAATGACCAGGGAACGTACATCCCTTCAGTTCAGCATCATTACTCTTCGAGTTTGAAAGCACTTGCAGCAAAATCAGAGCACTCTTTTTGAGCCACTGACCCTTTGTCCAGCCCCACTGTTTAGCCTGGGCACGCCTACCAACTCCATCCACCATTGTAAGGATGGACACACTGCTTCTCTCAAGTGACATCCTTCAGATACTGGGCAGCTTCTCAGATATGCCTGGGCAGTTTCACTAGTGGTCTTAAAATGGACACGACGATTTGAGCCTTTAGATTTGCATTATTTTGTGGGGTTTTCTGGGTCAAGTGCATAGGTGAACTATTTTTAGAGGTCACTTCAAGCCACTTACAGGAAGGACATGTGTAAGTTTTTAGTGGAAAAACCCACAACTTTTCATTTTGTATAATTTGTCATGTGTATACACGGTAAAGTTGTTTATCCAGCACTTTTCACCATTATGAATGATGCTGCAGGGAACGGCAGGCAGCTGCTTTGCATAAAGTGGGTTCCCTGTTGCAGACAATGTGTTTAGGTGGGAGTTCCAGGAATGGAATTTCCAGATCAAAGGGCACAGCCGCTTCAGAGGCTGGAGCTGTGCATCCTTCCCAGAGACTCGTGCTGCTCCCCCCACCCCCCACCAGCAGTACATAAAAATGCCCTTTGCTCTATGCCCTTTTCACGATCAGCGAATTTCATTTAAGAGATAGTGGCCTGTTTTGGAGAGAAAGAATAGTTTGTCATTGTTGATATAATGTGTACTCATTGGGTTGCTAGTGAAGTGGGCTGTTTACCCCAAAGTATGCTGTCTCGTAGTGTTCTTTTTGGGAAAATGATCTGTTAGTCATCTGTCAAGGTCTTACTGATTTTCCTTGCCGATTGAAAAAGTTCCTTTTAAAGAGTTTTGTATATATCAAGGATATTTGCATGTTTTTAACTTTTGTTGTCTTTTGTTATAACTTTTTACCTGGTTTATTATTTTTGTACATATAGAAATACAACATTAAAACTACTGTGCCGGCCCTGGCTGGTGTAGCTCAGTGGATTGAGCACAGGCCTGCGAACCAGACAATCGAGGTTCGATTCCCAGTCAGGGCACATGCCTGGGTTGCAGACCAGTTCCCTGCAGGCCAGTTCCCAGCAGGGGACGCACGAAAGGCAACCATACATTGATGTTTCTCTCCCTCTCTCCTTCCCTTCCCCTCTAAAGATAAATAAGTAAAATATTTAAAACTACTGTGCCATAAGTCTTTCCTGTTTTTCAGTGATTTCTTTCACTGTTTTTATACAAAGGAAGTACTTTCCCCTTTCAGAGATTAGGTAAATATTCATTTATCTTTTCATCCACCATCTATCACTTTAAAGATGTTTGACTTGTCAAGCATTGCTCTACTACCTCGCCCCCCCCCCCATTCTACAAACTTGTAAAAGACAAAAGAATTAAGCCCATTAAAAGGATCCCAGGGTAGAAATTTCAGGTAGTCCTGTAATCCCCAAACGTCAGCAGGATACGTTCTGCGTCTTCCTAGGGGACTGCAGGCCCTAAGTGCTGTACAGCAGGAGGCACATATTCCACCAGACACTGCTTCCAATGCTTCTTTCTCGAGGACAATGATTTTTTTCTGTGCTCCATTTATTTCATACCCTTGGTTTGTTTTCCAGGGAACTGGTCCACTGTCATTAGCTCAGCCTTAGCTGTATACCAGTGTAGCTGGGACCTGGAATTCGAAATCTTGAGAATACCCCTTTATCTTTTATGAACTCAAAAGACTTCTCTGTTCTGGAGTATTCTACTGTCGCTTTTGGAGAAGGGCCTGAATTGCTGATTTTTTGGCAGGTGGAGTTTCAGCTTCTTAAGAACTCTTTCCATCAAGGAAAACCGCTTTCTTCCTCCTCCAGCCCGGGCAGCAGCGCCCGCTGTGAGTCGTCCTGCTGTCTGTCCTTGTTAGAGGCGGGGGATTTCTTGGCAATAGTGTAAAAGACCGTGGTGCGGGGCAGGGGATTATTGAAGCTGAGAGTCCAGGACTGTAGACTGAAGCTTTTTAGAACTCCTGGTTTGAGGAAGTCTGGGATTCCCTTCTCTTATGATCTTGTCTGGAATTCTCTTCTCTTTATGATCTTTTTGCGGAGATCTGTACGATCTCTGCAAATACATAGATTTCTTCCTCCCTGATGAATCTCCTGGGGGTGCCACAGTCCGTGCGCCTCACCACAGATGGCCACAAGGGGGAGCCCAGCGCGCTTTTTTTCCTTCCACTTGCGCCCGAGAGAAAACCTCTTTTCTGTCCCCCTGGGGGAGCCCGAGAGGCCTTTGCAGACGATGAGGGAACCTTCCTGCTAGGTTTTCACCTTTCAGGGGGTATGGGAAGTGTACCCTGGTCAAACCAGACAGTCCCATCTTCTTCATTTGCTTGCTCACTCTTTATCCCTTATCATGGCCTAAAGTAAGGGACCCCTCTGTAGTCATTTTCCAGTTAACTGTTAACAGAAACTTAAAAAATATATATACTTTCTATTATTCCAGAACATCAAATGGTTATCCCCTAAATTAAAGATGTGCTAATACTTTAGGGAAGCCAGAGAGCTAGAAGCCAGAGCCTCAGCTGCCTCCCCAGGGATGGCCGGCCTAGTGCGGTTCGTCTGGGGCTGGGAAGAGCAGTCTTCTCTAAGCAGGCTCTCCTGCCTTGTTTGTTGACACCGAGGACAACAGCTCTGGAAGTGAGGGCTTCCATTGTGAGAGAAGCTATTCAACAGTAACAACGGCCAACATCATTAGATGTGGCAGGTGGGGGACAGAAAGAACCCAAAATAGAATTTTTAAAAAATGGCCTTAGTGCCCTGGCCAGGTAGCTTAGTTGGTTAGAGTGTCATCTAGGTACACCAAGGCTGTGGGTTTGATCCTGGGTCGGGGCACATGCAAGAAGCAACCAGTAGGTTCATAAACAAGTGAAACAAACTGATCTCTCTCTCTCTCTATCCCTCTCCCCTTCTTCTCTGTCTAAAATCAATCAATCAATCAATCAATCAATCAATAAAAATAAAAATGACATTGGATATTAACATACATCCAGGTATAGCAGCAGCAGCTTCCCAATTCACTTTCTGATGACAAAACATGTAGGAAAGGTAAGACATTAGAAATTAAGACTGCCAGTTTATTTTACTTCTATCTTAAAAATGGTCAGGGATGCTAACTGGCTGTAGGGAAGGGACTAGTTTAAACTGAGAACACAGAAAAGAACTACTTGAATAACGTTGCCTGAAGGCCTTCTCACCAATGGAATAAACAGGAAGGAGAGAATTTTGGCAAGCTCTCCCACCAGGAGGCTGTTGGCAAGTCTCACCTCCCGGTCAGTGAGGTGCTCTTGATGGAGAGAGGGTGAGAAAGGGCAGCAGTGAGGAGCAACTCCGCACTGGGTGGCTGTGCCGGGCCAGTCCTCGGCTGGAGAGCAGGAGAGGCTTTCAGAATCTGCTGATTCAAAGCTTTCTTCTATCACTTAAATTTAAAGAACAGCGAAGAATTCACAAGAAACTTGAGGAAGCTTCCGTGATTAGTCTTCATCCATCCATGTCTGTGAAGCTGAATGACACCAGGATTGCCCCTTGTCTAAAAATGAGAATGGTGTTTTTGTCTTAGCTCTGGCAGGGGGTCCCTTTACCTCCCGGGGACTGAGTTTCCTCCCTTGAAAGTGAGAGTCTCTTGTGCTTCCATGTGAGAGACAAGCGTCAGCTCTCCAGTGTTTTTCCCCTCCCCTTGGGCAGCCAGGAAACTCAAGTCAAATTCAAAGCTGCAGGAACCCTGCAGGATTCCTGGCTTGATATCTCGATACCGTTTTCCTTCCTTGGCAATAGTGTAAATGACAGTCCAAGGCAAGGTTTTGACCTTCTGTTCTAACTTTTGTTTTCCCAGATCTTAGCATCTTATTATTTTCCACATTTAACATTTTATTGTATACTTCTTTTACACTGTCCCTCTGATCTTCGGTGTGATGAGCATGGTATTAAAAGATGGTAAAGTGGATGGCTGGGGGTGGGTCACACCAGACGAGTTCCAGGGGCCCTTCCGGTGCGATGTGCTGTGATTCTAAGGGGAAAGGTCATTTCACATGTTGGGAAGCTGCCAGGTTTGCCTTGAATGGAGCTCTCCTGCTGAGGTTCCCAGGACTTCAGTGAGCCTCTGAGGAGGCCTGGCCAGTGTGTTCTCCTGCATTGCTGGGCTGTGTCAGCAAAGGAGCTGGCACCCTGGGCTCGTTTACAGGGAGATAATGTTCTGTTGGGAGACTTGCCTTGTGAGAAATTGGTGGAGAAGTGCCTGTTTGAGGCAGGGTGCGAGGATTTGCAGCTGAATCCAGAACCCCAAGGATTTTGATGTGAGTGGTCCCGAGTCACACTTGGATTTAAGAAAAGTGCCAGGGAATGTGTATGTGTATTTGGGAGGTGGGGTAGATGCTGGCAGAAGATAATCGATGCCTCTTTCATTTCATCCATGTGCTTATTTTGATTTTCTATTGTACAAAGTACCTTGATAGGGCTTAAATTACTTTATGAGTGCTTATATACAAATTGATCATATCTATAAGATCATACATATTTTAAAGGCATACTCCTACTTCGAGTAGACGAAAAGCTTTGAAAACATATATTAAATACACATCAATTACTAAGCAGTTATTCATTTTCAAAATGGCTTATTATTTTACCAAGGGGTCCATCATGGGTCCCATTAAATATCTATGTGTGACTTGTTTTGACAAGGATTTTCCTTGTCAAAAGGTGAAAGCACATCACCTCTGCTCTGGAAAGCGGAAGAGTTATACAGAAACTCCAGAGTCGATCCCTGTAGATTTGGTTGTTCTGATTTGTGCCATGAAAGTCAGTAATAAGCTAGAGGTGTACATTTCAGACAGTGATAAAAGTTTGAGTAGTTACTACTTTTATTCCTGAACATAAAGAAGGCTTGAGCCTTTCTGGAATTGTTTGTTCCTTTACTCTGTAAGCCAGATCTTGTTTATACATGGCTGAAAATAGCCTCTGTTTGGAGTTTTTATTGGCCAGATTCTGGTGTTTTGGGACCATCCTGTTAGTTTCTTTGAACAAAGTGATGCTACTCCACATGTTTTTTTAGACTTTCAGGACGCCAGTCAGGGGAACTTGTCTGTGCTATACTGGGAGATAATGAAGACTTCGACTTTAGGCACAAGATCTGCTTTTCCTCTGAGAAGGACAGTGGGATCCCATTGATCCTTTGTATCAGGGGTGGATTTACTTTCTGTAGATGTCAACTTCTGAGGTTCCTGTGCTTTGTTATCACAAGAGTTCACGTTTATTCATGCATGGTGTTCATTCACGGAAGTTACCACCATTCTGCAGATGAGAAAACTGAGACATGGAGGAAGAGGTACCTAAGTTGGCTTGGGTTCCATGTTGAATTGGAGGTAGAGCCCAGGTCTCTGATTAACTGAAGTAGGTAATTGACACCATACCTTTCTCTTTGGGAAGAACTGGCCCAACAATAATGGCTGCTAAGCACTTTTGCTTTTTAAGTTTTCAAGTGCTTTTTTTTTTTTGTCTTTGGTTATCTATCTGTTAAGAGTTTGTTTTCTGTCTGGATAGATTTGTCCCAGGTGAGAATGAGAAATTTTATTTTAATGATAATGTTGAGCCCTGGCTGGGTGGCTTAGTTGGTTGAAGCATCATCCCATACACCAAAAGGCTGTGAGTTTAATTCCAGGTCAGGGCACACATATAGGTTGTGGATTCGATCCCTGGTTGGGGTGTGTGCAGGCAGCAACTGATCGGTGCTTCTCTCACTTCAGTGCTTCTCTCTCTCTCTCTCTCAAATCAGTCATAAAAATATATATCCTTGGGTGAGGATCAAAAAAAGGTGGATAATGTTGAGTAGCCAACAAATGTGAAGGTGAAAGAGCTCAAATAAAAAAGAAAATGTGATAGAAAGACAATGTTGGGATTAGAGGGAGTCCATTAAATAGCTCTGCTCTTTCCTGCCTTTGTTTTTAATGGTTGAGGCAGAAGAGGGAGACACATGGAAACTACCGCGTCCCCTTCATTACAGATCAGGCGGGTCCTGGGGAATGGGGGCTGCAGCTGTAACGAGTAGAGGTCCCACTGCGTGTGGCCCTCCTCTGCCCCAGTAATGGGCAGCACTGGCCTGAGACGGGTCCCCCCTCTCCAGGGGCAGACCTGCTCCACGGAGAGCTCAGCACCCCGAGGAGTCTGCCCCCGGCTGAGAGGGAGGGGCTGGGCTCCCTCTGCCTGGGGCGTCCTTCCACATTCTCCACTCAGGTGACCCATACCTCCCCTCCCTGTTCAAAGGAGGGACGGGACTGAGTGTGGCCAGGAGTATTACCCTAAAGGGAGTGGAGGAGACCCCAGGAAAGGGAGGAAAACACCCAACAAACCGGAAGGACAGTCAAAGCCTGAGTTCTCCCTTTGAGGGAACTATGGGAGATATTTGATATTTGTGTTTAGGGTCTGTAACTGTGCCAGCAGGCCAGTAAATTAACTTGCTTTTGTTCTGTTTCAACTTTTAGATTCTTAGCTATCAGAACACTGTCTTCTTTGGTGGATCCTGTATTTCCATGATCGATTACCTCTTTTGGCCCTGGTTTGAGCGACTGGATGTATATGGAATAGCTGAGTAAGACATTCGACCTTGTGGGCACGGATTCCTGGGGGCGGACTGGGTGACCGTGGTTGAAACTGAAACGGTCTGTGTGCCATTCATATCTTGCGGGCATGTTTCATGACGCCTGTGAAATGAAGTCAGGTTTTAAACTGTTTCCTTGTTCAAACTCACCTGTGCTCTTCTGCCACTGTGTGTGGACCCAAACGTCCCCCATATTTCTGCTAGTAAGACACTGTCCAAAAGCCTCCCGTAGAGCCCCGGAGTCGCTGTCCTCAGAAGCCCGTCCAAACTCAGGCCAGTGGTGAAAGCAATTGGTAAGTCCCAGTCACAGGGTTTTGGTGATTTGTCTCAGCTCCCTTGGTGGCCATGCACCTGGACCTCCTGAGTCCCCCAGGGGACACCATACATGTTACTCACATCTTAGTTCTGAGGAATCTTCCCCGGATAAGAATATTTCTTTTAATAGATTATTTTAAAAGCAATAGATGCTTGATGTTAAAACTAACAAATGAAGTGGCTGCCATGGAAGTGCAGGGATATTTCAAGTAGAAGAAATTGCCTGGGAGACTCAGAGGGGCTATGTCAGAGCCCTGGGCAGGACACATGCTTTGTTGTCACAACGCTGAGAGGACAAATGCTGGCACCTGCTCTAATCCCAGCCAGCCACCTGGTGGGTGCTGCACAGTTCTGGCATCTGGGAACTCGGTCCTGCCCAGCCGCAGCTGCACCTGTACCCTTATAATGCATGGGCTTGACTCGGCCCAGGTGTCCTCTGCACTCCCCGCTGTGACTGTCTTGGAGGGGAGATCCGATTTAACATATTTAGATATTTTAACTCTGTCTCAATATAAGCATCATGAAGAGCCGCCTCCTGTGGGGACAGAGCACTGAGCCACAGGCCGGGAGCCCTCACCTCTGCTCCCGGACCCCCACTAACCGGCTGCGTAGCTTGAACAAGTCACGTGACATATTCTAGACCTAGATTTCCTGATCTATCTTTGAAATAATAAAGCACAATCATCTCCATTATTTCAAAGTTTGATGATTGTTTTACTCATTTAAAAAAGTTTGGAAATGACTAGTTTTTATTTTTTAAACTCCCTAAAGCAAAATCCAAGAGTGACAGAAGAATATCTCTCTCAGAGGGCAGTCATTTAGTTGGTAAACAGCGAGGGATAGGCACCTTATTCCCCCAGAACAAGCAGCCCGAAAGTATTTTAACCGTATTGTCAAACTCAACAGTGACTCATACAATTCAAAAGCACACACAGGTATTCCAAAAATAAGATTTTTCCTTTAGTAATGATCATACTCAGTTGATAAGAAGGTAACTAGGATGACTTTATTGTCCTAGGAAACTCATTGTTTGTATCTTATAAATCTGAAAAGTGGGCCCATGCCATTTTTCCCACCGCCTTCCTCCTCAGCGGAGCTAATGCTTCTTTCCTGCCCTGCAGCTGCGTGAACCACACCCCGGCGCTTCGGCTCTGGATAGCGGCTATGAAGCGGGACCCCGCAGTGTGCGCCCTTCTCATAGACAAGAGTATTTTCCTGGGCTTCTTGAATCTCTATTTTCAGAACCACCCCGAAGCCTTTGACTATGGGCTCAGTTGCTGAGCCTGACCACCCAGAACTCTCAGCCATGCCGTGATTCTGTATCAGGAAGTGTTTGGGCGGATCAATTAGTTTTTTTTTTTTCATTTTCCTTGAAGTTCGCAATAAACAAGGAGACAGAAAAGGTGTTCTTTCTGATAATCACTTGTATGACTCCTCTGGCCCACAGGTTCTAAGGATTGTTTAGAAATCTAGTGCCCAATGCGAACATCCAAGTGCACAGTATGGGAGCTTGCGTGGGGCCTGACCCCTTGGCCTTTGGCCCAGTTTGACCTCAAGATTATTGACGCTGATGTTGAGGTTAAAGGCCTACCCATCACTGACATTGGCCACTATAGACTGGCATCCTCTACAACTTCCCTGGTAGGAGGGAAACTAGAGAGGAAAAGGAAGAAGAAAACACTCCAAGTTCAAATTCTCTCTGATTGGCAGACTAAAGCTTCAGTCCGCGTGAGTGTGCATGAGTGTCATTCTCACTCAGACTTTGGCTGTGGGCCTGGCCGACACCAACGGTCTCATGACTGAAAGAATTCCAAAGCAGGAAACGAAACGCCCGTTATCACCCTGGACAATGACGTCAGAGTTTTACTGGTGCTGTCGGAACTCAGGATGGCTCACAAAATGTTCTATAGTTGACATCCTGCCTTAAAAAATACCCGTGTCCCAAACCCAGTCACGGGCAAAGGCCACTCTGTTGAATGTGCGTCACACACTTTTTCAGTTTATCACAGCAAGTGCCTCTGGTTGCCTGTTGTTTACCAAGCCATGGGCCATCCATGTGACAGAGGTGATAAAGATGACCAAGACACAGGAGCAGGCCCTGATCTCTCCACTCATTTTGGTCGCAGTGTTAGACCTAGTGTTTTGGAGTTGCTTGTCTTGCTGTGAGAGAGCTTGTTTCAGCTGCATATGGCCCCTCTGCTGGCTCCGACCTGGGAAGGTGTCAAAGGCCCCGAAGAATGGCCTGGTGTGCTGGCAGGTGCCCCAGGAGAGGGACGGGCTTCTCCAATGCCATTTTGTCTCAGAGTCTAGGGATAAGCCTGTGTCCCTTCTAGCTCTGTTCTGCCTGATCTCTTCCCAGCCTCTAGCCAGGCTGAGAGACCAGGCAGCAACAGGGGTGATGTTTTTAATTGTCGGTGTCCACGGAGGCGCTGTCTGCTGCTCCTGCCTCTGACTCAGCCCAAACCAGCCCTGTTTCTCCCCGTGTCTCAGCCTGGCCCAGCCATCTGCTGCCTCTGCGTGGGTTTTGACTCATGTAAATAGTTCCCAGTGTGACTCTGTGCCGGTTGGACAGAAGCAAGCCTGCTTGGTCAGGTGGCCTGGTCTGCTGTAGCAGGCACCGCATGACAAGGGCCATGACAAGGCCCGAGTCTGCTGTGCCATCTGCTCAGGATGGGGCATCCTGTTGCCATGGCACCCAAGCCAATGCAGAGAGATCTGCGCATCACACTTCCCTGGGATCTCTGCTTGGCTGCTGAGGCCTCTCCTAGGACGAGGGGGCTGATCAGTCTCTGCAGGTATAAATCCTGTGTGCTGGCAAGTGTTCAGTGTGGGGCCAAAATCGCTATCAGCACAACAGTTAATGGCATGTCTCTGATGGCCAAAACCAAAGACGTTTTCTTCTGGGGCCCCACACCGTGACTGAGAAAGCTTGAAGAACCAGGAAATAAAGCATGGGGGACAGTGCTTGTGGGCCAGGTTGCAGGCCTGCCGCCCACAGCCCAGTTCGGGATTTGAGTGCCTTCCCGCCAGCTGTGCTCGGCATTTTGCCAGGATCACCTGCACCGCCTTCCACCCTCCACTTTCTCTTTGTCATTTTTTTTAATGCCACCCACAGAAGAACCTGGGCTGTCAGTGTCCTGGTGAATCTAGGATTTAGCCTGGAGAAGAGAGGAAATCAGATAATGCCCCATGAGGAGCTTTTGAAAACACTACTTCTTTTATAGGGGGGGGTGGAGGTAGGGGTGGCAGCAATAACTTATCAGGGTAATAAAAACACAATGAGAAAGAATAGGAGGCATTTCATCAGCTCATGTCTCAGAGAGAACCACTTTAATAATTGATGTATATCGTATAAAAGTATGTTAAATTTAAGGAATTAAGGTTCAACCGAGGACAGCACTGGAAGGCGCCTCGTTGTCATAGGCAATACGAGCACCTGAGTCCGTGAGCACAGGAAGCTGTGGAAGCTCCCTTAGAAGTTCTGCAGTGGAGCCACCTGGACTAAGTCTCGTTATATCCTGACATGGTGGGGGGGGCTGTGAAGGTGGCCTGGACAGGTGGCAGGGGTGTGGTGGTTGGTGGCGGGGAGGAGGAGATGGTACTAAATGTTACTTGAAATTCCTTTTAGCTCTGAATTTCTCTGATCTCAGGCAACAGAGTGGCTGTGAGTGTCAGAGTGGGTTAACTCTGAATCATCAGGTGTAAGCTAGAGCGGTCCCTTCAGGGCTGCAGGGTCTGCCTGCCTGTCCGCCACGGCCACGTTGCTCCTTGAAAGCTGTGGTGGTGGCTGGGGCGGGGGAAGGCTTCTCCCTTGCATCTCTCCCTTCATGTCCGGCCTGATCCACATTTCCTTTGTCAAAGGCAATGGCCTTGATGGAGGCTGACTGTGCTACTCGGCTCGAGAACCAAGCTTGACTGCTCTGTGGTTAATGTCCCATGGGTTATCTAAAGTCTTTACAAATCACCAAATATCCAGCCCATGGGGGATCTCAGTGATTCGTCTCCAGCCCCTCGCCCCCTTTTCTTGCCACGCTGAGCACTGCCCGCCCAGGAGCCCCATTGCCCATTGATTCCCATTTGTGAATCCCTGGAAGGCTGGACATTTGGTCTTTTCAAACCTTTTTCTCCCATCTGGCTTGCCAGAGCTCTTGAAGCTTTGCAAATGCTGTTTCCTCCACTCTCCAATCGTCCCCATCAGAGCAGCCTTTTGGATTTTTTTTTCAACCAGTTTTTTCTCTTGCCAAGTTCAGATCAAAATTCTCTGAGCAGAGGTGGTGTACCTAGTAGACAAGAGCAGGGCTGTGCACTCTGACATACCAGGTTCAAATTCTAGCTGTGCACTCAATTCTGTAAGTTGATTAATTAATCTAAGCCTCAGTTTTCTTAATCTATAAAATAGGACCACTGAGTGACTGTTTTAGAGGGTTGTTGAGAAATGATGGGATTATCCAGGTAGGGGTTTAGTGTCTGCCAGGGAAATGCTCAGTTCTCATCATAGGGCAACTCTATGACCGTGACAAGGCTTCCGAAAATGATCAGATTTGAACTTTGCTCATTCTCCCATCACTTGGGAACAAAATGTACTACATTATACTTAGGTTGATTCATGGTTTGGAGTTGTTTTCTGGTTGTTTCATGTGTTGAGATTTAATCTCAAATGACCCCTGGGGAGCCTCTTCCAGCAGCACAGGACTGGGGTGGGGGACGGGGAAGAGAGGGGGATGGGTGTCTCTTAGCAGGAGCAGCCTTTGCGAAACCTGGAATATTTGGGTCATGCTCAGGGGTTTAGAAAAACACTCAAAAGGTGTGTGTGTGTGTGTGTGTGTGTGTGTGTGTGTGTTTCCGTGCATTTCTGCCATTTGGAGAAGGTAGCGGGAGGCATCACGGGGAACTCTGTAAATAGTAAGAGCAGGAGGTATTTTTAAAATTCCATCCTGAACTAAGTGGTACTTGGCAGTTCATGACTAGGGGCTCCCTCAAGGCAGGAATAGCGTCTCCCTTGAACTTTGTTTTCCTAGCGCCTGGCACAGTGCCTAGCACATAGCAGCCACTCAGTAAGCGTTTTGAGAATAAGCAAATATAGGACTGGATGAGTGACAGAATGGATTACAGATGACCCAGAGGCCTGGACCCCTTCCAGGCAGCCATTGCGAGGCAGCTGTCACAGCTCTTTACCCACTTTGCTGCCTGGAAGGCACCCACGTCCCCTGAGAAGTGACGTCCTTCCTACCTGGTACCCTTGCTCTGGCTGTACACTTTCTGGACTCTCAGTCTCACCGGTCTCTGCACAGCTTTGTCATGGGAGAGGCTAGTGGGCAGAAACTCCCCTGTGGACCTCCATTTTGAGTGGGCACGTGGAGACAGGGCAGAGACCTGCTCTTGTCCCTCCCTCTGCATCGTTCAGCACCCACACTGGGCAAGACTGCTGCTTGAAGTCTTGTCTTGCTCTAGGTCAGCGGAGCTACAGTAGCTGCTCTGGGTCAGCGGAGCTGCAGTAGCTGCCCTGCTTAGCAGGACTGTAAAAGGCTGCAGGGAGGAAACGTGTGCAGAGAGTTTCTTAAGAGCAGGTCCAGACAAGGCTGCGTGTATCGGGGGGAATGAACACCACCAACCTCCATGGCCCTGGATCTGGTTCTGCTTCAGCTTCTGCTATCGACACTCTGGGGTAGGGGGGGATGTACGGACCGACTCATGTCCTTTGCTGGGAGGTATCAGGGCTGGCCTGCCCGTTTAATTCCTGGGGGCCTGATTCAGCACTAACCATGCTTTCTGGCCGAGAACCAGGGCTGCTGTCAGCCTTTTGGGGTCCAACCACTGTCTCAAGAGACCCTGGGTCTGGCATAGCAAGTTCACTCTGCAGGAATAGTGAGTGCACAACGAGCCTGCGGGGGCTGGGCGAGTCATCTCTGGCCAGCTGGGAGGACAGGCCCAAGGTGGCTTGTGAGAAGCGGCAGGAAGTGGGTCTTTAATTTCTATTTCTATGTTACGTAGTTGCCCTCAGAGAACCTAAAATATCACTGATTGGTGGGTTTTAAAGAAGCCGATGGGATCCTATCTACCCCTGCCCAGCAAATCTCCCCTTGCACTTTTAAGACCTGTTTTCCTGTCAAGAAAAGTAGAAAAACATACCTTTGAACATTTTTGAGGTTTATGCGGTTGCACCTTCTTGGGAGATAATTTGTTGACAGTTTTATTTTCTGGTTTCTCTGTGGGGCTTGGAGGAACATCGACAATGGAAAAGTGTGTTTCACCTAATGAAGCAAGGACCCCACATTGCGCAGGAGGCAGGCAACTGTCCTGGGCTCCAAGGAACGGGACACGCGTCCGGGGACAGAACGCGAACTCTGATGAGCGGATTTCTTCGGGGAGGTTCTTCCCCTTTTCCCACATATAAGGGAGCCGATGTTAAAACTGAAACCCACAGCTGACGTGGCTTCCACTCCCCTCACCTGGGGTCCAGAGCTGCACCGTTTCACCTTCGGTCACCGCTGCCCTTCATTGTTCTCGGACTTATGTTGTGGCCACTGGTCTGCTTTTCCTAAAAGACCCAGATGCCTGGGGACGCAGCCCTTGTTGCGTCCTCCTGTTCCTCACCCAGTGCCCAACCCGGGGTGGGACATGAGCCGCATTTGGTTCAACACAGGCTTTTCCTCACTCTGGTGTCATGAGGGTTGACTAAATCCCAGGCAAGTTTACTTTACGGTCAGGTGCTTGGCCGTGAATCAGTAGGTGGTCTGCTGTCGATACAGTGTGTACCAGTCATCAGAGGAGGAAAGGTCATTCTGAACAGGCTTCGAAGCACGGTGTGCACTGCAGTGTTGATTACAATAGCAAAAAAAAGTGGGAGTGGGTGGGGCATTTAAGTGTTTCTCAGCAGACGAGGCTGGGTGAATTACGGGACATCCATCCGTACATACAGAGGGATAGTAAGCAGCTATTTGAAAGAATATGGTACAATCAAGCATTCAAAAAAAATCCAAGGAAAGTTAGATGCTGTGATGCAATTTATGGAAACAAGAATAAAAGCAATGTATCCACACACATGATACATCACAGAAAAATTTAGGACACATAGACAAGAAACTTCACACTGGTGATTGCTGGGAAATGGACTGAGAAGTCAGGAGCAGGAGCTCTTACCTGTTACTTATTTTTCTGCCAGTGGTCAAAAAGTTTTAATCATCACTGTATTGTTTTTATTTTAAAAAAACTAGTTAGGAAAACAAGCTATCTTTGATGGCAATGAGAAAAATTCTAAAAGATGCCCCTCCCAGGAGGTAGAGCCAGTCAAGGCAGAGGAGGGTGAAGAGGGCGGGGACGAGGAAAGTTCAAGGAGTTGAAGGCACACTCCCGTTACTGTGTGGTTCTTGGCTGTCTCTGCTGGAGGTCCGCTGGCCAAACCAAACAGCCTTCCAGCTCAATCCCATGAGGTGGAGACAGGACGGGGCATGAGAATGTTCTCAATCACAGCCTGCAGAGTGACATCAGTTAGGACTTCTGGGACACTCACTGGCTGCTGCCACAGCTGCCACCGACCCCCTCTGGAAGCCAGCCACAGACCCCCATGGCACATAACAGGGCCGATCACACAGTTCAGGGCTTCCTAGTTTTGGGTGAATCGAGTTGCTCTCTCACTCAAAGATCACCAATAGCTAGTTCGCCACTGTATTAAGTCTGCATTTTATTATGAAATAACTTAATGTATCAAGTTCAAATTTACCTTGGTGTTCAAGGCTATGGGCAGCCCCACTCAACACTTTTCAAATGAATATGCTGTGATTTCTCAGTACACAGCAGCACACACTTCAGCATCGCCTGGGTTTGAGGCCTGGCTTTGTTACCACCGCATGACTCTGGAGAAGTCACTTCACCCTTCGGTGCCTCAGTTTCCTCATCTGGAAAATAACAGCCCTCACATCACAGGGTCGACATAAGAATTAAGCGACTTTTGGAAAAGGCATGTAGAAGTGTGCCTGGCACACAGCAGATGCTACTTCAATGCTGCCTACATGTTAGGCTTCCCCATGCTTGCTCCACGGTTCGGGCTGGAATGCTTTTCTCGGCCAGTGCTGCCCATCTTTCCAAAGCTGTATCAGGCAGCGCCCGACCTTGAGGGCTGCCCCAATCCCTCCAGGTTATCAGTGGTTCTTGAACTTTCAGAAGCACCAGGGGAACTCGGCAAGGTGCAGATTCTTGAGCCTGACTCCTACCTGCCAGCAAAGTCTGCGGCACGGCTCCAGGTGATAACCCGCACCAGGTGGTAACCAGTGGTTAGTCGAGGCCACAAGTGGAGAAGCAGCCCCGATTGGGCCTCCCCTCCGACCCACCAGCAGCACACCTCCGTCTCTCCTGCAGCACTTCCCACAGGTGAGCACGTGGGAGGCCGCTTTATTGTATTGTCCTTGCCAGGGCACAGGCTTGTTCCTACTTACTTTCCTATCTTCCACAATGCCTCACGCACATTAGGCTCCCAATGAGCACTACCAGACTATTCATGACCTGCTAGAAAGAAGTGCCCACCAGCTTTCCCCTCCCCCATCCCCTCTGCTCCTCTTATCAGTGGCGTGAGTGTGGGGATACTTGTGGGAAGTTGTGCTGTAGTGATGCCACTGGGGCGGTGGATCCCCAGTGGGCTCACTGGCTTCTCCCAGATCTGTCTTCCAATAGCTCTGCGGGGAGGCAGACCTTGAGTTTTCTTTCACGTTCTATCTGGAAAGGACATAAAAAGCCATCCTCAACTAGGGGTGTCGTCAGTTACTAGCGGGAGCTCAGGAAATAAAGCCTTACCTGGGCACCATGCGGGTTCAAGGTGGGGTGTGAGCATTTGACCAAACTCTCCAGGTGTTTCTGATGACAACTTAATTATGAACCGAAGTTCTCAACCTGGGCTGTGCTTTAGCAGGGCGCAGGAGGGGCTGGGGCTTTGGAGGGTGTGCGGCCCACCCCAGCCCAAGGAACCTCTGGGCCTCGGGCCAACCTTACTCATTTTAGGCTCGTGAGGAGGCTCAGCAAAATGCATCCTGGGAGCATCCGGCACAGTAGGTGAGCAGATGCTGGGTAAAGACCAGAATCCTGGAGAAGGGGGAAGAAGAACGGGGGGACTGTCCTTAGTGGACAGGCCTACGTGTCCCAAAGGGCCAGAACTCTTGCACCTAAGAAAACCTCTCTCTTTGAAAACCGAAAGCTTCCCGATACTTCCGGCTCCCGCGTTTCTTTGCACACGTCCAGCTCTGTCAGTAAGGTCTTGGGCTGGGCTCTACCCTGCAGTGCCCTTCCGAGGCCCTTTCTGGAACTCTGCAGGCTTCCTCAAAGATGGGCTAGAAATGTTCTATTTTGCTAACTTAAAAAAAAAAAAGTTTCCTGAAAGCATAAGATAAAAAGGGGTGAAAGCGTCTGCTGGTCAATAGGAAATCCACCCCCTTCCCAGCTCGGCCCTGGGAACCTCGGCAATTAAAAACAAACAGCGACCAGTTTCTCCTCTTTGCAGGAATTTAATTCTTCCTTTAATATAAATAAGGCAGCATGAACACCAAGAGCCTTGCTGCTTTCTGCTTCAGAAGCCGCTTCGGTGCATAAAAGATCCCCATTTCCCTGCTGAGTTCTGTCCTCTCTGTCTAAACAAGGTATTTTTTCAGTGGACTTTCTCCTGGAAGCATAGGGGAAGCTGAGGATCAGGCTTGGTCTCAACCTCTGGAGGCTGGTTCTTGGTTGCTGGGGTCTCTTCCAAGCACAAGATAAAGAGGAAGAAGGGAAAAGAAAGGCATAGGGGATAATAAATAAGGAAATTCATCCCGGCTCTGGAAATGAAGCCCAGCAGAATGAGGGGCTCCAGGCTATTGTTGGAAACCACGTAGGCAGGATTGGTCCCTGGAAGGCCAGCCACTGTGGGCCTGGGGAGCAGCAGACCCACGCACTGCTCCGTCTAACTCCAGCTCACATGGAAGGCTTCCTACAAGCTTCAGTGCCCCACTGTGGCTGAGCTGCACACCCTGAATTAACCCTGTTGGGCAAACTGTCCATCTTGAGCGCTTTGAGTCCAGGTGAGAGCACTCCTGGGGTAGGGACAATATCCTTTCTTCAGTTGGCAGGGAGTCCAACGGCCTGTGGAACAGAGTGTGCCGTCTGGAAGGTACCACCCGCTTTCACGCTGGAGGGAGGACCCAGGTGCTGCAGAAGGCACACTGGTTCTTGCCTCCTCCTTGGCCCTCTGCACGGGTTACTGAGGCAATGCTGAGAGAGGAAATCCCGAAGGACCAGTGAAGCCACAGCGGAGGAGGAACGCTTCCCAACCCTTCTGAACCAGGTCTGGAGACAGGGACCGGCTCCAACCGCAGGCCCTGGTGCCTGCCAAGTGACCGCAGCCCCAGCAGTAGCAAGGTGGCCTCTCTGAGGCCTGGGAGCTGTGCCCACAATGCTGTCCCTGTGTGTTCCTAGTTAGCTGAGCTGTTGGGTTCTTAGGGTTTCAGTCATCTGTGTGGCCAGCAAAGCCCACCCAGAACAGGCATTCTGTGTGGTGAGGGAATTCTGCTGGAGTGAATAGCTGGGGGGTCTTGGGCTTGTAGACAGGAGCTGGGTTCCCACAGTTGCTCTTACTTCCAAGGATGCCCTGCTCTAGAACCGGGGCCCTGAGGAGTACTCCGAGCAACAGCACTCCTCACCTCTCAGCTTTGCAACTTCCTCTGAACCCCAGGTGCTAGGCTGCCCTTCACCCCAGTCACCCTGTGCCTCTCCTTTTCTATCAGCTTTCACCTTCAGCCTCTGCCCTCCCCCACCAGCTGTGAAGAGAAAAAGGAGGGGTGAGGGACAACTGAATTTGTACCCAGCATGGTATGTGGAGCCCATGGTGGTAGGGACACAGCACCAAGCTGGGGAGAGGGGCAGGGTGAAGGGGGTGCACTCTGAATGAGGCGTGTAGCTGAAAAAGTGGTCACCTTAAACTTCTGCCACCAAGTACCCACTTCTGTGCAACAGAGACACTAGCCACTTGGGGCCTTGAATCTCTATTAGGTCTTGTCTCCAAATAGTACAAAAACATGCCAGCCACAGCCTGTGAAGGCTGTGAATGGACGGTTGCGAATTCCCACATCTGTCCCTATTAGCGCTTTGGTAGCAGATGCCTGGGGATGAGGGTTCCTGGAAATAGGGGTGTGCAGTCTTATCGTGGATCCCTGTCAGCATCCCTTCAATTCTCTGCTGATATTCAAGTAAAGACTGGACCCGCGACATAAAAAAAATTACTCCTAAGTGATGTTGCATTATTTCAAACTCAGTGTTCACAGAGTGTTCCGTCATCGTCTTGGCCGTTCGTGATGATCCAAAGGTAAAGGCCGCAAAGGCTCTGGCCCCAAACCCAGATAATAGCCTCACTGGCCAGCCCAGACACGTGAAAGCAAACTACCTTCCAGCTTGGAATTCTGTTTCTTCCACTTTATAGGGCCCAGCTTCCAGCAGGCTAGCCATGGCTCCCAGCAAAGCCTGCTGTTTTCTCAGGACAGGGCCTGAGATGTTCTTGTGGGGGTGGGATGCCCTGCATCTTGGCCCCGAGATTCCAGCTGCTCTACAAGATGGCAGGTTTTGGGGGCAGGCTGGCATCTGAGGGGATATGCAGAGAGTACTCGCTAACGAGTGCCGGGGCGTTCTTGAGCATCTCATAGAAGGAGTCCACTGTCCTCAGGTAGAGGCTTCGCTGTAGGACAAAGGGCCGGAAGAGGTTGAGAGGCTCAGCCCTGCGCACAGCTTCGGGGAGTCCCATGGTCTCCGGCACCTTGCGGTTCCCGATGAAGAAGTGATGGAGCTTCTTTTCCAACAGGCTCTTCTCCAGGAAGCACAGCAGCTCATGCAGACGAGCTTCTAGCTGCCCGGCCTTCCAGTCGGTGGCCCCCCGGGAGAGCAGGAGGTGCAGCAGCGCTGTCTTCAGGTGGTAGTCGCCCAACCCGCTGGGGCCTGTCAGGCGGCTCTGCTTGGAGAGCAGGAAGGAGGCAATCTGCAAGCAGCTGAGGTGGCAGGCGCCCTCGGGCAGCGCCTTCGATGTCATCCTGAGGAAGTGTCGCTCATAGACAGCAAAGGACAGGATCCAGTCAGTGCTGGATGCCGGGGTCTCCCCGGAGGGCTCCCTGGGGAGGTGGGAGACAAAGTACAGGTCTGAGTCATCACACTGGATCGCAGGAATCAGGTTGAAGGGCATGGACTTCCCTGAGCGGAACTTGATCTTGAGGGACCCAGGGGTGTACAGCTGGCCAAAGGCCAGGTCGAACTCGTACTTGTGGGCAATGCGGTGCCAGGCTCTGGTGAGGGCCACCTGGAACCACTTCATGACCTGCATCGTGTCCAGGTGTGGGGAACCTCTGGCACACAGTAGGTCTTCCACCTCGCTGCCGGGACGCACCAAGTGGTTCTTGCCATGAAGGAGACACAGCATGTCTTCCCCAAGCTTGGTCTTGCCACAGATACAGCCCAGTGTATCCATGTCAGCCCGGGCCACCGTGATCTGGCCGTACCCCCGGCGATTTAAGGGCACCGAGCGGCTGGAGCACCAGAGCTCTGGGCGGAAGTGATAGGGCTCAGGGGGGGTGAAGGGCACAAAGAGTTGGCACAGCAGCGGCTTGTCCACCTGCCAGTTCTCGTACATGCTGTCCACGCCAATGAAGTCCTCCACCTCCATGTCCCTGTCCCGGCTGCACAGGCTCCTCAGGGCTTCCAGCAAGTCATCCACAAAGCCTTCCACGAACTCCCGGGTGCGGGCCGCGTCAGCTGTGGCCCCCCGGATGCAGCGCTCATAAAAGTGGTCCAGTGTGGCCTTGTTGGGCAGGGTGAGGCCTCGGAGTGGGGCGCCCTCCAGGCCGGGCAGCTCATCCTCATCCCCGCCCAGGCACTCGGGCGATAGCCCATCCTGATGGTCCTGCCGCCACAGCTCAATCACTAGGAAGAGGATCATGCAGAGAGTGCTCCACAGGTCCCAGGCTGTGTGGCTCTCCATCTGCTGCTGGCCCTCCTCCGCCACCTGCTCCAGGGCCTCCGGCTCCGCTGCCAGCCGCACTTCCTCCTCCAGGCGCAGCTGCTCCAGCTGCAGCTTCTGCTCGTGCGCCTGCATCTTGAGGATGATCTCCTCTTCATTCTCGGGGACCGTGGCGTTCTCCCGTGGGAACAGCAGCGGGTGGTTGATGATAGCTGTCACCACCACGAGACACACACGGAAGAGCCCCAGTGCCATGGTTGGAGCTGACCTGGCAACAAAAAGAGACTGACAGTCACACCAAGCTTCCCTCAACACCACTACTTCCCTGGACCCTCCCACCAACCCCTGCCCTGTTGAGCTGGGGGGTGTCTTACAGTTTCTGATAGCAACACCCCACTTTCCCTGGGAACCAACCCTTTACTACTCCCAGTCCTTAAGCCTTGGGTGGAGATGAACCCACCCCCAGCTTTAGGGGAGCATAGAACCCAGGCTCAAGACTAGTCCCCCCAAACCCAGTCCTCAACAGGCAACAGTGATTAGTTCAGGATTGAACACGACTCCATTTGGTCCAATGGGAGACAGAGGTAGGATTTGTTGGGACCAGTGGGAACAGGACTACATGTGCTGTTGATTCTCTAACTACCTCAAAGCAGGGTCTAAGATGCTAACATAGAGGAAAGTGGATTCAGCTATGCCCGAATCAATAAATTCTGCTTCATGATGAAATCAGTTTGAGTTGTTTTTCCATCACTTGAAACCCAAAAACTCTCCAATAAGACATCCGCTTCTCCCCGAGTCAATTATGTGTAGCAAATGCATCTCTTCTCAATGCAGTGGAGCCTAGTGGTGAAGAATAAGAGGGCTGGGCTCCAAAACCAGCCCCGTCATTGATGTGCTGTGATGTTGGGCTTGCTAGCTCCCATCTCTGAGCCTGCTTCCTCACTGCACACCAGGGGCCTTTGTATTGATGGATGCGATGACCTGGGCAGACTGCAGACACAGCGGTGAGCGGTGCACAGCATGTTTTCATTGAACAGTGATGTTTCTGAGGCTGTTTTCAGCCCGTAGCTTCCTTTACTGTAAACCTTTCCTTCTGATCTGGAAGACCCACCCCAGATTCAGACATTCATCTCCTGGGTCTTTCCCAGGACAATCTTGGAAACAAACCAAACGTTGGTTTTCCTACCACAAGTCATTTGACCTTGCAATGCTTCTGACTTGTGAGAGGAGATACTCTATTCCTCCAGGATAAATGAATTTTTAGGTCTCAAGGGACTTTGGGGACGTGCTAACCCTTTACAATCATTGCCATTCACACTTTGCAGTTGCAATATATTCTGGGAGTTTCTTACAAATGCAGAATCTCAGCTCCACCCCAGACCTATTGAACCACGATCTGCATTTCAATACCATCCACATCAAAGTCTGAGAAGCATTGTCACAGTGTAAGCCTTACATCGTGCCTCATTTTCTCCCCTGTAGGAACTTTGGGAAGTAACAATGGGTCTTTTCCACACTTGCCCTGTCTCCTTCCTGCCTGAGACCCCAGCTAGGAGAGCAAATAACCAAATGAGATTGTTGTTGAACAACAAAGGGAATACAGAGGGCTCCTCCCACCCCCCCCCCACCCCGGCACAGGCCAGCAGTACTGATTGGAATGTCTTGTTTAGCCTGAGCCCATTCCCTGATCTTGAATTTGCATCCTGAAAACCACCTGTTTTGGGTCACGCCCTAGGGGTGCCAAGCAGCAGGTATTTGTCACCAGGTAAAGATACCTCTGCAGTTTCTACCTGGCAGTGCCAGGATGTAAGTGAGCCGAGCTGCTGCCCAGACGTGACTCCGCCCTGCACACAGGTGGCTGTGTCAGCAGGGACCAAACGGGCTGGTGGGGAGGGAGGGCCATCGGGAGCAGAATTCAGTGTGAAGACATGGTCAGGTCACAGACAGGTGAATTCGAAAGCGTGTATTTCTACTTGAGGAGGGGAGAAAGTAAAGGGGGTCAGACTGGAAGTGGGGTGGGGATGATGAAAAAGTGGAGGGCAGCTAGCCAGCTTTTCTTACCCAAGACAAGGAGCAGCTTGGTAGATAACTGCAGAGACAGGTCAGCCCTGGTTGTGACGTCAGAGAGCCGTCAGTGGGAGGTTTTGCCACAGTGGTCCAAGGACAAGCCATGGGACTGGCTGATTAACGTGGATCGGAGTTGTGTTGTTTTAAAAAATATTTTATTTATTTATTTTCAGAGAGAGGGGAAAGGTAGGCGAGAGGGAGAGAAACATCAATGCCCCCTACTGGGGACCTGGCCTGCAATCCGGGCATGTGCCCTGGACTGGGAATTGAACTGGCGACCCTTTGGTTCAGAGGCCCACACTCAGTTCCCTGAGTCACACTAGCCAGGGCTGGATCAGAGTTTTAAGATAAAGGAGTATTAATATTAGAATACCAGGCAGCAGCCAGTTAGGAGATAATTTGAGGGTTTGAGTCCCTTCAGGGCCTTTGTACTATGGGCAGCCAGGCCCCTCCGGGCACAGCAGGCCCTGGCAAGTCACACTAATAGCTTTTGGCAGCTCCCAACCCAGCGGGCCAGTCTCCATGCCAACTCAAGGTAGGACGCCCCAACTGGGGAGTGGCGCCACTGCCAAGCCCTGCAACTACAAAGTCCTCTCTACCTGGCGGCTCCCACAGGGCTCCCTGGGCCTGCAGGAGGGTGGAGGGCTGTAAGGGCCACCTTGTCCCGGGGCAGCAAGGTTCAAAACTCCAAACCAACCAGACAACTGACTCCGTGTACAAGGGGGTAACAGGATGGACTGTGGGGGAGACAGACTGTGTTGGCACCCAGCACGTGCACCTACTAGGTATGTGACCCTGGACAAATTACTGAACTCAGAACCTGGGTCTCTTCATTTATATCCCTCCCTTGTAAAGTTTGATTGAAAGTATTCATATAAAGTACTTAGCAAAATGCTTGCCCCTGAGCAAGTTTTCTCGTAAAAGTAGCTATGAAGGGATGCGAACAGCAGAGGAACCTTCCTGCGGCGGTTTCGATGGACCAATGGGGTGGGCCGTACAGGTGCCCCTACAAGGCGCTCTGGCAGGACGCGGGCAGCCCGCAATAACCGTGGTCACAACGAGCAGTGTTACAAACGAGACCTGGACAGGGGTGCGAGGGAAAGACAGTGGAAGGAGTCCGGGCTGTAGGAGCTGACTGGCCTGCTCCTCACTGAGTGGTCTTGGGGAGTCACATGGCTTCTCTGGGGCTCCGATGCTTTACTTGTGAGATGGAGCTAATGACAGCGGCTCCTTCAGAGGATGTAACGGGGTGTAGGGTGAGGGGTGTGCCCAGAGAAAACCCTTGTAGTCCTTGGTTGGAGGATGGGGGCAGCTGACTATACTGGCTTAAGATACTTTTCATAACAGCCTAGTTTAATAGCTGTGCTACTGCCCAGGGCAAGGTGGGTGTGCCTTTAAGGGCATATCCTGACTTGTGAAGTAGCCAGGGGAGGCCGGCTCCCCTGGATCACTGAGCCCCTGTTGCCCTGATTGGGAATGGCCGCTGAATAAACGTATACGATACAGGTGAACTGGCAACTGTAGCTTATTGCGGGAGGAGTTGGAGATGAGGTCACACAGGAGGTTCCAGGTCAGGATTTAAAGTAAGTGCAGGCAGCCGTGAAGAGAGGAGCCGCGCTGCCAGGAGGAAGAGCCGTGGCACAGCTGGTAGGGAAGGGAGATTCGGCTGTGCAGCCTGGAAGGGAGTAGAAGAGCCACGAGGGAGCAGTGACGGAGCAGCCACATGATGAGAGTGAGAAGTGAGCGAGCGACTGTGTAGTTGGTGGCCAGGATCCAGCCCCCCAGCCTGGCGTGGCGAGGGAGGACTTCTGTTGCTGCTCTGATCCTGCCGCTCCAGCTGACTCCGAAGACTCTCTCGCAAGACGCTGACCTGCAGCCTTGCAAACCTGGACTCTGTCTGGACTCCTGGGACTTACCGCATTTTGCTGTGTATAATGAGTACTTTTTTGCCCAAATTTTTGAGGGAAAAGTAAGGATGTGCATTATACATGGGTATAATGATTACATACTGTGGGCATAATAATTCCAAGTATAATGTGCACCAAAATGTGGGTGCGCATTATACAAGAGAGCAGATTATACAGAGCCAAATACGGTATGTCTTTCCTAAACTTCCCCATGATCCTGTGTACCACGGCAGGCGCTTTCCTAGACTATCACGTGGACCCAGATCCTGAAGGAGAGACAGAGCTGCTGCGACACTGCTTGCGCAGCTGGCTTAAATTCAGATGAGGAGATGGGGAACTTTTGGGGCTTTTGGCTGATAGCCTTTTGGGGAGCAAGGGCAGTGCTGGGTCTCATGGGAGAAGAGGACTCCAAGCTGAAGTGCTCTGAGCCCTTCCAAGGTTGGAATGTTATAAATAAAGACCTGATCCTTCCAGCATTAATTGTTGGGTCATTCACCAAGGAGCGATGTGAATGGGCCGCAGTCTGCTCGGGTACAGGGAGATTGGGTTAGTAAGTGAGATAATCTGTCTCAAGTGCTTAGCACAGTGCCTGGCAAAGAGTAGGGAACTCACAACACCAGCGCCTTCCCACCTCAGCCTCATTGGCCTATTTTTTCATCTGTTAAGCACACCCAGCCCTGCCCGAGTCTCAGAGGTGTGGAGAAACACACGCTCAAAAGTGCTTTGAAAGCACAAATGCTCCCTCAGTATTGCTGTCCCTTGGCACACCATTCCACCCACCCTGCCCCACAGCAAAGGGGAGAAACCTTTTGAGCCTTGGATTCTCCTGGAGGCAGAGTTCCCACTGACTCACTACTTCAAATGTCAACGTCCTCCCAAGGACAGCATGGGGTCCCAGTGGTCGTTTTGTTCCTTGTTAACCTCTGCACGGCGGCCCTGCCTCCAGCTCCCTGAGGGATAGGGAATGGGCTGGGCTGTGGCTGCTCAGTGAACTCTAGACGGGGCTGAGTTCGAAGCCTCCACTACCCTCCCCCACCCGCCCACAAACCAAGTCACAGGGAACACTGCCCTGGGGACCTCGGGGTCAAAAATATGAGGGGAGGGAATCTGGGCTGTTAGAGTTTGGAGACCGTGGAGACAGGACAGGTAGCTGGAGCCTCTCACAAACTCTCTCTCTCGTCCCCCGCCTTCCTAGAGGGCCCCTTTCCCCCAATTCAAGGATGTTCACCTCCGCCTTGGTGCCGAGCTCTCACCTCTGAGGCTGCCCCACACATGTGACCTGAGATATCTAGTT